GGCCTTCCCTGCCTGCCTCTGTGCCTCCCTCCTGGCTTGCGCTTGCCCCAGCCGCATCTAGTAATCTGCCATTCCTTCCTTCTCATTACCCTCCCTGCCTGTGGAGATCTGACCAGCCCTCGGGGCCGCTGTATGCCACTTGTCAGAATGTCCCTGCAAGCACCCGTCCTGACCCTCCCATGGTGGCACTAGGGAAGCAGTTAGGCTCCTTCAGCCCTTGGGCCCCTGCCATTGTACACTGTTGGTGGCACCTTAGGGTCCCTGTTTGCTGCGGGGAGCAGCCTGTGCAGTTGGTGTTGGGTAGTGCTGTGCTGATGTTCTTGAACTCTTAAGCAGTGAAATATATTCTAAGTGAAATTCTTTTATATCTAAATGAATTCTCCTGTTTAAAGGTGTTCTTGGACTGGGGATGTAGTTTAGCAGCATAGTGCCTGCCTGCCAAGCACAAAGACCTGAGTTCGAGTGCTGGTACCCCCCTCCAAGTGTTCTTGCTCTTTGAGGTCTAAGGCTTTTGCATATGCAAAAGATGACATTACTAATTTCCATATAGAAATAACCATTGCATGTGGATAGAACTTGGTTTCAAATATTCACATGGTATGCAGTGTATAAGTTATTCTGATTTTATTCTGATCGACTCTTCCCATTACATAACTTGTCCTTTGTAAGTAAACTACTGCTGTATTCTAATGCTTTTTCTCCACAACTTTATTTGAAAGTGTGATGCTTTTGAATTTCCCTTTTTCCCCGAAGAGATTTTGCCAGTGGAGTTTACCTGGCCTGTAGAGAGCAAAGCAGGTGCCTAAAAGATGGTGCTGTGTTCCGGTTGAAATCTGATTAATGTTGAAGGGTTGTGTCAGGCCAGATTCAATCTGTCGAGAGATTATTTAGTGAGGGCCAGGTTTCCTCGTGAAGGACATTTATAGATGAAACCAAGTTTGTGTAATTGTGTCTGCTAAGCGAGAGACTGGTTAAGAAGAAATCCTTCCATTGAGCAGGAGTTGCTTGAAAAGAGCGCGTGATTCATCAGGTGGTGTTGCAAGTACTGTGATTGTATTGTATTGTTTTTAATATAAGTTGTTGAGTTTTAAACTGTGGTGAAATCTTGCCCATGAAATGAGTTCCTAAAAAGACTTCCTCATAAGCGAGCCTAAAAAACATTTTTGGTTTGCCAAATTTATTCACAGAAGCTTGAGAAACATGGAAACTGGGACCCTTATTCCTGTAGAGTACACCTGTAGTCATCTCTGGGCCTCTCTGTCCCCTACTTTCACACCCAGTGCACTGGGAAGGGTTCCTGGTTGCCAAATGTCCACAGGCTTCTTGCCAGGGCAGCGAGTCACACTGAAACCAGTTGCTTTCTTGTCCTCCTGATTGTGCTTTTACTCTTCTCACAGTGGGCAGAAGAAACTTTTCTTTAGTATTAAAACTTTATATCTTGGAGAGATTCAAATGTATTTCAAAATAGAGAGATGTATGTCGGTGCCATTCACCTTCAACAATGGTCCATCCATGGCCAAACGTGCCTCATCGACTCCCCATCATCCACCCTCTTCTTCCCACTGATTTTGAAATAAATTCCAGACTTCAGATCAGTTAATCAGCTGGTTTGGAATTTCCCCACAGTGAAATTTTGCTTCCTGGTTGGTCACAAGGTGGAGAAAGTTGCTGCATTCGTGGTGATAAATTCTTTGCCACCTTCTTGATTGTGTTCCAGTTCTGTGTTCTGTACTGTTTCAAAATGTGTTCCATTTCTGTTTGATAACTGCCATCACCATAAATAATTGCATGTATCCATTTTGTGTTTAGGCAGTTTCTTTCTAGATATAATCTTAAAAGATGTGTATGAAATACAAAAAATGTAAATGTTTGTATGGGGACAGTGGTTCATGCACAGACTTTTTTGTTTTGTTTTGTTTTTGTTTTGAGACAGTCTTACTTTGTAATTTAGCCTGGTTTTGGTATCACTGTGTAGTCCAGGCTGGCCATGACCTCACAGCAATTCTCCTGCCTCAGCTTTCTAATTGCTAGAATTACAGACATGTGTCACCACACACAGTAGAAAGTCTTAAAAACATTATTAAATTTTTGCTGGGAATGTAATTTAGTGGTTGAGCACTTGCCTACCATGCATGAGGCCCTGGGTTTAACCCCCAGCATTGCAAAATAATTTTTTCTCAAATTCAAGCAATATAGATAAGTAGGAAGATAGATATTCTCTTTTCATTCATTGATTGCTTTTAGTCTGTTATATCCAAAACAACTTTTAAAAGACTTTTTTCTTGCACTACTGGAAATTATGTTAATATTTTTTGGAGATCCTTTCAGAAAGACCATTTAAAACTTTAATAATGTATATATTTGATGGTTTTTCTGAGTTTCTCTGAGTTTAATAGGCAGAAATTGATTTTCATGTTGAACAGAATTTCACTCCGGAGGCTGAAGCAGGAGGATCTTGTTTTTTTTTTTTTTTTTTTTTAATTTTTTTTTTTTTTTAATTTGAAGAAAAGGAAACGAAAAAAGAAAAGAAAAAAAAAATACATGGAGATTAAAGAATAAAAGGGTAGAAAAATAATACTAAATTACAGACAAACAAAAGGTAAGAAATTGCCAGTTGATAAGTTACAAATTGTCTTCTTCGAAATGGCTGTTCAGGTTATAGAATTAAAGTATTTAGAATGACATTCAAAAAAGTGACCCTACAAACCATTTTGCTCTATGGCCGAACAAAAGCTCCGTAATATGATTATCAGTCCCACCTATTTGTTTTACATCTCTAAGAGGATAAGGTTAACCATATCAAAACAGAACAGAACATTTAAAAAAAAAAATAAAAAACAATTTAAAGAAATACAGATTTCAAAGCAAGTCCGCTGGAGATCTACCTTATCTAACTGTCTCTAGCTTCTTACAGATAGTTGTCCCTAACTTCACCCACTTTCTATACTTATTGCATATTATAGAACTAATCAAATCATTACAGGATGATGGAGTCTTTTTAGGTCCTCAAGTTCCAAATTAGGGAAGACATTTCCAACTACCATCGCATCTCTCATTCTCTTTGTGATAGCCGTCCCCATCTCTGCATATGCTGAAGTTGAGCTGAAGAAACCAGTCCAGAGTCATTTTAATCAGCAAGCAATAGATTGCTAGAATTTATATTATAATGCTACAAAATAAGCCTCGGGTTTTTCAGGTCTCTTCCTCAGAGTATTTGTTCCTATCCTCTCTGTATTATAGGGAAAACCAATTCATAACAAGACAGCGAAACAATTTCCTAGATAAACATGCAATGGATAAGACTTACAAAACTATAATATAAATGATCTTCCGTAGCTACTATGTTTTCTCTTGTTATTTTCAATAGATTTGTCGACAACACTGGCTTATTATAGTTAAATATACTATCACCTATTTTTATAAAAACTTATCTTTGACTGCATTGTAGTATTTGAGAGCTGTTACTGATTCATACCAGTATGGATATCCTTTACATCCTGTCATGCTCAGAGTAGTTTCCTCTACTAGGAGGATCTTGTTTGAGTTTAGCCTTGGCTACATAGTCCATTCAAGGCAAGCCTGAAGTACATAGCAAGACTCCCCCCACACACACACACACAAAAGAATAAGTAATGGCTTGGTATTTTATAAGGAGTTGAAGCACCTGTGTGATACTGACTTCAGTGTTTTCTCACTTTATTGAACACTGGTTTCTTCTTGATAAAGAAAACCCAGCAATAGTATTTTTCTTGGTTCAGAGTGATATTAGCCTGCTTGGGTTTATTCAATCTCAACATAATTGAAGCTATGGATAACTGTATGAATATTTAAGTGTATAGGATTGATGACCATATTTCTAAGTTTTTGTTGGATAGTTGAACAGAACTGTTTGTAGTCTCACTGTTTGAATTCTCACTTTACATGTTCCATTTTTGTACCTTGAACAACTATTTGTAAAACGACAATATGTAAACATCAACTAGTGATTTCTTACTGTTTATTTTTTTTCTCTGAACGTATGTATTATTTCTACCTATTTTGTTTAGTCTTTCTTTAAATAAAATTTAAAAAAAGAAAGAAAGAAATCTTTAAGCAAACTATGAACTCATCAACAGCTCTTGGACCTGTGAAAATTTCTATACTAGTGCTGTCCAGTAGAACCATAATGTGAGCCATATACATGCTTTCACATATCACAGTATTCACATTAAAAATAAAAGAAAAGGACCTTACTGCCATGTGTAGGAAGATTACAGTCAGTATCTGGAAACACCTGAACAAGATTAACGTGAATTGTTTTGTTCTGAATTTTTCTAGTTTCTAAAATTAGTAGTAGTTGCACTTGGGAGGCTGAGGCAGGAGAATTGCTGTGAGTTCGAGGCCAGCCTGGGCTACAAAGTTCAAGACCAACAGCCTAAACAGCATGTGAAACCCTGTCTCAAAAAGGCAAAAATAAAAAATGAAATAAAATAAAATAAAATAGTCTTTATTTCATTTATTGACATGCCTGGCATTTAGTATTTACTGGTCTTAGTGTTCTTTTTTTTTTTTTTTAACGTGTACATGCTGAGAGTGGAACCCAGGGATTTGCAGATGCTGCATCACACTGGTCCTGAGCTGCACTCCCAACCTTGCCTTTTGTGTTCTTAAGGATCGCCGGCTCAGACTCACTTGTATTCTCACTAGCCGTAACCCTTTAGAAAAAAGCCATTACAAAATCAGCAGTGTCACCCACTAACTCATCCTTCTGTACAGAGGCGGTGATCGTATCGAAGTGCACTCTTGGCTAGGAGGCTGTGCCACCCTGTGGCTGCTCAGAAGGTTATTCATCTGTCAGAAATACCAGCTGCCTTCTAAGCATGTGAAACATTAAACATCACTTCTTATTTTGATTGGGGTAGATATATGCACTAGCATTGTGAGGAGGAATGGGGTAGACATTCTCGGGAAAGTTGGTGACAGTGTCCTTTACTTTTTTTTTTTCTTTTTTTTTTTTCTAGGGGTGGCAGATGGTGTAGGAGGATGGAGAGACTATGGAGTTGACCCATCTCAATTCTCAGGGACTTTAATGCGAACGTGTGAACGTTTGGTAAAAGAAGGACGGTTTGTCCCAAGTAATCCCATTGGAATTCTTACCACAAGCTACTGTGAGTTGCTGCAAAATAAAGTACCTTTGCTTGGTAAGTAGATGGCTATGTGTTTCCACTACAGAAGCCACTGTGGGGTTAAAACAAAGCCAAGAAAATGATTTGCCATTCTAGCTTTTTTCTGCGCCTCTTCTGGTGAGCAGAGTCTGGAGAAGTGGGCTAAACAGAGCACAGGATGCTCCCTGGAAAGAATGTAAATAGGCATAAACACTTCGGAAAATAATCAGGTATTGCTAAATCAAATGAAACATGGACATATAGCATGCCCAGCAATTCTCCTAGGTTTTTCCAGTAGACTATAGAGAAAATTGCTCAGCCGTGTACCCAGAGGTAAGTATAAGAATGTTCTAGCAACATTGTCAGTAATAGCAGAAAACCAGAAACAGCCTAAAAGCTCATCACAGGAAAAAGTGTGTTGTGAGAGGAAACAAATTAAAGCTGCTTACAGTACTCAGGAACATCTTGTGAAGCAGAAAAGAGGACATTATAGAGTACTATCATGCATTTCAAATTCAGAAACATGAAAAGTTAAGAATGTATTGTCTGGGGATTCTAAAACATGATGAAAGAAGAGAGAAAAGCAAAAGCTTGTAGTATTCAGAACCTGGTTCTCTCCCGGGAGGGAGAACAGGTCCTGGGGCCTGGCCTCAGAGAAGTCAAGGAGCTGACCACCACCCCAGGCTGCTAATTGGTGACTGGTCCATGGAACAGATTGACACTAACCAGATCCTTGATGGTCTTGTATTGGGAAGCTTAAAACTGAATGGGATATGCCAATTGAGCATGCTTTGGCCAGGCTTCTATATGTGTTAAGTGGTTTCCTGGGAACGCCCCCAGGCTTCTGCTGGCTGACTCTCAGAAAGGTGTTACTAAGTTGCTTAATTGCCAACCTCTTTCTGGTTACTAGAAGGCCTCCCTCCTAGTCACCCTCCACATTGACAATCAGCCTGTGTTCAATCTTAAAACAGATTGCCACTCTGTATATTTGTCTTCAACTTAAATCCTTTTTAAAAAGGATTCTTTATCGCTCTGCCATCTTAGTCTTCTCTGTGCTGTGATTAATCAGTTTTCCTTATAACTGAAAAGAAATCTTGTCTTGCAATTTCCGTGTTTGCTGCTTTTCTTAATATCTCTCATTGGATATGCAACCTGGACATTACCTGGCACAGCACAGTATTCAAGCTTCTGTTTCTAGTGCCCCTCTATCAGTTTGCTGCATGGCTTTGGGCAGACTGCTTAACCGGTGTCCCTACCAGTTTGTCTGTTAAATGGAGAGAGATTCCAGAGGCTGACTCCTGCCTGTGCCAGTGAGGGCCTCACCGTCTCTCCCCACCCCCATCATTTACTTTCACTTTGGACAGCCAGTTACAAAACACCTAACTAGCCTGCTTCTTTGCACTTTAGGAGCTATAGTATACTGCTATGTTTTCCCCTTCTTCTGCTTCCCTTCATGTTCACCGTCATGTAACTTGGAAATGTTAATGAATTTAAGGACATGTTTAAAGGTTTACTTACATTGATTATTATGATCTTTTTCTCCTAAAAGACACACTGAAATAATTTTCTGTTGCCATCTTTAATACAAACATTCCCCTCCCTTAATCTGCGTCTGGACTCTTTGTAACTAAACATAAGCAAATTTTGATGAAGACAGATTGCTGAGTTTTACTGAACCACAGCTAGATACAGTTGTAAATAATAATAGCTTTACAAGACTAGTTATCTTTTAATTGCTAAAAGCCGTACAAAATCCAATATAAAGGGCAAGCCAAACCGGGCATGGTGGCACACACCTGTAATCCAAGCACTCACGAGGCTAAAATAGGAGGATCATTGCAAGTTCAAGACCAGCCTGGGCTACAAGGTGAGCTCAAGGCCAGTCTGAATTGCATAGCGAGACCCTGTCTCAAAAAGACTAAATAAATAGGGCAATGTCTAGCTGCTTTTGGGTGGGTAGCACAAGCTAATCATTGGTCTAATCCTACTGAAAATGAAAATTGACATCTATTTCCCTAGAAACCCAAAATACTTTCATAAGATCTTAAGAAATCAGGCTGAGAATGTAGCTCAGCGGCACAGGGCCTGCCTTGCAAGCTCAAGGGCCTGAGTTTGATACCAAAAAAAAAAAAAGGTATCTTTCAGATTTGAAGGTTTAGTCCTCATAAGGTTATCCCTTTCTCTGCTACACAGAAGACTTGCTGGTAGCTTACAAAATATGAGTGATGATAATATTTCCATGTCAATGGGAGAGGTTTGCCTGGGCCAGTCATCTGAGCATCTGATATTCTCAGCGCATCCCTTCTTACTCTTCTTCACCTGCTTGTTTCTCTGCAGACTGGAGAGCAATGAGCTCTTCTCCAGGTCGTAGGCTCTCAGGGCCCAAGCTAGGTCTGTGTATCAGTAATTTGAGGAGGCAGTGGAGACTGTGCACTGTGAGCCTAATGATTCTACAAGGCTGAGTGTGCTTTTGCCACTGGTGCTTTGGATTCTAAAGTCTCCCGAAGACCATTTTGATTCTAACTCAGTGTGTTACTGTCATGGGGCAGCAAAATGATAGCCTGGGCTCATCCATGAGTCATGATGAGTCAACATGAGTCCTTCCTGCAGCAGAATTTTGAGACTGTGCTACTCGTCTGTCATTTCTCACTCTCAGTAAGATCTAACTCTGTCAATTACACATCTTTTGTGTAATTATATTAATGATGAATGGTTGGATTTCTATGCATCCAGCTATGAAAAAAGTGCCCTTCCCAACGGTCAGTTAGGGAGCAGGTTCTGGCAACACTACCAGTTATAGCATCTGTGATTGGAAACCAGTAGCACAGCTTTAGGGTCAGGTTAGCACTTCCGATGCCTACACAGCAGCTAACAGAAAGTGGGATTTCTGAACATTTAAGGATGAGAAAGAAGTGCATATTTTCATTTTTTGCATTAAGATAGGTATTTTCACTAAACAAAATAACAAAAATCCCCAAAGCTCCACTAAGAAAACTATGAGTGTTCTGGTGATTATGCTCCTAGATTTGTTTTTTCATACATGTGGACAATAATAAAGTGGAATTGAGTTTCCCGTGCACTCACAGCAGCCCCATAGGAGGTCCGTGGGTGCTTTCATTCTCCATGTGGTTAAGAAGCAGCAGGCCTAGGGGAACTCGCTTCTCACTCAGGTCACACAGCTAGAACAGGATGGTGCCCTGGGGCGCACAGGCTGCTTCCACAGCCCATTCCCTTTGCTCTTTGACCGTAGGATTAGCAGGTTAGAATGCATATTGTTGCTCTTTTTTTTTGTACCAGGAATTGAACTCATGATCTCACACTTGCCAGGCAGGTGCTGTGCTGCTGAGCTATGTCCCTGGTACTTTCTTTTTGTTTGTTTTGGTCTTTTTTTTTGAAACAGTGTCGCTGGCTCACACCTGTAATCCCAGCACTTGGGAAGCTGAAGCAGGAGGATCGTTGCAAGTTCAAGACCAGCCTGGGCTACAAAGTGAGCTCAAGGCCAGTCTGAACTGCATAGCGAGACCCTGTCTCAAACAAACAAACAAACAAAAAAGAAACAGTGTCTCACTATGCCATTTAGGCTGTTGGCCTTGAACTCTCAGCAATCCTCCTGCTTCAGCCTCCTGAGTGATGGGATTACAGGTGTGCACCACCATGTCTGGCTATGGCAGGGTTTTTTCTTAAGCAAATTTTAAATACTAATTGGTTACCTATTTCACTTCTCTGAGTATATTTCTTTAACATAATTTTAATAGCTATTAAATAGCTAATGCTGTGTGTTTTAAGTGTTTGAAATGACTTAACTAATCTTAAACCTTTGAGACAACTATATAAATTGGTTACTATTAGTCCTAGTTTTCTGAGGAAACTGGAGCATAGAGAAGTTAAAAAATTTGCCCCAGGTCACACAACTGGTAAATGGCAGAGGCAGATGCAGAGGCAGGCATGTTGACTCCTGGGTGTGTACTTCTCTAGGGTTTCCTGTATTATGTGAATGTACCATAATTTATATACCTGGTCCCTAAGTTTTAATGCCTAGATTGTTTAAGTTATTCCTTAATGCTTTTGTACTTGAGGCTTACTTGCATCTGTCATTATTTTCATGGCATAAATTCTCATAAGTGGAACTGCCACGTTGAAGGGCAAGTAGGTTTTCCAGGGCTATTTTATTCTTAGAAAAATTCATTTTACTCTTCACCATGGGATAAGAGTTCCTATACTTTGCCAGGACTTTGCAATATCTTCTTTTGCCTCATGTTAACTAACAAGGTGACTGATATGATGGTCTTTTTTGTATATTACTAACCATTTCCATTTATGTCTTGGCAAACTGCATGTTTTTGTGCATTGCCGTTTCTTGGTGGAGGTAGGTAGAGGTTTCAGTCTCGGCTGGAAGTGACCCCTGTATGGTGCACATCCAGCATCTCAGCCCTAAAGAGGGCCACATGCAGCAGGGCCTGGGGCTGTGGCAGCAGCCCAGGTGAGGGCTCGTGTACCCCTCACCCGCCCCCCCCCCCATACTGCTGTCTGTAAAGCAGACACAGATTGATTCCACAAGCGACCTGTGACAGTTGGCTTTGTCTATAGTGAATCACTGGTTTCCAATAAAAATTCATTACTTCAACACCTGGAAATCTGGTTTTAAATTGTAGTTGTGTGCCCTGTCTTAAATGATAGTGGATTTTTTGGGGAAGAATGACTAATGAGAACTGTCAAGAAAATGAAACATTGTCATTCTGGCATTTAAGCATTAAGAGTGCATTAATTTAGCATTAAGCACTAAACATGTGATTAGTTTTTACTTTTCCTGTCTCAGCAAGGAAATTGAATTCTGACCTCAGTGGTTAACTTACTGCGTGTAATGTAAATCTCTTTCCCCACCATGTTGACCCTGATCAGGTTTTTGACATTGGTGGAAATACAGATGGGAACTAAAAAAGTCCTGGTTAGGCAAAAGCTTCATAGTCTGTGATGTTGCCTTTTGGAGTTTTGTGATAAAAATGTGTGTCCATGACTAGCTGACAATGAGGAAAACAAATGAATGTCCATTTTGTTTTCTAGGTAGCAGCACTGCCTGCATCGTGGTGCTGGACAGAACTAGCCACCGCTTACACACAGCGAACCTGGGCGATTCCGGCTTCCTAGTTGTCAGGGGTGGTGAAGTTGTGCATCGATCAGACGAGCAGCAGCATTACTTCAACACTCCATTCCAGCTCTCCATCGCTCCCCCGGAAGCCGAGGGAGTCGTGTTGAGTGACAGGTAACCTCCCTGCAGCCAGGTTTGAGCAGGATTTGCACCCCCACAGGCCCTACCCACTTGAGTGCATATGGATAGGTGGTTCCCCTTATCCTATGAGCAAAGAAGGTTGACCTAGATATACAGCCAAGTTGAATTCTGATAGACACCCAATAACCTGACGAGCCTAAAAATAGTGTTTCAGATGTGTTCATTTTTCATACCAGCACACAGTATGTGCAGTGTTGCAGTGTGCCCGTTAAACTGTGTTGGGTAGTCGAACGTAGTAGCACATGCCTATAATCTCAGCACTTGGGAGGCTGAGGCAGGAGGATCATTGCAGGTTAGAAATCAGCTTGGGCTACAAAGTGAGCTCAAGGCCAGCCTGAACTGCATAGTGAGACCCTGTCTCAAAAAAAAAAAAAAAAAAAAAATTACTGGAGAAAGAAGTCACTGTTTGTGCACATCATTGCCAATGCAAAGTTCTTCATACAGTGTTAGGGAAGTCCACCGGCAGACATCGTTTGATCTGTTGGAATATCTTGCTGATTCCCCAGCCTACTTTTGCTATTTTTTTTTTTTTTTTCCCTTTTGGTGCTACTGGGGATTGAACCCAAGACCTTTGCACTGAAGTGCATCCCAGCCCTTTTAATTTTTTATTTTAAGATCAGATTTTCCTAAATTGCTAAGTAATCTGGGCTGAGCTTGATTTGTAATCCCCCTGCCTCAGCCTGCCAGAGTGCAAGGATGACAGATGCCTACCAGTGGTTTGGGTCCTCTTACATCTTCCCATAGAAGTGCAAGGAGTCAGTAGTGATCTTGTCCTGCATGTGGACTGTGACAGTGTTACTGAAATGATCTCCATCTTTTTGATGTCTTTCAGTTCATTCTTAAACAGTTAAGAATCTTCCAAGATTGGAACTTTTGGAGTTAACCTCATGGTTTATCTTTTAGATCACAGTAATACTAAGACTTCCTTTCACTGCCTTTAGTAGCCTTATAGGATCTGGCACAAACATCATTGGCAGTTCATACATGAGTAATGACCCTTTTTAAAGGTAGTGTTCCAAAAAGTGCCTTCTTGTTTGGGTTTTTGTTTTCTGCTTACTACCTCTAATTCAATCAAATCTGAAGTCCAAATTAAAATCTTTTTCCTGTTATCTCTGAATTTGAAATGATCATATTTGTTCACTTAAAAATTTTGTTGCTGCTGAGCATAGTGGTGCATGCCTGTAATCCCAGCACTTGGAGGCTGAGGCAGGAGGATTGCCACCAGAGTTCAAGGCCAGCTTGAGCTACATAGCAAAGACCCTGTCCCAGAAAAAAAAAAGATAAAAGAAAAGTGTATCGTTGACTCCTAGAAACGCTTTATTTTCAGATTTAGGTAAATTACCTAAATCTTTTCTTTAATTGCCTTTATGCTTTAGTTGGTTATAATACATACTACTATAAGCAATTTTGGAACAGGAAGACCTCAGAAACTCAAGGCCTTATTAGGTACTGTTCTCGGCTAACAGTTTTTAGAGAAGGTTCTTTTAATTTCCCTTCATTTGCTGCTGCTTGCTTTGGCTCCTCAGGGCCGGGCCTGCTCTGTCCTATCTCACATGCTATCTTGGGGACAGCTGAACTCTCCAGGCGGGCCAGCCTGCAAGGTGGTAGTGGCTTCCCCGGGAGCCCACAGACGGCTTGCTAGCATGTGATTGCGGCTCGTATTTCAGCACAGTCAAAAGTTTCCAGCAGCACAGAGTGTTCGATCAGAATGGGCAGAACTGCAGCTGGCAGGACACCAAGCTCGTGGGTGGGAGCATGAGCAGAGGAGGCCTGTCCAATGGAAGCAAGCCTCTCAGGCAGAGTCGCAAGGGCCGCTGCTGGGGAAGAAAAAGCTCAGCATAAAGTAGAGGGTCGGCACAGCCTGCTCACTGATCTACACTCCTAGAACCTGGCGCATGGTTTCAAAGAGCAGATGAGGGCGACTTGTATTGCTTCTCTTTCTTCTACAGAAGGAAGTGACCTGCTTTCTGCCAGTTAGAGTTGGGTCCCTCCCCCTTTTAGATATCAGGGATCGGCCCTGGGGTACTCTACCTGAGCTACACCCCTTTTAGATTTTATTGTGGGGTAAGGTTTTGCTAAGTGGCCTGGGCTGACCTTGAATTTGCAGTCCTCCTGCCTTGACCTCCCTGGTAACTGGCATTACAGCATGTGCCACTGTAGCCAGCTAGTTTTTGTTCTCTATTGCTTCTGTGCCTCCTTGGTTATTGGTACTATTATCTATAAAATAGCATTTTAAACTTAATTTAGATGTTTTCCTTTAGTGGCTGTTTTCACAAAACATTTATTGTATAAATGTAGAAATAAAAGTTCCCTGAAGACTCCGTCACAGAGCTTTAAGTGTGCTACTCTTTGTTGAGCGTCAGATGAAAACTCGAATCAGAAATTTTCTCATGGGTGGTTGTGTATGTGTGTGTGTGGCCTATTTTACGTTTTCTCTTTAAATTTTATAACATGTTAACTGATACCTGTGTTGATGATTTTCTGTAAGTGTGGGGTGATTTGTTTCTGATCTTTTCCTTCTAGGTCAGTGAATTTTTCTTTGGCTCTTATTCCCTAATTACAGGTTAAAACAGGCTAAATGTTTCAGCTTTCCTTCCCCTTGGAGGCCCAGGAACAGTGAAGGTGGCCTTTAGAAATAGCCAAGAATCAGCCCAGACGGGAGCGTGAACTCTGCATATATCATCTTTTCTCCCACCTGGGATTTCTCCCAATTCTTCCTTTGTTTTAGACTTTTTAGTCTTGTCTTTTCCATTTTTTTCTTTCCTTTATTTTGGTTTTTGAGTCAGACTCTCATGTATAGGTCAGGCTGGCCCTTGAACTTACTATGTAGCAAGGCTGCCTCCCCCAGATCGTCTGGTTTTTTGTAAAACTTGTATACAAAAAGTAAAATGTAGTGAAAAATCTCCTGTTCTCTCTCCCACTTTCTCTAGAAGGAGTCACTGTGTAGAATTTCTTTGAATCCTTCCAGATTGATTCTGTCTTAGAAGTCTCTATATCTATGTGTCTTTTCCTCCTTTGTTTTTAATTTAACAAAAACAGTTGCATATGCTGAACACTCTGTATCTTCCTCCCTTAAGCAACATGTTGAAGAGTTTTACCTAATTTGGAAGGTCAAATACTTTCAGTCATCCAGCAAATATTTCCTGAAGATCCGCATCCCGGGCACACTTAAAAATACTAGGGCATAGCAAGCACGTTGTGACACCTAGGAGACGCACCATCCTTGCAGTGCCAGGCCCACCACCAGGGTCCATGCTGATTCACTCCTGTAAAACTATCGTGCTCTTCCCCGGGGGCCCAGCATTCTGCCTTGCCGTCAGGTACCCTCCTGAGAGCCAGGATCCAGCGTGCAGGAGACTGGTGAGTGCAGATGAGTACTAGATGGAATTTGGCACTGGAGAGTTAGGAAATGGAGAGTCATTTCCACTAGGCCTTTAAAGGAACGTTAGGTCTGACTCAGAAGAGAGCCTCCCCCCTTTTAAGCCCCATGTGACTAATCAGCAGACTTAATTTTACTTAGTGGTTTTAATTAATCTATATCAGAGCCTTCAATTTTTCTCAGGATGAGGGGTTTTAGAATTATTATTACTTTTTTTTTGGAGCCTGCTAGGCAGGCGCTTGTGCTGCTGAGCCAAATCCCCAGCATTAGAATTACTCTTTTTTTTGAGATAGACTCTCACCGAAGTTCAGGTTGGCTTTGAGCTCACTTTATAGCCCAGACTGGTCTCAGACTTGCAGAGATCCTCCTGCCTAAGCTTCCTGAGTGCTGGGATTATAGGCTTGCACTACCATGCCTGGCCAGAATGATTTTTTTTTTTTAAATTGACTCCATTCTAAAACCTCATTGCACCAAGCATAGTGGCACATGCACCTTATCCCAGTATTGGCAGGGCAGGAGAATCCCCATGAGTTTGAGGCAAGCTTGTTCTGCATGATGACACTGTGCCTGCCTGTGCCCCCCTCCGCCCTCCAGCCCCCCCCCCCCCCATTGCATTGTAAAATGGTCCTGGAGGACCCTTTGAACTGTGTCTGTGAACGGCTTCCTTAACTTTGCTCTCCCTGTCCTTGGCACAGCCCAGACGCTGCTGATAGCACCTCTTTCGATGTCCAGTTAGGAGACATTATCCTGACAGCGACAGATGGACTCTTTGACAACATGCCTGATTATATGATCCTTCAGGAGCTAAAGAAGTTAAAGGTAATTAACTCAAAGGCTAGTCCTTGGGAACAGTGGCCTGCTCTGGCCAGCTAAGTTTTACTGAGTTACTTGTACTTTCTCTCAGTAGTTTATGAACTTTAGGAAATAATCGTTCCTGTATTCTAAGCAGTTATATGTGAAAGTATTTCCAAGAACTTGAAGGGAAAGCAGCTTTTAGTAGGGCAGTGAAAACCAGAAAAGTCCAGGTAAGGACATTTCTTGTTTGTGGTTTTCTGTTTTAATGTGTGGGCCACTGGTTGCCTTTTCCTTGTTTTATTGTTATAACACACCCAGCAGGTGTGGCAGTGGAGAAAGACTGCAAACAGTCACTCGGGGCCAGCCAGCGGCAGGCAGCTCTGAGCTGAGCTGAGCTGTCCACCTCGAGAACCTGGAGAGTGGCAGGAAGGGGAAACAGGCTTTTCCCATTCTCTTGGCTTTGTGAAAGTACTGGCTCTGGGAAAAGTAGTTGTTTTTTCCTAAGTCTTTTTGCCTAACTACTCACTGACTGTGGGTGAGTTTCTTCGACTGGTCAGGAAATAGTTTCCTCATGTATAAAATGGGGAATGACAGGTCTTACCTTGCAGGGTTGCAGAGAGGATTCACCAGAGCCGAGGGAGGAAGCCCTTAGCTCCTTGCTTGTGTGCGCAGTGCCTGTTTGGTGGCTGTGTGTGGCAAAGCCTGTGTCCTGTGTAGTAACAGTGGCGAACAGAAACCGCGCCATCCCTGCCCCACCCTCATGGAGGGGAGCAGTATGTGATGACAGGAAGGACAAGGCAGCAGGAGGGAACAGAGACTACAGGGACTGGACTTTGCTCAGGGAGAGCCCCCTAGGGGAGGTGACATTGAAGCAGAGCCCTTTTAGGACCGAAGTGAATGTCAGAACAAAAATGGACCTGTCCTATCCCTGGCTTGCAGATGAGGAAGTTGAAGCAGCAGGAACCTGGGTAATGGCCTGGAGACACAGGAGTCATTATAACCCAAAACCCTAAGGTGTTCTCAGTGGGAAGCAGCCAGTGGTCGGCCAGGGTGCATTCCTGAGGAACCATGGCATCATCCTGAAAATGCTGTTAAGAGTCCAGCTTTTCAGTCCATCTCATTTCAACAGGATACCGGAAGGATTTCAAATGGGAAAGAAAAGTGAAACTCCAGACTTAAGGTCCAAGGGTGTGGGCTTTCTGAGTGAGGTGTTCAGGCAGCATTGGTGGTATCACGCATTGATCATAGCCTGAGGGCTAAGTGTCCCACTAGTCAGCATAGAAAGTGTGTTTAAATAAATGCCACTGTCTTAAAAAGTGCAATCAGCAAGTGCACTTGAATGCAGAAATCATGCGAGGCATTAGGTAAAAATAACTTCTCACCCTCTCATCTTAGAATTCAAATTATGAGAGTATACAACAGACTGCAAGAAGCATTGCTGAGCAAGCTCATGAGCTGGCCTATGACCCGAATTATATGTCACCTTTTGCACAGTTCGCATGTGACAACGGATTGAATGTGAGAGGTAAGCATTCTTTGGTAAGGTCTCAGGAACTAACTGGGAGGCTCCCAGCGAGACTGAGACTGCAGGTGTCCGCTCGCAGCTGGGAACCACTCCTGTGAACAAGGTCAGGGGGCGGGACTGCTGCCCGTGGGTGGCTCCCCTCGCCTGGGGAGGCCCTGCAGCACTCAACTCCATTGGCTGCAGAGGAGGCAGAACCGGAGGGCTTTTTTGCTGCTTGGCCTTGAGCCCTAGAGGCCCGCAGCACTGCCTGGAGGCTGCCACATTCCTAATGGTTTAACTTTCTGCCCTTCACATGTCTGACATTTCGTGTCTCCCTTCCCCTGGCTCTTTGGGACCCGTTGACGGTATTTGCCTGCCAAATTGCCACAGCAGATTTTGAAAAGGGAAGCAATGTGAAACTGCCCTTGACTGGAGAGTCCCTCTGTCTGCTGTGGTGTGAGTTTGGGAGCCTGCCAGGCCCGAGCACATGTTGGTGCTGGCATCTTAGAACTAGTGGGCATGGTCAGGTTCTTGCTGACGTAATATTATGACATGTAGAGCATTTCTTAGCCCTCCAAGAAATGTTAAAATAGAAAAAAAATCACACGCCATAGCTGTTTGGCAGATTAGGATACAAGGTTATTTCTAGTTTCAAAACATTGGATATGTTTGTCCAAATTAGGATTGTGATAGAGGCATGCAAGTTTCTCTGAAGTTGTCTTAACAGATTGTATCTCTCCTGTGATTGATGTAAACAGAGGCTGTAGTAACCGTTTTCAGAGTTTCTATTATAAAGGAGCAGAGAAGATTTTTTAAGCTTCAGTTAAATTATATGAAAATTTTTGGTGTTTAACATTTAAAATATTACTTCTTTCTTTGTCTGTCTTTTTCCTGCGAGGGTATATTGACAAACCAGATTTGCCTAAAATGTAATCGTTTATCTTTACTTAGGCCCACTTTTTGATGTTTTGTTTGGAAGTACACTAATAGGTCTCCCTTTTTGTATAGGTGGGAAGCCAGACGACATCACCGTCCTCCTCTCAATAGTGGCAGAGTACACAGACTGACTTGCCCAGCTGTCGGCTCCTGCCCTCCCTCATCATCCCAGTTGTCCCTGCCATGTGTGCTGATCCTGCTGGCAGGACCATGTTTCTTTGCCACTGATCTCAATGGCCAGTGATGTAAGCCTTTTGCCTGTCTTTTTGAGACCCGTTGAGATCTTTGTTGAGAACCACTACTATCATTCACTAGCTTGTATCTGCCAGCAACAACTGAAGAGGTACAAGATTTGAAGATTGGCCTTCATTTCTTATGGAGATTTTCAAAGCCTATTACTTTTCAAAAGCAGTTGTACTGAAAATGAGTAATGTTGGTAAAGTGAATTCAAAGTTACAGTGTGTTTAAGGGATTTTAAAAGTCTTAACACAAATCATATGTGATGATACGTCCACTAAAAAACATACATCATTCATCAAAAGAAGGTTACCCATATACTCCACAGGCGTTGTCTTTGTTATGATGATTGGGTGTGGCATTATGTTTTCATTATAAACTCCTATTTTCCAGGAGTTTATAATTCTGCTCTAAAACTGCTCTGGGTTATAAAACTTTGATTCCCAGAGACTTTTAGTGGAAATTGGAAGAAAAGGTAATTTTAGTTTTATGGATGCAAATGTTCTGTGCTTTTAAAAAGAAGATTGTGTTCCTGTGATTAAAGTTTGGCAGTGTACTGATGCGTCCACATCACAGGCTAGTGGCCTGATCTAGAGGAAGAATTGAGGCAGGAGACATCTTACCAAAAATTTTTAATGGAAATACTGCTCAAGGTTACAAAGCTCCTCAAAGTCTAGAATTTACTATTATGGCCGAAGATTTCCCCTGCTGTCTGAAAGGGTGCACTGAGTGGGATCTCTAGGCTCCTGGCCTGGTGGGTTGAGGACAGCTGTAGCAAACCAGTTCCCTGGCTTTTGATGGTCTGCTGCCCATTGTGCCCCCGACCTTCCCTTAGGAAGCTTGCTTTCCTAGAGCATGCGCGGGATCCACTGCAGCTACTGGCAAGCGCGAGCACACCGTGTGCAGTGGCTGCCATACAGAGCCCACGAGGAAAACTAGTGAGGATCTGACGTTGCAATTACCCCAAACAGAAATGGAGGGGTTTTTGAGTCAAGCTTAATGTTTACAGTCTCCAAATAGCCATTTGCAGTGTATAGTTTCCTTATAAAACAACCCCGCATTCGGTTTCCCATTACCTGCAAGCTCAAACTTATTTTTAAGCTTTGTGTACAAGTTGACTGCTGTAAAGATATATATTTTTGGTCAGTTTTTTCCTTCATTAACTTGGTGGTAGAAAAAAATATATATATACTTAGAAACCCTTAAATTAAAGCCATGTTTTCTATGAGTCAGGTAACATTGGTGTATAGATAAGAATGCAATTAAACCTGGTGAGCGTCTACTTGAGGAGAATGCAGAAAGGCTTTTCTCTAAAGGAGATACTGACTCCCTGGTTTATTGCATTAAAACTTATGTTTGAGGTTACCTCAACTTGTTTTAAAAGATTTTGTTTTGTGAAATTGTACTGTATATTTGAGTAACTGTCGAGCTTTTGTTTTATTTAAAATTGTTTAACATGTACCATGTACATGTCATTACTATATTTCAATGCATCATGCTTGTAACAGGCATTTCATTTATAATAAGAATGAGTTATTCATTTGTAAGCCGTTCAGTAATTTATCTACTATTCCTAAATTGGCGTAATGTTAGACACCTATTTTGAATCACCTTTAATTACATGTCAGAATGCCTTAACTACCCTAACTTGACAAAACCGAATTCTTTGGTGGAGATGGGGGCGCAGGGCTGTGGAGGGAGATTGTTACAGTATGGAGAAATCATCACACTCTGATCGAACACAAAGCATGAGTGGCAAGTGATGGGGCATTTATTTTGCACAAACTATTTTCAGTCTCTGTATATTTAAAAAGTAAAGAAAGTTGCATCCAGAAAGGGTTTGTTCAAAGGAATATATTAATACTAGGATTGATGACTTCAGCTCCAGATCTGTAAGTACTTCCAGTCAGAGGTGTGCAGCCTGATGATCGGGATATGTTTGTATTAGTGTTCCAAAGCCTACTTTTAATTCCTTGTAAGAGCAGCACTGATCAGGTTACTGGCTTTGCTCTGCTCTCATTAGCCATCAACCAGTCGAGACTTGAAGCTAGATTAGTGTTTTACACGCTCATTTAATCAACTTTTCTGAGAAATGATAGAAATCAAAACAATGTGGTTTCCCAGTGACACTGAAAAGAATGGGACAAGAACTGAGTTTCCCAGTGGAATGGACTTTGGAGCAGGCCTAGAGGTTAGTGACATAAAATTTTCTGGTTTTTTTTTCCCCCTGTCCTTTTCGTGTTATGCACTTAATTTTATTACTGCCAGGGAGCCGGCAGAGTGCTGCTTAACAAGTAACTCTCTTCCTCTCAGTGTCAGAGGCTGTGTTGGACCCAGAGTAGAATTTTCCAAGCCACACACCCAGGCTCCTGGGGTGTGACTGCACTGTACACTCGGCGGGTCTAGTTCTGAACCCGGTGTGTGTGTCTGTGTGTGTGTTAATTGTATTTTAAATCAAGCAGTGTAAGCACACACATTTGGCTCACGTAATGGAGTTTTTATAACAAAAGAGAAAATTTGGATTTCTAATTTACAAATGGCAAATTTATCCCTCTCTGGATGCACCAAAGACCAGTAAAGTTTATAGCTTTTCCATCTATATTTATAAAGCAATACTGTATTATAAAATCAATATTTTTATCACATGCTTGAAATTTTTATTTTGTTCTGTTTTAAAATGTGCACTCTAAACATATCAGAACCTTATTTCTTCCTATGAACTTAAGCTGCCTGCGCACAAAAACAAAAAACAAAAAAAAATTACCAAATGGAGGTGAAGTAAATAAGAGTCCATAGAGTCTCACAACTGAAAGAAGGAATGAGGGGAAAACATGTTATTTGTCCTGAATTACTGTACTGTGCCTGCGTGACACGGTTGATGGGTTCCGCCTCACAGAAGCCATTCCAGGTGTGCGTGTCCGGGTGGGCTGCATTTAGGTAGAAACTTAGTCCCGAGCGATCTTTGCGGGAGGAGCGTGCGTCCTCTCTTGTCAGCTGCGTGTTCGAGAGTGGCCCGAAGATGGCATCACCTTCGGTACCACCAGCCTACCTGATAGAGTAGCAAGGCAGGAATTGTGAGAATTGCCTGAGTCTGTTTTGAGTGTTTTGGAAATGGTCAAAGGGATTGGCTAGAATGGTGAATGTTTGTGGCTCCTTTTCACCTTATGCCAGCTATCTTTGATAGAAACTACAGCATTCAGTTTCTCTGGAGACTGAGTCACATTCTTGCATTTAGCAAATTTTACCATACCAAAAAAGTATCTGCTTATAAAACAGAAAACATGAAGCAGAAAACATTTGGATTGTTACAAAATTGAACTCAACTAAAAATGATATCCATGTCAAAAATCAGCTGTTAGCAGGTAGTTTGTGGCAAAGACGGCTACAGACAGAAGCAAATTTCAATCTGTGTATACTGATGAGCTGCTTTTTTCTGTTGAGACGATCATTATTTGTCTTACCCAGTGGGCAGTTACCTGAATTGGATGTCAGAAATATTACTTATGCAGGAATAGTTCTGTAAATACATTTAAATAAACTGTAAAGGTATTTAATAAATATAGTATTTATACTAATCTGTGTACTTGTTTTGGTTTCAATAGTAATTGAGTCAGGCTTCAGCCGTTAACACTGTGTCTGGTTTCTGTCGCTTCATTAACCTGCCAGCGACTGCGTTTCATAGCTTTCTCATTTTCTGCCTTCGCGATTTTAACTGCTGCGGCTTTCTACACCAGGTAATTCCCTCAAAAATTCATCAAAGTGGATTGGGTAGTTAAATGTGAAATAGAGGTTTTCCCAGCTTTGCACCTTCTAAATGGCACAGGGTGAGGTAATCCAGAGCACTGACGGGGGACACTGGAACTGCCTCTTCCAGACCAGTGTTGCGCCAGGCGACCACTGAGGGCAATGCCTTCACAGCTAAGCCCCTTCCCATTTCCATGGCTGAGCTGGGCACTGCGTCCTCGGTGAAGACACCTGAACTTAATCCTCCAGGTACACAATCGCTGCAGTCATCTGCATTTGTTAAGAATATCAGAAACTCAGTGGAAATTAGCAATGTAAGCTTAAGACAGTCTCTTCAGCCTGCAGTGCGAAAAACCGTAGCTGAAATTATGTGGGCAATGCCAGTTTCCTCAAATAGCTGGTAAAGCCCATTTTCATTCACTGAGGAACATCTTGGGATGAACCTGAGTTTTTATTAGGTTATTGTGGGCAGCTGTGACTTACTACTAGGCTACAAGAGCTAAATTCATCCTGATTTCAGTTCACAGTTCCAGAGGACACTAATCCACTCAGCCCCTTGTAAAGTTTCTCATACAATCTCAAGAAGAGTGGTTTGCCAATAAACACCTCCCAATGGTTTGATGGCTTCTTAGAGACTGAGCAATAAAAAACTTACCTGTACTGTAAACAGGGTGGAAGGAGAGAAGAGACATGGAAAGATACTGCACAACTGGTTCTGTGCCAGAGGTTTCCAGTCTGTACAGGTAAGCAGCTCTGTTCTCAACCAAGAACAGAGACATTTGTCTTCCACTTCATTCCACTGCAAACCCACATCCTCTGAGTAGACTGTTGCTCTGTGTCCAATAATAGGAAACTTCTATTAGATTCTTTTCTGAAATAAAATTCTACAATATATAAAAAGACCAAGCTGAGTGGTGGCTCAGCCCCTAATCCCAGCTCTCTGAAGGCTGAGGAAGTAGGATCACAAGCTCAAGTCCAGGACGGACAATTTGGTAACTTAGATCCTGCCTTAGAAAAAAAAAAAAAAAAGGGCCAGGGATGCAACTGTGAAAGCCCTGGGTTCAGTTGCCAGTACCAAAAAATAAAGGACTCCAAATGATCACTTTTATGTTTTACTTTTTTCCAGTTATTTTATTTAAAGTATATTTTTAAAGGACCAAACAAGTCATTACACAAGAAAACGTTGCATAACTTTGCTGTTTCTAACAGCACTAAGAACCAAGTGTTTGCAGTCAATTACAGAAGATAACCTGACTACTAGTCACAAAATTATTTCAAGCCATCTTGATGCTCTCCAAATGGCTGCCAAAAGTTTGCTTTTACAACACTTGAAGAGTGCTGCAGCCGCAGGGTGAACATGCGCCGAACAGAAGAACTTGAGTAGGTTTGCTGTCTGCACAGAACTGCTGCCTCCAAGCAGCATCATGATTTAAAGGTAAGCGTTACACACTGACGAGCCGCCATTTCTGCATCGAGTCACGTACAAGATCATGTTTAGAGCAGCAGAACCGCCTTGAGCACGTCGGGGAAGTTCAGGACACCGTCTTACACGCCCAGTGTGAACACGTGCTGGAGGCCCCAGCGGGTCAGTCAATGTCACTGTCGCTCGCTGTGGCCAGACTCTCGGAAGGGCAGGTGAGATGCTCTCGCTGGTCAGAAGAAACTGCTCCAAAGAACATGGAGGAAAACTGGAGGAGAAAATAACTGCACTGTTTATTCCCCAGTGAAAGTTCCCAGTGACAACCCTCTCAGAAATGCAGCCCAAGTGGTTCCCTTGGCTCTGCTGGCAAGGATTCCGGGAACACCCACAACCTCTGCGGAGGCCCAGCACATTCAGAAACCAGACCCTTCGCTGACCTCACTGGCCCATGGTGCTTTGGGACAGGTGATCCGCTGGGCCCTCCCGGGGCCACAGGAACAGGGCTGAGGGACAGGCGCGGGGGAGCTGAGTGTCTCCCCAGCCCTCTGGTCCTGCAAGCTCCCTTCCAGGCAAGAGCCCGTCCTCCCCTCTGCGCCCCAGGCACGCCAGCATTTTCAGATGCTCACGGCTCCCCTTCTGATAGCCGCCTTCCCCAGGCTGTGCCCTGGCCCCTCCCTCCACAGAAACCGCTCTTACTGTGGCCACCGCGTCCATAATCACACTGCCTGTTTGCAGGCTGCACCCTGCCTGGCTGTCACGCTGCCCCTTCCCTCCCATGCCATCCTATCAGCCACCACGGTGCCACCTTCTGGGCTCTGATGACCCTCCATTGCGAGGACTGCTGCTACCGCAGGTACCAGGCAGCATCACCACTGTCTCCCCCAATAGCTGTAATCGTAAAATCCAGAAGGCTCAGATATTGCCAACATCTCCCGAGGGGCACGGTCACCCCTGGTTGGGAACCATGGCTTTAGATGATAGCAGTTGTCTCGGACAGTGAAAGTACTGTCCAGGTGCCAGGGAGTCAGAACTGGAACTTCAGCCCACGTGGCCTGCTGCCTGCTTGATTCCTGCCATATCCAAGACAGCGCACGAGTTTACAGGCCGAGAACCTGCTTCTCCAAACCCAAGTCACCCTCTGCACCTGCTTCTCAACTCCTGGAGCTCCTGTCACCAAACCTGGGGGCACTGGCCCCCGAGTCAGCCGCCCCGCAGCTTCTCTGCACCCCTCCTCTGGGAAGCCCCCATGTCTCGGACCTGCGTTGGGGATACTTCTTACCTCACCGCGCCCTACTTTTCACACAGCTAACGTCACCTTGTAAATGTCCGGCTGCCAGCCTCATGTTAGAACCTTTCCAGGACTCTGAGCCCTAAGGTGCTTCACATGGTGGCTGGCAGGGCTCGCGGGACTCTTAGGCAGGATGTGGCCCTCAGTCGTCACCCTGGCTTCACCTTGTGTCCTTGCCTCTCCTGCCCTCCAGCACCCGATCCGCCCTTCCGTTCCTTGGAGCAGCACAGGCCCCGTGCGCTTCACCACGCCACCACCCCGCCTTCCACCTTATGCTGTCCACTGTGGCTGCGACACCAGCCCAGAGGATAGACTGTGACCTGAATTGGGTCACTGTGCTTTTGGTCTTCTTGGGGCACCCAGGACTTTTCTTACACAGAATTTAACACAGCTTTTTAAAAAAAATTTCCATATTTCTAGTTAGGTGAGTTTCATGTCTACAACCTAGTCCTGCGCCCTGTTCTCCCTCTAGTCTTTGTCAAATAGGGTGCCCAGCCTAGTCGCCCCCCATGGTGTCCCTCCTTGGCTGCCCCACACTTGTGGCCCCCGCGAACCCCTGTGGAGCCAGGCAGTAGCACAACCCAGTGATTGGCAGCCCTGCTACCACCTTATCCTCACGACCAGACAGGAAACCCACTGGGATGGTGACAGTGCCCGGAGAGACTTCCGTCACACGGCTGGGAATTACGGTAGCAGACAGGCGAGCAGCCAGTGTGGTCAGAACGACCTTCAGGTGTGGCCGCGCCCAGAGAGCCTGAGGGAGGCAACACGAGCGGGCGGAGCGGGCGGGCTTCACTGCAGCAAGGGCGCCACGAGCCCCAGCGTGCAGGGGCCGCCTAGAAGCTGCCGGAGGAGCCCAGCTCTGCGGCCTCCGTTCGAGCCCAGTGACAACCATCTCAGCTGCAGCCTCCAGATTGTGGGATATTTACGCCTGGGTAAGCTAGATACAACACCGCACTTGCAGAACAACCCCAGTACTTGAGAGGCTGAGGCAGGAGAAGTACGAAATTGAGGCCAGCCTGGGCTACAAAGGAGGCCCCACCTCAAAAGAAAAAACAATGTGTTGTGGAAACCATCAGGAGCAAATGCCCTGGCTCAGCACAGCCGGAAGCGTAGCCCTTGCCGTGCCGTCTTCTAGTGGAGAAAACTCAACAATGTGCAGGCAACTGGGAATTCCCTCAAACCCAGTCTGAACTGGGTGAGAAGCCAAATTACTGTAACATGTTTAAAATAATACACATTTTGCCCAATGTTAGTGGCCCTGGGCCATCACTTTGAGTACTCAAAAAAAAGTACTCAAAAAAAAAAAATTTAAGTTTAATTTTTGAAAACCCCCTTAAAGTAGCATCATTTCAATTTGGAATTGGATGGGCTTTTAATTTTTTTCTAGGAACTAGGCAGTGTGGCACATTCAGCTATTCAGGAGGCTGAACCAAGGTAGTTGCAAGTTGAGGTCAGCCTGAGGGGCTTAGCAAGGACCCCAGAAATAAAAAGGCAGGGGGCAGCAGTGATTTAGCTCAGTGATACAGCACCTGGCTGGGGAGCATGAGGTCCTGAATTCAATTCCCAGTCCCTCCCCACCAAAGAAAAAGAAAGAAAAAGGCTGGAATTTAACTCAGAGCATGAATGAGCTCCTGGATTTGGTACCTGAAAAGAATTTTCCCTTAAGATATCTCAAACCAGGGTGGAAGACACACAAACTACCAGCTGTGCACCGGGAGGACGGAACGCGTGGAGAGCAAGGCCTGCCCTCGGTGAGCTCACAGTGTGCCTAGCGCACCGACAGGTCAGTACGGTTAGTACACGACAGTTACAGCGAGGGGGTGGCTGCAGTGCCACAAGTGGAGTAAGACGGCTGCAGAACAAGGACGGTGCAGCCAGACCCGAAGGGCAGACAGAAGTCTAGGAGTGCGGCACAGAGGAAGACCATCGCCCAGGCTGAGCGCGGGGAGCAGAGGTGTGTGCCCACCTTTCCACCCAAAAGCAGGAGGGACGAGCGGACCTGCGCCCCACTGCTGGATGTTGCATGTGAGTTTTTCAGCTGATGCAGCCACACAAAAGAGATAGGCTGGAGACACTGAAGAATAAAACTACCTCTGCGTAATCACTGCAGATGACAGGCCTGAAAAACTTGAGAGAAGCAGGGATAAAATAATGAAAACAATAAACAATTGAGGAAAAAATAAAATAACTCAGTAAGGCAGCAGCAGAGAAAATTAACATGCAATAAATAAATGAATCAAAGCTGGAAAAACAAGAGTGACAGAGGCAGGGGGAAACATTGAATGGTCATGTATGTGTACCAGTTCTCTGCAATGAATGTAATCATTATGTACTTCAAACATGTGCTAATAAAAGTAGAAGCAGAAGATTTAGCTCAGTAGCATAAGTGCCTGCCTTGCAAGTGGGTGGTTGTGAGCTCAATCTCCAGTACCAAAAAAAAATAGCTCCACAGATACAAAAGATAGGCATTGAGAACATAATGGTAGAGAAAACTGCATCTACGATAGCAACTGAAATTAACTATATGGTGTGTAGTAATAAGTGTGCAGCACCTCCATTAGAACTTTTGTTTTACTCCTGGAGACACAAAAATAGACCTGAACCAATTAGAAGACATCACCACTCAAAGATGTCAGTTTCCCCTAAATTAACAAAATTTAAGGAAATCCCAATTTAAAAAAAAAACTGAAAATGTTTTAAATGAAATGATATTAAATCAACTTAATGATAAGTTGATGTTAAAGGTTAAATTAAAATCTACAAGAATAGTCAGGAAAAGAAACATGACAGGATCCACAAAGTGATGGATGCTAATCCTGCCAGACACAGAAACACACTCAGAAACCGCCTGGCCAAGTGTGGCCCCAACACATGCAGAGACTACCGAGTTAGCGAGTTAGCGGAACAGACTGTGCACAGACGGACTCCCATAGCGGAGGAACTTAACAGAGGACAAAGGAGACACTGCAGATCGCTAGGGCAAAGGTAGGTATACTTTACAGGTGGACCTGAGTTGACTCCATAGTAGTTCCAAAAAGAAATTAAATTAGATTTATACTTTGCACCAGGCACACAGTTCTGCATGTAAATGTAAAAGATTAAATCACTTGGGTGTGATGGCACACACCTGTTCATTCAACTGCTTGCCTGAGGCAGAAGCAGGAAGATCACAAGTTCGAGCCCAGCCCAGGCAATTTAGCAAGCTTTTGTCTCAAAACTTTAAAAATAAAAATAAAAAAGGTTCTATGCTGGGTTCAATCCAAGTACCACAAGTAAACTTTAAAAAAAATACACATTCTAGAAGGAAATGAGTGAATTTTTTAACTTACGTACAGAAAAGGTTTTTAATAATTGATTCAAAACCCTTAGACTTTTTTTGTTTTGGAGAGGTGTGGTTTTGTTTCATTTTGTTTTTGTTTTTTGAGGCAGGGTCTCACTATGCAGTTCAGGCTGGGTTTGAGCTCACTCGTTGCCCAAAGTGGCCTTGAACTCACAGCAATCCTCCTGCCCCAGCCTCTCAAGTGCTGGAATTACATACAGGCTTGCACCACCATGCCTGGCTCAATTTTTAAAATTTTAAGTTTGACTACATAAAATGAAAAAAATCTTGCCTGGCAAACCTTAAAACATAACTGACAAAGTAGGAAATAATGTGTGCCCCACATAGCAAAGATAAATGACTAATAACTATAATATACACATAAAAAAACAGTAGAGGGCAGGGACATAACTCCGCGTGCAGCACCTGCCTGACAAGCATGAGGTCCTGAGTTCAATTCCTGGTACTAAAATAAATAAAAACAGTAGAGAAAAGGGAAGAGATGTGAATGAACAAGTCAAAAAAATTATAGGATGGGGTTTAAATGCACTAAAAAAAATCTTCAACCTCACAATTTAGAGAAACGCTAATGAAAACCACACCGAAATAGTACTATTTCTCAACTACCGATTTGGCAAAACTTTCACTGCAGTTCAGCTCTGCATGTTGCTTCGGGCAATGGGACCTGGGTACACCCTCGGCACTGCTGCTGGGACTGGGACTGAGGCACAGGCTGCAGAGCCCAGGGGAAGCCTGCAATTACTTTAAAATACGAAGTTAAACAAGGAAATAAGGTAAATAAGCAGAGCGGCTGCGTTATGAAAGTGCTGGCGTCACCCTGCGCCGCTTTAGTCGGGCTCGCAGGCCTGGTCTGCAGTGGGCACGGCAGGTCCACAGTGCAGGCAGGTGCTCACTAGATCAAACCCCGGCAGGTGACAGCGCCTGGCGAGGCGTCCGGCTCACGCAGAAGGGGAGCAGAGGGAGCTAAGCAAGCGCAGAGCGACGCAGGACAGGAACCTTTACCCTTTACCGAGCACCGCAGGCGTCGGGAGTACTGACGATTAATTTTCACAAGTCCACTATCGAATGGTCACTGCTCAGGAAACTGAGGTGAACACCAGTATCAGCCGGCCAACAGCTGGGGAGCCAGCGACTGGGAGAGGCCTGAGCCCAGGAACCCCGCGGCGCTGCAGATCTAGGCTTGGCCTCTCCCCTCCACGTAGGGAGAAGCAGGCTGGAGGGGCAGGGGGCCCTCGAAGGCCCACAGTTGCCCGGGGGACGAGGCGAAGGCCGTCACCACCCCCAGGGCAGAATTTCAGCCTGGCAGGAGTCTGCCACAGCGAGGCAAACAGCGCCCTTGAAAAACAGTGCCTCCTCCTCAGAATTCACTCCTGTAATAGAACATTTGGAGAAAAGGGATCTGCAGAGCTTAACTAACTCTGAGAGTCACTTTCCCTAGTAAGGCCACGAGCCACCTTCAGGAACTGCAGGGACCTGATGCAGCAGGACGAAGATTCCTTCTTGTTGCCTGTGAAGAAGCAGGCACACTGTGAGTGTGGCCAGCAGAATTACTTACGTGACCTCAGCACACTGGATGTGTTCAGAGAAAGCCCTAATTTAGCAGTCAGAGTTCACTCCCAGGCAGGTGGTCCAAATCGCTGCCTTTTGCAGTGAGAGTCTGCAAATCAGACTTCCCTCCCCGAGGCTGGCTTCACCTCCCCTAGCAAAAATTAAGAAAGGGGCTGGGGCGCAGCTCAATGGTAGAGCACACGCCGAGCATGCATGAGGCCCTGGGGTCGATGCTCTGCACCAACAGAAAGGAAAGAAAGGAAGGAAGGAAGGAAGGAAGGAAGGAAGGAAGGAAGGAAGGAAGGAAGGAAGGAAGGGAGAAAGAAAGAAAGAAAGAAAGAAAGAAAGAAAGAAAGAAAGAAAGAAAGAAAGAAAGAAAGAAAGAAAGAAAAAGAAAGGGAAGGAAGGGAAGGAAGGGAAAAGGAAAGAAAGAAAGAAAAGAGAGAGAGAGAGAGAGAGAGAGAGACACTTAGCCAGGCATGGTGGCTCACTCCTGTAATCCCAGCACTCAGCAGGCTGAGGCAGAAGGATCATTGCAAGTTCAAGACCAGCCTGGGCTACAAAGTGAGCCCAAGGCCAGCCTGAACTGTACAGTAAGATCCTATCTCAAAAAGAAAAGAAAATAATAGAAAAGAGAAAAAGAGAAGAAGAAAGGAAAGGAAAAAAGGGGAAAGAAAAGAAAAATGAGGAAAGGAAAAAAAAAAAAAAAGAAAAGAAAGGAAAGGAAAGGAAAGGATTACTTTTTGGGAGAGTGTCTGTGGACTGGGGCCGGAGGCCGCAAAGCAGCCGGGACAATTCCATCAGGTGCGCTCACACCTCCTGGCTCTTCTCTTACCTTCCTGAGGGAAAAGGAGCCCCGATCATCTTCTGCACCACTGGCACAGCTTTTGGACGCCTCCCGGATGTCATCCAGGTTGGCCCTCTTCAGCTGGGGGCAGCCACCGTGTTCTGCAGCCCAGTCCTTTGAGTTCGAGTTCTTTGCGGGAGTCCCCGGAGGACAAAGCCTTTTGGGTGCTGCTTTTCTCGAGATGCACTCTGGGGCCTGGGCGGCTCCCCCTACGCCAGCCTTTGAATCCAACCGTCGCCGGTGTGACCTAAGTGTGAAGGGGCTGGATGAGCACGCGGTCTCCCCGGAAACGCCTTTCTTCTGTGTAACTCCCAGGACAGCGTGGAGAGCCCGTGTACTGAAATAACATTGAGCCAGCTGCTGAAAGCTCGCATTCACGTGTAGGGACACTTAAAGATGCACGTGGCAGAGTCTAGTCTCTCAGGAAAGTCGCTCGGTGCACACGCAGCACACAGCACGCACGTGGGATGGGAAGAGGTGCGTGTGAGAGAGAGCTAAACCAACCACCAGGCTCCCTAGAGCAAAATTTTACGAGGTCAGGAAAACGTTTCTCTTTAAGTCAAAATCAGTGACACTGGAGCAGGTCCACAATATATTTTATGGGGAACACCAGAATACAAAGTGACATAACATCCCGTTCTGGCTTTTTTGATTTTTCTTTTTTTGTGATACTGAAGATGGTACCCAGGGTCTTGGGCATGCTGGGCAAGTGAGAGTCTGCAAATCAGACTTCCCTCCCCGAGGCTGGCTTCACCTCCCCTAGCAAAAATTAAGAAAGGGGCTGGGGCACAGCTTTACAGCTTTACAGTGCTTTACAGCTGAGCTATGCTCGCAGACCTTTTATTTATTTCATTTTCAGACAGGGTCTCATTGAATTGGCCAAGGTCTCAAATTTATAATCCTTCTGCCTCAGTCTCCCCAATAGTCAGGATTATGGGGATGTACCACCACACCCAGCTTCAATCTTGTTTTCAAATGTAATTATATTTAAATAAAAAGTGTGAAAGAAATATAGTGAGCTAAAATGTCACTAGGAGCTATCTCTGGATGGTGCAATTATGGATGGGCTTTATTTTCTTTTTGGACTTTCTGTATTTTCCAAATCTCCCATAGTAACTTGGTGTTACTTTACCATAAGACATATCACTCCTAAAAAATTTATTAAGAAAATGGATGATTGTCTTACATCTGAGGAGTTTTAGGAAACGAACATAGAATTTCTTGTGAAACTTGACCGTCTATCACTCTTTAAAAAAACAACTGAAAAGTGAAAATAAGTTTTGAGTCATAACAACAATAAAGCAGACTGTCCCAGTAGACTGTGGCCAAGAGAGAAAGAGCAGATACCTTATAGACCAGCTAGGCTTTTCACGATACAGTTTAGTCTCAGCAACTCTTTCAGATTCAGTCACGATTTCTGATCTACTGTTTTATTCCTGTTATTTCTGAACTGAAAGCCACTGGAATGTTTCACGGAAAGGTGGCAGTGGCTTTCCCAAGCAGTAACAGAGTTAAAAGACAGCCTTACCTTCTTCTTGCTTGGGAAAGACACAGCAGTGGTGGGGAATGTGCCCCGCCTGGGTCATCAGCTAATGTCGACAGAATGAAGTTAGCTTCTAGTAGCATATCAACGATACTCACAGCCACGGGTCTGGGGAGGCAAAGGCAGGACAGAAGGGACACTTGTTTTCTCACGGACATTAGGACACATTAGAAAATGATACAGATTTCTGGAGTAAAAAGGAACACTATAAATACACGTCTTTTTGTGCTGTCAATACAATCATAAGAGTCAAAAGGGCGTTTAGAAACCATCCGCTCCCATTTAACATTTTAGGTCTAGTGCATATAAAGTATCATAGTTTTTTAGAGGTTTAACTTGCATAAGCCATGTATAATTTTCTAATTAGGCAATTTATTCAGCAGCCCATCAAATTTATAGCTGTTTCATTCTACCAAAGAATGCATCTTTCTCAATCAAGTTACCAATTTAAAAATGCATCTTTCTCAATCAAGTTACCAATTTAAAAATGCAATGTTATGCCATCTTTTCAAAGTTTTACTTTGATACATGTTGCAAGTAAAGTTAAGGAATTCCTGATGTGTGTGAATTAATTTCACTATGATTCAGAGCTTTATTATCTATAACAAACAGAAAGTCAGAACAGTTGTCAAGGACCTACTTCCCAGGAAAATCAAAATGAATGGACACAGGAACATGTGTAGCTTCTGAAAATGTCAGCATTCCCTGAAAGAATAAAAGAAGACAATGTAAAGTCTTTTTAAAAACTACTGGTGAACATTGGAATTTGACACCAATAGGTGTTTACCTTTAATTCTTTGCAGCAAAATGTTATTTCAGTATCCAGCCCAACCTGAAAGAGGTCAAACTCATCTGGGCCAATAATCATCTCACTGTACACAGAATTGGTCAAACCTGTAAATGTTACAGGAAAATGAAAAATAAAGTTACTCTCAGAGGTATTTTTAAAATTTTAATGCAAAAATATAGTAATAAGTAGGAAGGTAAAAATAGTACAAGTTCTCTCAGAGTCCTGTACTGAGAGCCAGGGCTGGGCCCACGTCCCCCCGCATTCTGACTGTGCCGGCCAGGAGGGAATGGCGAAGGTGCAGCAGGAGATGTACCGCCCTGCGGCCAGGGGACTTCAGCTTGTTAGTTGCCCACTAATAGTTCCTGTTGCTTTTGTTTCTTAGAAACGGCTGGTCACTCTCTGCATGGCCAGTCACCACGGTGCACATTGTAAGAACCAGTCCCCAAGCGACAAGCCATTCTGCCTCTGTATTTCCTGCTTGCTCACCCCATGAGCCCTAGCACCAGAGATGAGGCCTGATATTCTGGGAATGATCCCGATCAGCGCCCCTCAATGTAAAATAAATCTGCCTCCAAATCCTGAGGGTCTTTTCGGTGTTTCTGTTTGCCGTTGCAGAGTGACCTCAGCCAGTTTCTGGGCCCAGACTCAAAGAGACTGGCAGTCTCCACTTCCTGTCACCCACAATGCTCCCTCTTGAAACTCGGCACCACGCCACAGGTGGTCCAGGGCACACTAGAGGCCACCTGTGAGCACGCGCTGGGGGTGACAGCTCAGTTTAGCCCCCGTATCAACTGTGAGCCATGTGTGGGTGTCATTGTCACACTGCAGGTGGTTCCCACTCCTCCACCAAAGTCACCTGCACAAGGGTCCCGTGTGGGAACTTCCCAGTAGAGTCCCATCAGCCCCAGAGAAAACCTGAGAGATGACAAATTACTGTCCTAAGCCACTGTCAAGGCAGCTTGTTATAACCAATTAATAACCAGATACCATAAAGCTTGGTTTGTTCTAAAGGGAACTACTATAAATACAGCTTACACATAACAAGGATATTATACTTTATTAACTGTATTCAACTTTGTTTCAAAAAAAAAAAACTTCAAAATTAACACCCACTAAAACTAACAAAAAACAGAGTAAGAGATAAAATAGAAAACAGAGTAAGAGATAAAATAGGATGTATTACACTAAATTGTAAAATCTGGTTTAAAAAGTGAATTTTAAAAATTTTAAACTGAGATATAGTTCATTTACCCAATATTCATCATTTTAAGTGTACGATTCAATGATTTTTACTGTAATCACCACCCGCTACTAAATATTTCCATCATCTCTGAAAGAAGCCCCACACCTGTGCGGGGTCAGGCTCGCTTCCCCGCCCCTCCGGCCCACAGCAGGCAGCCACGCATCCACTCTCTGCGCCCCGGCAGACTCTTCCGGATAATTACCGTGGGTGAACTGCACAGTACGCGGCCTTTAGGTTCTGGGTTCTTTTCCGCAGCTCTGTGTTTCCGGATGCGCCCGCACTGCTGTGGGTATCAGGACTTACTCCTTTTTATGGCTGAATAATACCCCTCTTCCCACACTCTGCTTGTCCATTCATGAGCTGATGGCCTTTGGCTTTGCATTCTGTGGCTGCTACGTAGGGGTGCTGTGTACACTCATGTGGACTGTGAGGTGTAAGCCACTTAAGGAAGGCGGCAGAGGAACAAGACAGGAAAAGCCTGGTGCTTTTTTTTTTTTTTTTGAAACAGGGTCTCGCTATACAGTTCAGGCTGGCCCTGAACTCACTCTGTAGCCCAGGCTGGTCTTGAACTCACAGCGATCCTCCTGCCTCAGCCCCATGAGTGCTGGGATTATAGGCATGCACCACCACATCCAGCCAAGCCTGCTGCTTTGAAGAACATGGAATAATCACACTAACCATTTTTTACTTTATTTTATATTGTGTTTTCTGGCATAGTTGAAAATAATCCTTAAAAATACACATTACAATTTCTAATATTCTATTTTGTCAAAGTTTAATATCTATGCCTTATTTTTGTCAGCTTGTTTGTTTGTTTGAGACAGGGTCTTGCTCTGTAGTCCAGGCTGGCCTCAAACTCTCTGTGTAGCTCAGGCTGGCTTCAAGTTGATGGTAATCCCCCTGCCTCAGCCTCCCAAATGCTAGGATTACATGTGCCACCATGCCCAGAGTAATCTGTAAGAGATTATTGAACTTGAATTTTTTTCAGTAATTTATTATCACAGAAAACCCTGATGTTTGGAACTTTACAAGTATGTTCCAAGATAACCAAAGATACAGATGATGTGCCTTTATTACACATAACATTTATTCACTTATTTTACAGGGCTTTCATACTGAGCTACATCCCCAGCCCATTTTTTATTTTTGAGTATCCGAGAATCTTGCCAACTCGATAATGTGCCCAGGCTGCCTTCAATTTGCATCCTCAGCCTTCCATGGTGCTGGGATTACAGGTCTGTACCACCATGTCCCGCTATATAACCTTTTATGATTTAAAAAATCGATTATGCACCAAAAGTATAAGCAACAAAAGAAACAGATAAACTGATCTACACCTAAATTTAAAAATCTGTGCTCCAAACAATGCTGTAAAGAAAGTAAAAACAGCCAGCCATTGTGGCATGTGCCTGTAATCCCAGCACTCAGGAGGTTGACGCAGCAGGATAGCCATGAGTTTGAGGCCGGCCTGGGTTACAATGCCACGAGTTCAAGGCCAGGCTGAACTACATAGTGAGACTGTGGCTCAAAATTTTAAAAACATTTTTAAAAAGAAAAACAAAATAAAAAGAGCTAGGAGCAGGTGCATGTTGCTACTCAGGAGGCTAAGACAAGAGGACTCCATGTTCAGGGCCGGCCCGAGGACTTGGACGAGATCCTTTTAATATAGAGATTTTTTAAAGGGCTGCATGAATAGCTTAGTAGGATAGCACTTGCCTAACATGTGTGAGACCCAACAGTCAATTCTCAGCACCACAAAAAAAGGAGGGAAAGCCAGGGATTTAGGTTAACTCAGCAGCACAAACACCTGCCTGGCAAGTGTGTTTGATCCCTGGCACCAAAAAAAAAAAAAAAAAAGGAAACAAAGAGAAAAGAAAGGGTGGGGGGAGAAAACATAACCCATGGAATTGGAGGAAATATTTGCAAATCATATATATGCAGAAAAAATAGAGCCCAAGTGAAAAAAGCAAAAAGGATTTGAATAGACATTTCTCCAGAGAAGTTATGAAATACCCAATAAGCACATGCAAAGATGCTCAGCATCATTAGTCCTTAGGAAAATGCAAATGAGGCCCACACTGAGGTGCGACTTTGCACCACCAAGCTGGCTGGAAGCCAAAGGCAGACAATAGCAAGTCTGTGAAGGACAGAGAATCGGACCCTCAAACCCTGCCAGTGGGATGGGAAAGGAGGCACCCAGAGCCAGGTGTGATGGCACAGGTTTGTAATCACAGCTGCTCTGGAAGATTGAGGCAGGAGGATGAAAAATTCAAGGTCAGCGCGAGCAAGTTGGTCTGATCATCTCAAAAACTGAAAAGGATGCACAATTATTTATCACTGTCAACCCCTAATTGTGGGTTTGAAATTTTGTTTTATTCTTTTCTCTAAAATAAAATAAAATAAAATAGGCCCTGGAAGTAGCTCAGTGGCGGAATGCCTGCCTAACATGTGCAACTTCCTGGGTTCAGTCTCCACTACTGAAAAACCAAAAGCTGCACTCATCACTGAAAATGGGCTGGCAGGTTTTCAAAACGCCAAACAGTGTTCCTGCAGGACTTAGCAAGTACACTGCTAAGTATATGGCCAAGATAAACAAAAACATGTCCACAAAAAACTCACAGGACTGTTCACAGCAGCTTTACCAGTAAGACCACAAAAGTGAAAAAGTCACAATGCCTATCCAGTGCTAAACGGATAAATAAAATGTGGCACATCCATTCAAAGGAATAGTATTCAGCAACAAAAAGAATTGACATACGTGCTGATAAATACAATGTGGGGCACTCTTAAAACTCTGTACTAAGTGAGAGAAGGCAGATGGGAAAGGCTGTATGCGGGATGATTCTGTATATATGAAGTACCCTGGCATAGACAAGCCATGGATACAGAAAGTGGACAGGAAGCGACCTCGGGCAGGGGTTGGGAGGAGATGGGAAGTGACTGCCAGTGGATATGGGGTTTCTTTGGGGGCGTGATTAAATATTTTAAAAGAGCCTAAACTTAAACACTCTAAAGGGGATAGTGGTTGCATTAAGTCTAAGTATACTAAAAAATGAGCTGCATACTTTCAATCATATAGTTATATAGTTCAATAAAGTTGCTTTTAAAAACCAAATGATGAATTAAAAAAAAGTAATTTTTAGGGGCTGGGGATTTAGCTCAGCGGCATAAGCACCTGCCTTGCAAGCAGGCGGTTGTGAGTTCAATCCCCGGTACTGATAAAAAGGAAAAAGACAAAAAAAAAAAAGTAATTTTTTGTCTCCTGAATCCACCTGATTTCCTCCTACCTCATTCTCCTCCTTCCCAAAATATCTGTAGACTATTTTAAAGTACCTTTGTTCAAAAGAGAAATTCAGTCTGACCTTTTCACCTTCCTTTTGAACTCCACAAAAATATAGAGCCTGTCTAAGTACATTCACATGAGCCAGACTGTATGCGTTAAATACATTGGTCTGAGATGAATACAATTTCTAATGGGAAAGATATAAAAAGTATAGTTTTTAACAGTTTTTTTTTTTTTTTTTTGTCTTTTTTCCTTTTTACCGGTACCAGGGATCGAACTCACAACTGCCTGCTTGCAAGGCAGGTGCTTATGCCGCTGAGCTAAATCCCCAGCCCCAAAAGTATAGTTTTGATTCACATGTATTTTTTGTTTTCTTTTTCATTACATGTTTAATAATTTAAATATCATTCATTTATAAGTATATGGTAAAGTAACTTTAACATAATTTGTGAATGATAATTGTTTTGGGAATCAAACTTTTCCTTTCTTTCTTTTTCTTTTTCTTTCTTTCTTTCTTTTTTTTTTTTTTTTGTACCAGGCATCAAAGTCAGGACTTTGCGCTTACCAGGCACGCACTTGAGGCACTGTGCTAAATCCCCGACCTCAAACTTTATTTTCAAACCCTTCAGTTTAGCAAATTTGTATTTTAAAAGTCTTGTTCTCAAGCTAGTGGGTAGATCAGTGGCAGCGCACCTGCTTAGCATACACAAAGCCCTGGGTTCAATCTGCAGCACCACCACCACTTCAAAAAAGGTCTCATTCTCACATCTGTGTCTGTTTGATTTGACCATTAATCAGTCATCAATATTCCCTTATAGCATGGGACAGATGTACAGTACATTTATTGTTTATCCCAATGTATTTATTCTTCTTTGTTGCTATTGCAAAGAAGTTTCCTACACTCATGTCCGTTGAATATGATTTGTGTACATGAAGACTACCTGAGTTTTTCATGTTTGTGTTACACCCTGCTCCCTCAGTTTTACCACTGATTGTTAGGGTTTTCCAGGTGTACCCCAGTATCATTTGTAGTGGGGATAGTGCTACTTTTTTCTCTAGTGACTTGACTCATCTAACTGCATGAATTAATAACTAGTGTAATACTAAGTAGAAGTGGAGATAGAGACAGCGTCCTTACATTAAAGCGTCCTTACATTAAAGCGTCCTTACATCTAAAGGTCCCCTGAAAGCCTCATGTGTTTGGAAGGTGATTAGACTGCGGGGACCCTATACTCATCAGCAGATTTATTCACTGCGGAGCGTGGGCTGAATGCACTTGTAGGAGGTGAGGCCTGGCTGGAGGTGGGCACTGTGGTCTTCTCGCCCCCAGCTCCTGCCTTTGCCCTCCACTTCCCATCTAGAATGGGCTGAGCAGCCCTCCCTCTACCAGGCCCCCATGCCACCCTGTTTCTGTCTTGGAGCCAGTTGACCATGGACTGAAACTATGAGCTAAAATACACCTCGCCTCCTTTAAATTGTGAGTGTTGGGAATTTTGTCCCAGCAGAGACATCATCCTTTGTTTTCATCCATGTTGGAAGTGTCAGGAAAGTGTCTGTCTATTCCTATATAATTCAGTAATTTATATTAAGAATAGGTGTTGGGCCAGGGATTTAGCTCAGTGGCATAAGCGCCTGCCTGGCAAGTGCGCGGTCATGAGTTCAATCCCCGGTACTACAAAAAAAAAAAAAAGAATAGGTGTTATAGCCGAGCATGGTGGCACACTCCTATAATCCCAGCACTTGGGAAGCTGAGGCAGGTGGATCCTTGCAAGTTTGAGACCAACCTGGGCTATAAAGTGAGCCCAAAGGCAGCCTGAACTGCATGGTGAGAGCCTGCCTCAAAAAGAAAAAAAAAAGAATAGGTATTATGCTCTTTTTAAGTCTTTTTTAAAGCCACTATGGAAATCACCATATACTTTTTTTCATAGAACAGCTAATGTAATGTAACATTAGTACGAATGTAGTGTTTTATGCTCATAGACATTCTACTGTCGAAACAAACTTGCATTTTTTTTTTTAAATCAGTACCGGGGATTGAACTCATGACCATGTGCTTGCAAAGCAGGCGCTTATGCCACTGAGCTAAATCCCCAGCCTGCAAAATTGCATTTTAGAGTAAATACCACTTGGTCATGGCTTATGGTCTCCTAAATGAGGTTTTGAATTTTGTTTCCTAATACATATAATTTTACATTTATAAAGCATACATTTTAAATGAAAATACAATTATACTGTACATAGCATTCATAATATACTCAATAAATATATCCTGAATATTTTCCTTCATCAATAAGTATACTTTTATAGTTATTTATGTGGGGTTGGTATTTTGAGTTTTTCAGTACCAAACTATTCCATTTAAACATCCCCGTAGAGAGATGGGAATGTATTTACACACATACACACAACATTCCCTTCACTCAACCAGTCTTCTGCTGCTTGATCTGAAGTGTAGCAGACACATCAAACTACTAAAGTGTTTAGGTATTGGGATTTCAGATGAACTTTTTATTTATGCTTTTAAAAAATATTTTTCAGGGGGCTGGGGATTTAGCTCAGTGGCATAAGCACCTGCCTTGCAAGCAGGCAGTCGTGAGTTTGATCCCTGGTATCGATAAAAAGTATGTATATTTTTTTTTCAGGGGCCGGGAATTTAGCTCAGTGGCATAAGTGCCTGCTCTGCAAGCGCACGGTCATGAGTTTGTTCCCTGGTACTGATTAAAAAAATTTTTTTCAGTGGCCAGGGATTTAGCTCAGTGGCTTAAGCCTCTGCCTTGCAAGTGTGTGGTTAAGTTCAATCCCTGGTACAAAAAAATGAATAATAATCAAAAATATTTTTCAACTGGGCATGGTGGTACACACCTGTAATCCCAGCACTCGGGAGGCTGAGGCAGGAGGATTGCTGCAAGTTCAGGACCAGTCTGAACTACAAAGTGAGCTCAAGGCCAGCCTGAACTGCATAGTGAGACCCTGTCTCAAAAAGACACAAAAAGAAATTTAAAAATTTTAAAAAATATTTTTCATTTGCTTCCATGGACATGACTTACATAAAGAGTAAAAACAAAAGTTAAGTGATATATATTCCAACAATACCTTAAGTACACATTCATTTCCAACAAGACAGCTCGTATCATGCCCAGTATGCAAGCATAAAGGAAATTCTAAATAAGCTGAAACAGTTGGATCCCCAGGCAACATAACTATAACTACTCACCAGACAGCTACTCGCAAGAGACAGTGTTTACTGGTTACTAAATGAACATCTTTATCCAGAGATGACATGATGAAACAGAAAACAGACCCCTTTCCTAGCTGAGCATATATTTTCCAGATCACGTACTGCTGAGTGCCAAGAAAGAAAGCTGCATGAGACTCCAGGGACGCAATAGAAATGCAGCTTTAGAAGCTTGCACCTGGGGACCAACTATCTGTGCTCAGACCCTGAGCCAGGCAGGTCACAGTTTCTCTGTGCTCCAGCCTCTTCACGCAGGTCAACCACAGTACCTACACTGTACAGTTGCTATGGAGATCAAGTGAATTCATAACATAAATTATTTAAACTAGATCTTGGCATATACTAAACACTACCAAAGTCACCTGACCCATGGAAGCTTTGGTTCCACGGGCTTTTTAAAATCATAGAGTTCTTTCTTTTATATCCTCTCTTTACTACTAACTGCTTTCACCTAGACAAATTAGCCAAGGGCAGAAAGGTTTTTTTTGTTTTGTTTTGTTTTGTTTTTTTGTCTTTTTCCTTTTTATCGGTACCAGGGATCGAACTCACAACTGCCTGTTTGCAAGACAGGCGCTTATGCCACTGAGCTAAATCCCAGCCCCAAGGGTAGAAAGTTTTATACAGCTTGTTGTACCAAAAAAACCAAGTCTGTTTTGTTCTATGGCACTGGGGATCAAAACCAAGATCTATGCACTGATCCCCAGTCCTTGAAAAGGTTTTTTGAGACAGGCTCTTGCTAAGTTGCTAAACTGCCCAGGCTGAGCTCAAACTTACATCTTCCTGCCTCAGTCTCCCAGGGTGCTGCTGACACAGACATGGGCACCACGCTGGGCTCCTAGAAAGTTTTCCTGATACTGAAACTCTACTCCAAATAGGCCACGGAGCACATGCTTGACGTCCCTGCAGGGAGACTGGGAGAGTCCATGAGTTTGAGATCAACCCGGACAAACAGAAAGACTCCGTCTCAAAAAAAGACAAAGCCAAACTCAATTCCATCTACACACTCTTGAAATAGCTGACTTAGGAGGATTCATGTTTTTACCCTATGTGTTTCCCATCTGGAAAATTCTAGATTCTAATTCAAAGTTACTTTTTCTTCCTGTGTAGTCAAACATCATTTCAGCTAGATTGCTGGCCTCTCAGTTTTTCATGATGCAAAGCAGAAGGGGTGGTAAGTGAGAAAGACATCTTTTAACACTAAAATGAGGGGCCGGAGGTTTAGCTCAGCGGCATAAGAGCCTTCCTGGTAAGTGCAAGGCTGTGAGTTTAATCTCTGATACAAGAAAAAAAAAATCTAAAATGAAAATATACTTTCCTCAGTAAAATTCTCTTAACTTTAAAGTAACCTGAATTTCAAAGTCAAATATTTTAATTACAAGTAATACTGATTTTCTTGGTTCTCTGATTGGATAATACGTAACAAAAAGTTTGCTATATTTCCACACATTACTGCGTTTAAGACAGGAATAATACTATGCTGTTCACGTGAACTATGTAGCTAGTAATGAAGACACACAGGAAGCACACGCCATCAAATCTCCACCACAGACATTCTCCTTACCCGCCGATTCCCCGCGAGAGCTCTTGAGGCACAAATTCAGTGAAGAAACAGCCAGAGTAACTTCCTCCTGATTCGATGAAAAAAGAACCATTGCCTCAGCCAGTAATCTATAAAATGTAATGAAAAGCCTTGAGATCATTTGAAAGACAAAAAGAAAGATGTAACCTTATTAAGAAGGACTCAAATCTTTAATCTGGATGTGACAGGCTAGTTGGCCGGAGTTTAGAAAAATTTATCCAAAGGCTCTACCTTTCTTATATACAAACTGCTATATTTCTGGTGTATCTTTAAATTGCAATTTCATTTGCAGGCCAAGAGAATAGCAAAGTATAACCTTAGTAAACCATGTGAAAGCTGCAGTCTGAACTTTTACACCAGTATCAAGTATTTTTATTCTTAGGTCTTTACACATCCATTGTATTTTTTCAAAAATTGGCTCAAGAGGGGCTGGGGATTTAGCTCAGCGGCATAAGCGCCTGCCTTGCAAGTGTGCAGATGTGAGTTTGACCTGCAGTACTAAAAAAAAACAAAGGCCCAAGATGATACATAAAGGAAGACTGTAGAGAATGGAGCTGTTTAAAGCAGACTGAGATAACTATGCTAGAGACTCATTGAGGAGTAGAGGTTTATAAACAGTCTGCCACCTGTATTTCTTCTCATTTTGCTATTTTCCTGGACTGTAGTACATAGTACTATTACTTTTAAGGTTCTCTCGATGCCATTTATTCTGGGTTTCTTTTTTTTTTTTCCTTTCATTTTTTGAGACAGGATCTATGTAACTGAGGCTGGACTTGAACTCCCTGTGTACCCCACTCTGGCCCTCAACTCGTGGCAAACCTGCCTCGGTCCCTCTGTCCCCTTAGTGCCAGTGTCACAAGTGTGCGACCACCTCTGGCATGGCTTCGTTTAGCATTGCTCTTTTTTGTGTGTGTGTGGTACTGGGGATCAAACTCGCAACCTTGTTCTGCCAGGCAGGTTCTTACTCCACTGAGCTAAATCTCCAGCCTGGCACAGCTTCCTTTAAAAACAGCTTTATTGCCAAGCATGGTGGCATACACTTGTAATCCCAGCACTTGGGAGGCTGAGGCAGGAGGACTGTTGCGAGTTCGAGAACAGCCTGGGCTACAAAGTGAGCTCAAGGCCAGCCTGAACTGCATAGGAAACCCTGTCTCAAAAAGAAAAAAAAAAAAAAACCTGAAAACTAAAAAAGCAGCTTTTTGAGGTATGACTCACATACCACACAATTCACAGATGTAAAGTGGTTTGACTGCATTTCCCTAATGACCAGTGATGCTAAGCGGCTTTCCACATGTTTATTGACCATTTGTGTATCTTCTTTGCAGAAATGCCTATTAAAATCCTTTGCCCCAATTCTTCTTAAAATAGCAAGAGGCAGTATGGTAACCATTGTTGATCACCTTGTATTTTGTTTTTACATTATCTATTATGTCCATCCTTTTGATTTGACTGACTCTGTTCTGATATGTTGCGTTTGGTTTTACTCTCTTCAAAAAAAGTAATAAAAACTGTGGGAGTAATAAAACCCAAAATGTGTAATTGTCATTGTACAAAAGAAAAGAAAAGAAAGTGCTCTAAAGGTTATAACTGCATATATGTTTAAGTGTATAAGATAGATAATCAAATTACTGAGGTTTTTTGGATCATTGAACAAAACTGTTTGCACTCTCACTGTTTGAAAGTCCACTTTAGGGGCTGGGGGTTTAGCTCAGCGGCATAAGCACCTGCCTTACAAGCAGGCGGTCGTGAGTTCGATCCCCAGTACTGATAAAAATGAAAAAGACAAAAAAAAAAAAGTCCACTTTATATGCTTCAATTTTGTAACTTGAACAACTATTTCTAAGATGAGAATATGTAATCTATTAACTAGTGATTTATTACTGTTTATTTTTTAAATTTTGTATTACTTGTACCCTTTTTCTGTTTTTTTCTTTTTCTCCTTAAAAAAAAAAATCCTTTGCCCCAGGGCTGGGGATTTAGCTCAGCGGCATAAGTGCCTGCCTGGCAAGGGTGAGGTTGTCAATTTGATCTCCTGTACCACCAAAAAACAAAACAAAACAAAAAAATCCTTTGCCCCTTTTTAGTTATTTTTTTATTAAAGTTGCATCATAGGTACTGCCATCCTTTTGACATTGAGATGTTGCTAGATAAAAATGAAATGTTAGAAGTGATGTAATCTTGGTGTCAACATGATGCTAGACATTAGTTTAGCAGTGTTTAATAGTCAACATGTAATAAACACATAGCAAATTCAGAAGCGAACTTGTTAAGAGGAAGGTGTCATACAAAAGGCCAAATAATGTCCTTATTTCTCTGATGCTGGAGCTTGAACCCAGGGTCTCTCACATGCTAGGCAAATGCTCTATCATAAAGCTATCATCCAACCTCTACGATGCCAAATCACTTGATGCTCCCTCAGAAAAAATGACAACTGAGTGTGTGGCACATTCCTGTAATGCCAGCACTTGGAGGCTGAGGCAGGAGGACCACTGTGAGTTAGATGCCCACCCAGCTACATAGTGAACTCACAGCCCGCCTAAACCACATAGCAAGACCTTGTCTAAAAAAAAAAAAAAAAAAAAAAGATAACCTGAATGTGCAATTCAAAAAATAAGAAAAATAAGAATTGCTAATATATTCTCAAACTTCCTAGTGAGAAAGGAAACATAACAGTAAAAAATATTGCATGACACTATTTCTTTCGATTTGATTGGCAAAATTTTAAAATATTGATTATATCCTCTACTTAGAAGCACTGTCCCATATTTTTTTGGTGGGAATGTAAAGTTGCATGAATTTTACATGGCGGTTTAGTGTCAGCATCTTTTTGGCCCAGTAATTCTACTTCTAGGATTGAGTTCAGTCTGTAACTTGGTCCTCAGTGATCCTTACCTCCTGATGTTTTCCTTAAATGTGGGCTGGGTTAGAGGCTCATTTCTAAAACAGAAAAAGGTGGCAGAAGTGATGAGATATCATCAGTTCTGAGGTTAAGAGCTTTGACAGATATAGTGGTGCATGCTTGTAATTCCAGCTCTTCAGGAAGCTAAGACAAGAGGACTGTAAGGTCAAGGGCAGCCCAGGCAATTTAATTCAAACTCACAATAAAATAAAGAGGGCTGGAGATGTAGTTTAACACTAGATTGCTTTCCTAAAGGGCATGAGGCCCTGGGCTTAGTCCTTAGTACCAAGGAAAACAAACAAAAAGAAAAAAGAGAGGAAGCAGGAGAGAGAGAAAGAGAGAGAGAGAGAGAGAGAGAGAGAGAGAGAGAGAGAGAGAGAGAGGGAGAGAGAGGGAGAGGGAGAGGGCGGTCCTCCCTCAGCTACCCTTTGTGAGGACTTGCAGGCAGCCAAGAGACAGGCTCACATGGTATGGACCTAAGTCCTGTGGAAACCACGAGTGAGTTTAGAAATGGCTCTTGGGCTCCCAACAGCCATATCAGTGAGCTAGGAAGTGAACCCCCAAATTGAGCTTTCCGATAAGTCTAGTCCTGGCTGACCCCATGACTTCACCCCATGAGAGCTTGAGCCAGAAACACCCAGCTAAGCCACACTTGTGGCCACAGAGTAGCAACTGTCCGATGTTCAAAGGCTCTGTGCTTTGGAGCAATTTGTTCTGCAGCAGCAGGCAGCTAATACACCATCCTGCGTACTATGAGCAGCACTGTTCATGATGGTGAAAAGCTGGGGATGTGGCTTGCTCACAGAGTGGGTGTCCATCATGTGGGAGGCCCCGAGTTCAGCCAGAGCACTCTGGGACTCTGAAGCAGGACAAGCCTGGTGACTCAGTGGCTTAGTAAGACCCTGACTCAAAAGAAAAACTAGAACTGGGAACGGGTTGGGGAGGTAGCTCAGCGTGAAGGCTCTGGGTTCAGTCCCTGGTACTGAAAAGGAAAAAAGGCAGGTTGCCTAGTAATATGGAAAGTGGGACCTTCTCTTTTTCCTTTTGAAAATGTGGGTAAGTGTGTTTTTAATCAATGATGATAATGAGAGAAGTAATTCATTGTCAGAGAGAGAATCACAAAACAGAGGTGACCTGCCAGGCGGGACAAGGGGGTGGCAGCAGAGAGTTCCTCTTCGCCTTTGCACTCTTCTGTGTATACTGGATGTACTGCAAGCAATATGTATTGCTTTTACAATTTTTTTGTTTTGTTTTTGTTTTGGCTTTTTCATTTCTATCGGTACCAGGGATCGAACTCACGACCGCCTGCTTGCAAGGCAGGTGCTTATGCCGCTGAGCTACATCCCCAGCCCCCTTTTACAATTGTTTTTATCCTGTATTTTATTTTATTAGTACGGTGTGTACGACACAACATCATTTCCTCTGTGGAGCCGGCACAGGTGCAGAGCACGTCCTCACTCCTCCTTCACCCCCTTTCCCTGGCCTCCCTCTCCCCGTCTCCGAGCCCCTTCCCGTTTGAGAGTGACCTAGCTCCTGACTGCCTGTTATTCTTTTATTTCGCTCTTTGTTTTTACTCTAGGTTTCTTATATTAGAGAAGCCATGTGACATTTAAGCTTATGTGTCCTGTTTCACTTAAGGTTACGCTCTCAGGGTGCCTCCATTTTCCTACAGATGACTCAGGTTCACCTTTCTTCAGGGCAGAGTAGCGCTCCACTGTGTGCAAACACCGTACTTTCCTGATTGTTCACCTGCTGATGGACACAAAGGCTGCTTCCAACACTTAGCTATTATGAACTGTGCCTCTGTAAAACGGGCAGCGTGAATCACTGTGACATGATGTCTTTAACACTTTTGGGAAGATACCTAGCTGGGAAATATCTGGGTCAAATGGACTTGGTGGTTTTAGTTTATTGAAGAATCTCCATACTGATTTCCATAATAGTTACGCTTGTTTACTTTGCCACCAACAGTGTAGAGGCGTCGCAGCAATGCTGAGAATGTTTTTGATTTCTTGATGATGCCAATTTTTTCTAGGGTAAGACAGAATCTATTGTTCTAATTTGCATTTTCCTAATGGCCAGCAACGTTGGCCATTTGTTCATGTATTTATTGTACTTCTGTGAAGTGTCTATTCATTTTGCTTGCCTGTTTTTTGATTGAGACTTTTTACTAGCAGGTCTAATTTTATTTATTCGTTTATTTACATATCTAGATATGATGTTCTCCCCCATTCTGTATACCATCTTTTCACTCAGTTTTTTTTGGCTTGTTTTTGCTGTGCAGAAGCTTTTTAATTTATTATGGATGGTCTTTGTGCAACTGAGATTTTGACTTTTTTCATTCAGAAAACAATATTAAAAATATAATCTATTGCTACAACTGAACTAAAAAATTGAGCATACTTTCACTGACAAATATGCTTTACTCATTATATAAAGAAAAACTTAAATAGTCAGGGATAAAGTTAGTTGGTTAAATGTTAAATGTTAAAATTAGCAAAGCACAGTGGAGCACCTGTAATCCCAGCTACTTGGGAGGCTGAGGCAGGAGAATCACAAATTCAAGGCCAGTCTGGAAATGCAGTGAGCTGTTTAAATTCCCTCTGGCTGTGTGTTTTATGATTCAGATAGAGACCATACAAATGCAAAGCATTATAAGATCACATATTTTTCTCTTTTTATACAGTTCAGTGTAGAAAGTCACCAAGTGAGTATTTTTAGATTTTTTTTGTTTGTTTTTTTGAGACAGGGTCTTACTATGTAGTTTAGGTCTCAGACTCACTACATAGCCCAGCCTGGCCTCAAACGTGCAGTGATCCTCCTGCCTCAGCCTCCCCGTGCTGGGATTAGAGGCATGTGCCACCACGACCAGCTTAGAATTTTCTTGACCACTAAATTGTTACTAATACCATTAAGCAGGTACTATCTAGTATTATCTTTTTCAAAGTTTCCTCTTGAACTTATAAGATGATTATTCTAGTTTAAGTTTTTGTTTTAAAAAGAAAAAAACCTGTAACTGAAAAGCTTATTGGCACTGTTTTCCCGCTGAAACCCTTCCATATTCAGAAAATGAAAGATAAACAACAGGGTATTCATTACCTTGGCTGAATCATCAGAGTATTGCAACACATATTCTTTTCAAAATTAACTTGCACAGGCCGACTTTCTTGAAAACACACAGTATGAGTTTTTTTAATACCTCAAAAAGAATAGATATCAAAACTGAAGTTATTAATTTTAAGTGAAAAGTGAACACTTTAAAAAGTGTTTAAATTTCACAGCCAAATTAAAATAACACACTTCCAGTAACGTTAACTCTCGGCAAGGTGTACATGGTCTGGAGCGGCACTATTCCTTAGTGGAAACGTATTATCTCCCCCTAGTGGACATCAAGTAACCTGTCACTGTGGTCACACAGTGAAGGCGGAGCGGCAGGATTCCTTTGAAAGAGGGTTCTCAAATCCTTTGTCAAACAGTGACTATGCTCCAGAGCACATCTCTAGAATTCTCCTTTAGAACCTGGTATGCAGGGCTGATCTTTCTAGATAGGACTTTTGGCAGTTAGACCTCCCATCTGCTCTGTTAATGCTTTTCCCTTTGATCACATTGTTCCTTCCTCTCAGAATGTCCTTCGAGACACTACTGTCCAGAAAGTCCCTCTCCTCCCCCTTCCCTCTTTGGCTGGCTTGCCCAAACACCATTCACTGTACCATTTTTAAAGGAATTCGGCCCAAAATACTTCTGTGTTTTTCTTGTTCTCCTGGTTCAATAATAATTCTCCTTGATAGGATGCAAATGGCATAACATTTTTACATCTTATTTTTTTTCCCTTGGCCACTTGTTAACTTTACTGCTATATGTGGTACTCATCAAGATAAAGTGATAAAGTGCTTTCACCAGAATTTACTGCTTTCATCAAGAAAGTCTTACTATTAGTCTGGCGATGTGGCACACACTCATAATTCCAGATATTCTGAAGGCTGAGGCAGGAGGACTACAAGTTTGAAACTGCTTGAAAAACTTACCATGAACTCATCTAAAAATAAAATAAAAGGGCCTGGAGGTTATAACCTAGGGTTAGAGCACTTGCCTAGTGTGTGTGTGGCCCTGGGTTCAGCCCTCAGTGTTGCGCAAAGGAAGATGAAAAGAAAGGAAGGTATCTTGGTTACTTTTCTCCAGTTGCTGGGACAAAATACCCAGCATCCAAACTGAGGGGAGGAAAGGTTTATTTAGCTTACTGTGGAGGTTTCAATCCATAATCAGCTGGCTGCAAGGCAGGGTGACATGGCACAGATGCAGTACCTCAAGGCATCAGCCAACAAAAGCAGCCAGAGCAAAAAGAGGGGAAGAGCGAGCCTTTCTTCCTCCCTGATGTGGCACACAGGCCACTCCTGCTCCAGGGCAGGTGCAGCACTCACACCATCTCTGTGCCCTCCTCTTGCACAGGGTGAGAGTATTTGCAAAGTAAGAACACCGGCTCCCTACTGAGTCACTTAAAGTTCTAAACTTCTCAGGCTGACACAGTGTATCAACCATAACAGAAGGTGAGAAGGGAGAGAGGCAAGGAGCAAGGGAGAGAGGAGAGAGGGAGAGGAGAAAGGAGAAGAAAAATACTATTAAAAAATTAAATAGGGCCAGGGATTTAGCTCAGTGGCATAAGTGCCTGCCTTGTAAGCGTGCGGTCATGAGTTCGATCCCAATAAAAAAAATTAAATAAGCCAGGGCCAGTGTGGTGGAGCACAAGTATAGTCCCAGTTACTCAGGAGAATCAACTGAGATCAGGAGTTTGGGGCTAAAGTGGGTGACATGGAAAAAGACTTTATTGCTTAGAAAAAAATAAGTACTAGCTGAACTGAAAGAAGACTGCAAATGTGGATGACTTAAATTCTGACGCAAGCTCCTTATAGACAAGACCCCAGACTCACAAAACAGTGATGAGAGTCTGGAGCCTGCAGCCAGTCCGTCCAGGAAGCACGCTGAAGACCAGGGCTACGCACCACCTACTCTGGCCGCGGGCTACCTGCTGGTGTGGTGGAATTCTGTTTGCCACTTCTGGAACTTGGCTGAGTGGGTCCAGTGAACCCTCAGAGCCTAAGCAGTGTACCTCAGGAACGACCACCATCACTGGGGGATAACGTGTGCGGTTTGGAGGCCATCACCACCCTTCCGTAGCTTTAGGGTGGTGCCACAGCCAGTACAAACAGCTTCCCATCCTGTGGGCTCTGAGGAGGTGGGGAAGGCTCTGACTTCTGGGACAGTTCCAGCTTTGAGGGAAATTCGGGATGGCTGCCTGTGATTTTTTGGCTGCGTGATTCCTCAGAGACAAGATAAGAATTCGAAGGAGTTTTTAAATGTTTTAAAACTCTTCTAGGGTCAAAAGTAAAAAATAACAACAAGTCTCCTAGGGTCAGGGATATAGCTCTGTGGCTGGGGATATAGCCACAGTGGCACAAGTGCCAGCCTGGCAAGCATGAAGTCATGATTCAATCCCCAGTACAAAACAAAACAAAACAAAAACTCTTCTAAGTCATCAGCATGTGTAGAATGCCTTTTGATGAAAATTTAAGACCTTGGGTCTAGCCCTCTTCACTTCATCTTATGAATATTCATGCCTAGGCCTGGCATGGGGTGCGTACTTGTAATCCCAGCATTTGGGAGGCTGAGGCAGGAGAATCACTGTGAGTTCCTGGCCAGCCTGGGCTACACAGTGAGTTCAAGGGCAGCTTCAACTGCATAGCAAAACCCTGTCTCAAAAGGTTTTTTAAAAATCAGACTATTAACTTCTCTTAATCAAGTACACCCTCTTTCAGGAACCCATCTCTGCTGGGTGCCTGTCTCCTTGAACTATGACAAAACTTATCAGCACATTGTCTGAATATAACATTTTCCAGGGAACAACCCACTGGCTCATTCTTTTTTTTTTTTTTTTTTCCCCTGCAGTGCTGGGTTTTTGAACTGAGCTACAATCCCAGCCCTTTTTATTTTTTGAGAGAGACTTGCTAAATTGCCCAGGCTAGGATTGAATTTGCAATCCTCCTGCCTTAATCTTTTGAACAGCTAGAATTATAGGTGCATGCTATCATGCCCAGTTATCGATTTATTCTTAGAAATTCTGAGACCAGTGCAAAAGGAAATGTGGAGGTTTAATGGAACTATCAACATATGGATAAAATATTTCAGATGAATCTTGCTCTTAATTATAGAAATTATAATTATATAACAGAAAATCAGAACATTAAAACAGGAATCATTTATTTTCTATTAGCAAATGTTAAACGATCTAAAAAAATCACAGTTCTAAATGCTGATTATAGTTAGATCCATAGGCTAGTTCTTCTTGGTAGCTCATGTTTTGGTGATGGTTTTTCTTTTTATCTGAGATGGAAAAGGAGGGAAGCAGGACAGGAAAAAAAACTTACTATGTAGCCCAGGGTAGCCTTGAACTCATGGCCGTTCTCCTGCCTCAGCCTCCTGAGGACTGGAATTACAGACATGCGCCACCACGCCTGGCTTGGGAAAAGATTTCCATCAATGAAGACAGCCAAATTTACTTCACTACCCTTATTGTTTTTCCAAATTCCAAATCTTTATTTCTACAAGCTAATAAGATACCTCTGCTCAGATGACTTTTCTCAACTAAACTTGAACAGTATTATTCCAATAGATTATTAATGGAAAGTTGCAGGCATAACCTGTGTAAACAGTTTTGAAAAGCATAACTACTTAACCCCAGTTACCCTAGTGGCCTCCTTGCCCGACCTCCACTACCTTCTTGAGCTATCCTTCCCCCGTGCAGCAGCCACGAGCCTGACAACTTCCGGCTCCCAGCCTGGAGCCTCTCTGGCTAACCCAATTGTGCACTCTTACTGCTCCCCGCTGCAACAGAACATGGCCCACATATGGTGACGGAACAAGACAGTTAGAGAAGAACTCCCCCAGCACCAGCTTTAATTCAGGGGAGTCTCACCAGCGTGAAGCCAAGGACTTTTGTTCAGTGGATACACAGGTAGGGAAGAGGAAGTATACAACCCCCACTGCTGCTGGAAATCACTTTCAAACTTTGTAAGTGAAGTGTTTTCAGAATAAAACACATGGAGGAAAGCAGAGCTGAGAAAGCTTTTAAAAATAAGCAGCAGCCTGACTGAATCATGCCTATGACCTAACTTCAAACTTAATGTGTTTGTGAGCCAATATTCCTCTTTATTGTTGAAGCCAGTTTGAATCATTTTCTGGCTTTAAAAATGTTTTTTCTTCTACTACGTGTAACCTAAAGTATCTAAATTCACATTGCCATCCTACAAAAACTACTACAAATTAGCCAATCATAAATATTTACTTGATCTTATTGAAGCCATCGGAGAGATATTTCAGAAACTGAACACTTGGTTACTAAAGATCCAGCTGGAGACAAGGGGAAGAACAAAACTACAGTATCGGCAGTGAGTGGTGAGCACACTGTGTGTCAGGCACTGCATCTGTGGGACTTGAAGGTTTTCTGGGCTTATCATCATGGTCTTTGCATGATTCTGCTATTATATGAACTAACATTCAAGGAACGGGAAAAATAATGCTAAGTTCTTGGTTATCTGTAAGAAAATGTAAGGATTACAATGTACCCAGAAATAAAAATATATTATTAAGATAAATATAAGATAAGAAATATAACATAAATTATGTCACCCTTGGCCGGGGGTTTAGCTCAATGGTGTAAGTGCCTGCTTGGCAGATGCGAGGTCGTGAGTTCGATCCCTGGCACCAAAAAAAAAAAAAAATTATGTCACCCTTCATAAAGCCATCTAACTACAAGAAAGACTTGGATCAATATCATAAGTATTAAAGATTGAATCTAGGGTCTTTGCATTGAGCTACATCTATAGTTCTTCTTTATTTTTTGATACAGAGTCTTGCTAAATGCCTAAACTGGGTTCAAACTTGTGATTCTCTTGCCTCAACCTCCCAGAGTGCTGGGCCTATAGCTGTGTAACACCACACCCAAGCTAAACATAAGATTTTGGAAAGCATGAAATTCTACTTGTTAACTTCAAAGAAAATAGCTGCAATCATAGTACACATAATGAGGCCAGTACTTAGAGAATGTATAGGTACTCTTCTAAATACAGGAATAACTCATTGAATCCTTAGGAAATTCCCTGGAAACTGACCCTAACCCTCTGCTTGTTTCCATATAGGGACAGGCAGCATAGACATAATGTGTCAGCATCTCACTAAGGAAGGGGTAGAACTGGATTTCACCCTATACTTGGTGGCTTCCGGAGCCCATGCTCTGATCACACTATGTATGTTTACAGTGTAAAAGGCCTGTGAGCACAGCACTTTAGCATCTAGTCTGCAACTAGATGTCCGGAAATCTGTCTGACAGAGAGTAGCAGAAAGAATGAATGCACTCTTTAGCACCCTCTCCTGTGGGCCTGGATTCAAATGCAGGCTATGTCTTGCCAGTTCTTGACTGGGGGCCATAACTATGTTTCTCTCAGTCCCAGATTCAATAAGATCTGCCTTCTACGCTACTTTTAACACCAGTAGGCATTTTTATTTTCTGTTCTTACCTAAGGACATTTGTGGTAAAGCCAACACACACAAAGTACTCTTACAAAATATTATCAAGCAACTAATTCATTTTACAATAGCCAATTAAGCCAGATGAGGAGGCACATGCCTATAATCACAGCAATGGAGAAGCTGAGGCAGGAGCACTGCCATGAGTTCAAGGCCAACTTGGGATACAAAGTAAATTCAAGGCCTGGCTGAACTACATAGCAAGACTGTACCTCAAAAAAAAGCCCATTTAAATTCAAATGGACATTTAAGGAATTGGCTTGTACCACACAAAGCCTGGGCTATGAACAAATCATAAAAGGAAATAATTAATACCAATCATTTAAAAATCCTTCTACAGCCAGGGATTTAGCTCAGCAGCATAAGTGCCTGCCTAGTAAGCGTGAGGTCATGAGTTCGATACCCAGTACCAAAAAAAAAAATCCTTCTACAAGCCAGGCATAGTGGCACACATGTAATCCCAACACTTGGAAGGTTGAGACAACATTGTAGGAGTTCTGCCTATAGTCTTGACTACATAGTGAGTTCAAGGCCAGCCTAAACTGCATAGTGAAACCCTGTTTCAAAAAGACTAAGTAAGTAAGTAAATAAATAAATAAATAAAGATAAAATCCTATAGATACAGCTAAGAAAATAGAATTGCCTCACCAAATAACTATACAAATTCTAAACAAATCTATGTAAAGTATTGGTTGGAGGTTTGAAACATGAAAAATATTTGAAAGAAAAAAGCAGTATTTTAAGCCACTCAAATTAGACCTACCATATCTGCAGAAGAACTGAATAACTACTTTGCACTTGTCAGATGTGGTGAATATTGTGCACTTCTCTACATTTCTTTCAAAAGAATTCAGACATCTAAAGATGGGTAGAATTGACTGCAACACAATTACATTATACACATTAAGAACACATTTGATATGGTTGGTTCATTTTTAAAAAAACTAACAAATGAGAAGTACATGCATTCATCAGGTAACTATACTTGTCCTGCATGTCATTTAAATTGTGAAGTATGAAATGTGTTAGATCAGGCTGGGGATTTAGCTCAGTGGTATGAGCACCTGCCTGGCAGGCGTGAGATCATGACTTCGATCCCCAGTTCCAAGAAAAGAAAGAAAAAAAGAAAAAAAAAAGGAATGTGCTATATCTTTAATAACAAGTATTCTTCCCATAATACAGAGAACCAGTGCCATTTATATTTACCTTCATTCCCAATTTGCAATTTAAATACAGCGATCTGTCATTGTCATTAACGTTCTCCAAAGTTGACCACTGATAATGTTCAAAAAACACAGAAGAGAACAGGACGTATCCATATGCCGATGAAGAAGAATTTATAGATCTTAGAGCAAGCTTGAAAAATAAGATAGCTATTTAGGCAGAGCCAACTTTAAGTGGCAGTTTAAGTTTTTAAATTCCAATGTTTAATATATTCAAATAAAACCATGGGATGTTAACTATGGACTACAGTATAAATATACATTAAATTTGCACATATGCATTTGGGTGCATCTCTGCCTTGCACACATATATGTCTTGAACTTATAATCTTGCATTTTGAAATTATAAATGCCGATAAGGGTCTTAACTTTAATGCATGAAGTACCACAAGGAAGCTACAGCAAGCTGGCTGTCTCATACCTTCATAATGAAGAAAAACCATTACTAAGACCAAACCAACTAAATTCTATTTGGGAACACAAGCCCCAAAATGTCAAGTCTTCTGAATTTTAAGAAAAGCAGGAAATTCATATTTTCAGGTAGACTCAAGTTTTTTACTTGTTTTGCTTTTTTGTCTTTTTTATTTTATTTTAAAGAGAATAAAGCCAATCAAAACAAAACACTGAAAGTGATACAGAACTCCAAAACAGGATAATAGGAAATCAACAATGGCTACTATAATGCCTCTTATTATCTTCAAAATTGCTGCCCATATTTTTTGTTTTGTCTTTTCGAGACACAGTTTCACTCTGAAGTTCAGGCTGGCCATGAACTCACTTGGCAGTCCAGGTTGGCCTTGATCTCTCTCAGAGATCCTCCTGCCTCAGCTTCCCAAATGCTGAGAATACAGGTATGCATGTGCCAGCGAGCCGGGCTCAATTTTTTTTTCAATTTTTTTCTTCAGAGACAAGACCAGAATTTGAAGGAGTTTTTAAATGTTTTAAAACTCTTCTAGGGCCAAAATTAAAAAAAAAAAAAAAACTCTTCCAGGATCAGGGATATAGCTTTGAAGGCTGGGGATATATCACTAAGTATACCCCCAGTCCCTCAAAAAAAAAGTCCCAAAATATTTCTCTTGATCAATTTCTGATCTATGACTTACATCAATTATGTTTATCTACATGATTTTCAAATTTGCTGTGCTCTAAGTACATGTGAAGTAAAGATGAACAGTGAAAGGGGCAACTGCAAGTTCTCAGTTTCCTGGTTAATATTCCATCTGGGGGCTGGAGGTTTAGCTCAGCGGCATAAACTTCCTGCCTTGGAAGCAGGCAGTCGTGAGTTCGATCCCCGGTACCGATAAAAAGGAAGAAGACAAAAAAAAAAATTCCATCTGGACTAAAATCCTTAAACACCTTCTCTTGCCTGAATACATAGTCTACAACTAAATATTCTTACTTACGCCTTTTTCTGATGGGTCTAGCCACAGCTCTTCACTCACTCGTGAGAGAGCTTGGATTGCTTTCCCAAATACTGCAGAGAAAAAGAAAGATGCTGTTTACATTCTTTCTAGCAATAAAAACAAATCACAGGACTACTTCAGTAAGCCAAGGACTCAGCATAAATTCAAAAAGAACAGTGGAATCTGCTGAACAATTTGTTCCTGCAGGTCAAATTCTTCAGTTTCCTTCTTCAGTTGAACAATTTATTCTTGCTCTGCAGGTCAAATTCCTGGATAAGGAAATAGGGGCTTTTAGTATTGTAGATACTACTTATCAACCTGCTACTGGTATTTGGAAATTGTTGGCAAACATTCTTTCTAAACTCTCTGGCCTACTTTGAAACACACAGTTCAGCCTGTTTGTACCATTCCCTCTGATACATGTGCAGTGTATACTGTAATAACATCCAACCTCTCTTCTGGCTTCTAATATGTTCAGGTTAATATAATGATCTCAAGTTCTGTTTTGTGTCAAGATGTATTGGAACAAATGTAAAGCAAAGTGAAAACATGAGAGGAGTTCATCCAATACGTTAAACGTATTTAGTCAGATTTATTCAGTGCAACAGATCTGGAAATAATGTTTTCAAATCCCTTTTCCTGTATATATAAGGATAATTTTTTGTTAAATAATATGATGTTTAGCTTTCAATTTTAGTGTATTTTAGTACAAATATCTAGGGACAGATTCTTCAACTGAATACATGTAAGAGACAAACTATTAAACTGATTCATACAGCGTTTTACAGACTAATGCTACAATGCTTTAAGAAACAGTACAAAAAAAAAAGGAATACAGTACAGAGCTGGGGAAGTGGCTCTCGGCTAGAACATGTTGCTTGCACGTGCAAGGCTTTGGGTTCAAGCAAAAATACAGTGTAATATCCTTGGCAAAATATCAGAAGCATAGCAAGAGCTCAGTAAGTTTAGAGAATCAGTGTATATGATAAAATTCAACAAAGCTCTTTCTTCTGTTTATCTGAAGTTCTGTGTATCTATTGTAGAAGGCCAATTTCCAGTATAAGGTGCTTTAAGACTTAAGTTTGAATAAATGTAATTGCCAAAAAGTATGGGAAATTCACAGAAAGAATATTTTTAAACATTTTAATAACTTAGATAGCAACACCAACACATTATGAGAGAAAAACTAAGGGTATTCAAAATGCATCTTTGATGTCTGAGAGCATCTTGGAAGATGCCATATATTAGCAAGGAAGCTGCCAGACTTTCCCTTTAAACAGACTTAGGTACTCTGTCAGACAGAGGCTAGAGCTAGATGAAATATTGGTATGACCCAATATGACACCAATAATATTCTTATGAATTGTGAACAGTTAAACCATGACAAATATATATTGGATACTATACTGGATGGCCACATCAATCTACCAAAAAATATAAAAATTGAAAAGCAATTACAGGACCTAAAATCACATTACAATGCTTAAGAGTCACAAGTGTATATTCTGAGGAAGACAGGATGACACAAATAAACATTTTTTAAAAATTAGAGGCATCTGTCCTTTTCTCCAGTTTATATTCAATTTTTCCTGGATTAATGCAGATTTTTCATTCATTCAGTGATTTTTTTTTTTTTTTTTTGGTACCGGGGATTGAACTCACAACCTCATGCTTGCCAGGCAGGTGCTTGTGTGCCGAGCTAAATCCCTGGCCCCATCCTGTGAATATTTACTAAGCACTGACTCTGTTCAAGTATAACCAAATGCAACAGGATTAGAGCAAAGAACAGAAAGGTTCCTGCCCCCACAGCACTTACAGTCCGGGAAGGAAACAAAATTAAACAATCACACAAATAAGTGCTTATTGCAAATAAGGTACACACTGCAAAAGGGAACACCCTAGTATTTTGAGAACATGCAACTATGGAAAGCTTATGTTTCCCTTTCCTGCTCATTAATTAATACTGTCTCAATCTGTCCTCAACACAGAGGGAGCCAGCCACAAAATACATTCAGTGATCATTTTCAGATTATAATCTGTAGAAAGCTTTTGCTTTTCTAAATATTTTCCGAATTAACCTCAAATTTTAGATGACTGTTTATAATGAAAAGTGTCATGTATCCCATTATCATTGAGTTCTTTACATTCATTCTTATTTGATGCCTGTTACAAAACTTATTAAGGTGCTGTTAGCAGTCCCTTCCCACAGATGAGGAAGTTGATCTTTAAAGTGATTTTGATTTAACGACTAGTCTTAAGGATACATATTTTGTCTTTTTGAGACAGGATCTCACTCTGTAGTTCAGGCTGGCCTTGGGCTCACTTGGTAGCCCAGGCTGGTTTCGAACTCACAATAATCCTCCTGCCTCAGTCTCCCCAGTAGTGGGATTACATATAGTTAAAAATGGTAGAGTCTGACATTAAAAAAAGGTTTCTGTTTTTTTCTTTTGTACCGGGGATTGAACTCACAACCTCGTGTTTACCAAGCAGGCACTTAGCTGCTGAGCTAAACCCCCGGCCCAGATTTGTTTTTTTGGTGTGCGTGAAAATACTTTTACTGTTAACCAACTGCTTTTTTCCCAATTCCTCCCCACAAGTCCTGAGCATCCCAAATTTCAGATCTGATGTTATGACTCATTTCATGGTCACCACCCACACTAAATACTACGGTTAAATAAAAGGAGATGGAAGGCGGAGGCAAGAGAATTGCCAAGTTCGAGCCTGGCGTGGGCAACATCGTAACTTAGTGAGGCCCTGCCTCAAAATAAAGAATAGTGAGGGTTGTAACTCAGTGTAACACACACACACACACACACACACACACACACACACACACGTAAAGTAATGCTAGTAAAGTCAAATTAAAAATTTAAAACTAAAAGGAGCTGGGCCGTTCTCTTTCTGCCTGAGGTTTGCAGCGCTCTCCGGGAGCTAACTGTGGCCAGGCCTCGGGTCTTCGGTTGTTGTGAATAGAAACAAAGCTGGTTAAACCCACGGTAGAAACGCTTAGTGGTTTAGGTTTTCCTAAATCTACAAAGGAAGGCGAGAGAGTTTGTTCCACCTTTCACCTGACTTCCGCTCATCCCACACTTCAACATGGCTATGGGTGCCTAAAGTCAGGATTGGAGGGCGCGCCGCAGCGCAAAGAGCCCAGGTACCCGGATGTTGCCCGCGTGTTCCCCCTGTCCCGTTTCCGGAACCTTCTTAACCTCATTCCTTTTACTTCAATCCTGCTTTCACTAATTTCCAAAACACAGCTTCGCTTTCCGGCAGGAAAAGCCCATTGCGGGCCTCCGTAGGACGGTCACCCGCCGACCTCGTTTCTCATTGGTTGTGGGAGCAGTGGGCGGGTCAAAAAGGAGCCAGAGGAAGAGGGCGGCAGCAGTGGTGGTGACTGAGCCGAGCCGGGTGACAGGATGGTGAGCACCTCAGCAGCAACCACGATAGAGGCTTGGCTTTCAGCTGGGGCGCTGTGTCGTTGCGACCCATGAGGAGAATCAAGGCTCGTGGTTGGCTCTCAGAAGCCCTAATGGGCTCAGCCGAGGCTCCTGCCTGGGGAAGGCCCAAGAGAGGAGGGGTAGGGAAGGGTGTGCCCCGTGTTCCCGCAGCCTTCCCTAAGGGCTGGAGGACGACCTAGAGGAAGTGGGATCCCTCCCAGCTACTCTGCTGTCACGGGATCTTCACGCCCGACCCGGGGAAGGCTTTCGAGCCTAACTGGAGCGTCCCTAGGAAATGGTTACAGTCCTCTATTTCCACACGTTTCCCTACTTCATTCCAACAAATAGGTTTTTTGTTGTTGTTTTTGCTGGTTGGGAAGTACTGGTTACTACACCACGTTGCGAAAGCTGGCCTGACGATGCAAAACGGGAAGCAGCAGGAGAATTCGCTACCTATTTAAGTTTGCCATCCAGAGAGAGGAAATGGAAGGATTCCCTTCTTCCCTCTGAAATGAAGTGCGGCCACCCCTGGAATGTGGCGGTGTGCGCGCAGAGGCCAGGGTTAGCGCATCAAATGCTAGGGCTCCTGGTTTCTTCTGGATGCTGCTACTTCTTCCAGCAAGATTCCTTCCTGGCGTATGAATTTCCTTGAAAGTGTTTGGAAATTTTTGTGAATTTGTGCGTTTCGTTGGACATAGGACTAATGTTAGTACCTAAGGGTGTTTGGGGAGCGTTGGTTTGTATATCCCATTCTCCAGTACCCCCCCCCCCACACACACCTAGCTTCAAACCTTCACCCCCCTCTCCTCCTAGTAAATTGCTGCGCCTGAGACTTCCTGCATAAAATCTGCGGTGCTGCCGCTGAAGAGGGCTCACAGCTGTGTGATATTCGAAAGTGCTCCCCCCAAGAAAGTGCCGTGGGCCTTCTAAAAAGTCAGCTGTTTCCAAAAGAACGCTCTCTGGTTGTGATGGTGGTGGTAAACTGTTAAGGAACTTATGTCACTGATAGGCGTCTATTGCATTTTTAATATTCTGTAACAAGTATTACCTTTCAAGAGGTAGCTTATACATAAATGTAACAGCCAAAGATTTGTGGTAGTACATACTTCTTTCTCCCACTTAGTTCTGGTGGTTAAAACCCAGACCCTCCCATTGAGCTACATCTGTAGCCCTTTTATAAATTTTTAAATTTATAATTTAAAATTTAAATTTAAAAAAATTTTAAAAATTTAAAATACATGATTTCTTTTCTTTTTTCTTTCTTTTTTTTTTTTTTTTTTACTTTGTACCGGGGATTGAACTCAAGGCCACGCGATTGCAAGGCAGGCGCATATGCAGCTGAGCTAAATCCCCAGCCGTACATGATTTCTCTTCAGTCACCCAAGCTGGGTTTGAACTTGAGATCCGCTTGCCTCAGCCTCCCAGGGTTCTGGGATTGCATGTATTTGCCACTGTGCCTGGCTTCTTTAAATATTTTAATCTCTTTGGGTTTTTTCTTTCTTCCAAAGAGACTCTAGTTAGCAGTAATTTTGGACAAATACGTTTGTCCAAGAGAAAAGAAGTAATTACTTGCCATGATTCCATATTCGTGTTTCTGAAGTTTTGAGAGGTGAACACATTATTAGGGTTAGTTGTACAGCAACATTACTCTTTGTAATGAAAAAGAATTGGGTGAAATTTAGCATCAGTCAATTCTTTTATATGTAAAAACATTTACTTAGCAAAGGATTCAGAGGTACTTCAGAGGCGCAGTGTCCAAACAATGTGAGCAGCAAATTTAGAAATGGAGAAGGTCCAATTTTAACTGGATGAATGTGCTGGTTTTTATTATCTTTGTCTTCATCATTAGATGATATTTTTATTACTGGATCCTGTATTTATGGTACTGTCTGACATTCTCTGTAAAAAATAAAAACACTGGAGCCTGAGATATGGCTCAGCGGCACAGTACCTGCCTGGCAAGTGCGACGTTGTGAGTTCAAATCCTGGAACCAAGAAAGACCCAAACAGTAATAATAATAACAACAACAACAACAACACAGGGGCTGGGGATTTAGCTCAGCGGCATAAGCACTTGCCTTGCAAGCAGGTGGTCGTGAGTTCGATCCCTGGTACCGATAAAAAAGAAAAAAACAAAAAAAAATTAAAAAAAAATAACACAGCATAGTTTATCATTATTAGAACTTTGGGTTTTGTTTGTGTGTGTGTGGTAGTAATGAGGATTGAACTCATGACCTTGCGCTTGCTAGACAGGCGCTTCTTATGTCACTGAGCTAAATTCCCCAACCCAATTACTAGAACTTTTGAGTATAAGAGAATTAAAATCAATTTACTTGAGAGATAATTAAACCTCAAGAATCCAGAAACTGTTAGTCTATAAGCTGCCACTGATGATTGTCTCATAAAAATCTAAATTATTTTATATAATATTTTAAAATCTCAATGGAAAAGTGATGCAAGTCAGTGTGGAGAACAAGATTAGGAAAAATTGCTGGGCATGGTATCAAATGCCTATAATCTTAGCACTCCAGTCCTTGGGATTACTGAGCTTGGGGCCACTCTGGGCTACATATTGAATTCAAGACCAACCTGAACTATATAAAGTAAGACCCTGTGTCCAAAAGAAAAATTGGAAAAAGAAAAAGTTGGCAAGGCAAATTTATTTTGAGAAGTGTATTTGTGTTATATTTTAAAATACAGCAAATGGTTCTTTTGGTATTCGGCTGATTTTTAACTTTTTCTTTTATAACACTCAGAAATCATTAACATTTTTTGCATATTCATTTGGTGTTGTTTTTTGTTTTTTAGTTTGTTTCCTTTTGTTGCTTTCTTTTAACATTGGTCATGTTTCACCCTTTTTTTTTTTTTCCATCCCCCTGTCTGCAATCAACTTCTTCATTCCACTAAGGCTGGGCACAGAGTAAGTTTCTTCTCTTTGCTCCTACTAACAGTGGTTGGGCAGCTGATTTCTGACTGGGTTTCTTACCCTCTTAACATCTATCTAATAATCAAATTACCATGCTTTGTTTGGGTTGTTTTTAATATGAATTTAACAAGACTGCCTTTCCAGGATCGTTTGCTGTCTTAAAGAACTATATAATCTACATCTGACCAGATTTACTAAGTGTGCAATTTGAGCAAGAACACTCCTCCACATACATTATGTGACAATATTTCTCTGGTAATAATATCACCAGCAGGAAAACAAAGGATTCTGTATGAAGATTTTTAATAAATTTGAAATAATTTCTATATGATGATTTGTGCAATTATAGTTTAGACTGTTACTCTTGGGTGCACTTGGAGATAATGCACAGTAGTTTGTAGAATCTAGGTTATCAGTTATTATAAACTACCATGTCTCTAATGTTCTTTCTAGTACCTTCTGACTGAATAGCTTATTGGGTTTTTTATACAGAAATCTGTTTTTTTACCTTTTTGTCAAATGTTAGCTACGCTTGTTAACTACATACTTCAATCCATATCCATATCGCCTTCTAAAATGAAAATTATTCTTTAATCAACATACTTATATATTGATTACCAGTGAGGGTGGAAACTCATGGTGGGTTTTAGTCTTACAGGTGTCCCTAAAATCTCTGTGGAGGCAATATGGGTTATTGGTCAATATCAGTTGAAATTATTCTTGTGTAATGAGAAGCTTAACACCTTTTAAAAGTGTGTTACTTTTGTGTTCTCATACAGTTCCTTTCATTTGCCATACTTTTTGTTTTCATTGCCAGATGAAGCAAGCTTATTTTTTTAGGCATTTTAATTTCACATATTTTGTTTTTTGATTAATTCCAATTTACAAAGTCTGTGGTAGCAAAACTAGTTATCACTTGATATTATCAAAGAAAATATTAACTATCCAATACTATAAAACAAACTAGTTTATAGCCGGGCCTCTAAAAGTAAAGAGCAGTCTGTTTATGAGTGGGATGTCTGTAATGCAAACCATTTTATATAGGATTGAGGTGCTAACTAATCAACATGAAAAAAACCCATCCTTTATAGGACAGATACTATTTTAAAATAAGCTTTTTATATTTTCTGTTAAATGACTGAGTTAAAATAATATTACCATATTTCTCAAATCATGAAATTTTATGAGATTGGAGATTATATTCTTTTATATTTTAAGTGTAAAATGTATTTTTGTCACCTGAGACTATATTGCGAAAAAACCCTTCTTGTTAAATTCATCACTTGTTTAGCTGACTTCTCTATGTTAGTGCTCTAATAAACATGAAACATTGTGGAAATATTTTTTAAGTTTGGGAACTATATTGAGGGCTAGGCAGTTTTATTCAGGAATTAAAAATGAACAAGGAATTCTAATGAAGCAAACTAAAGACATCAAAGGTCATAATTTAAAAACACAATTTCATCTTTTGAAACTCGGAAACAGGCTTTTTATCCACTGTAATGTATGACTAATGGTTTGAAATAATAAAAATGATAAATTACGGCCACTATTATCTAAACAGTTAAGTGGCTTAAATTCAGAGTTATTCTTTTTCTTTATCGCATTTTTAAGAATTCTCTTGGGGCTGGGGATTTAACTTAGTGGCATAAGTGCCTGCCTTGCAAGCACACAGTCGTGAGTTCGATCCCAGTACCAAAAAAAAAAAAAAGAATTCTCTTTAGTAATGTTTCTGAAATTAATGTATAAGCTTTATATTAAAACTACAGAAACATGAATTACCCTATCAGTCTTCAAAAATGTTTCCCACCACCACAAAATAAATAAAATAAATTCTAAACTGGGCATGGTAGAGCACATCTGTAGTCCCAGTATTTTGGAGGCTGAGGCAGGAGGATCTCTGCAGGATTTCAAGGCCAGCCTGAGCTACATAGTGAGTTCAGGACCAGCCTGGACTACATGAGACCCTGTCTCAGAAAAAAAAAAATACTCCCCTCAAAAAATAACACGAATTCTAAGTTTCACAGGGCCCACTACAGTACTATACATTTATGTTTTTGCTTTATTCAACATAATTTACAGATATCTAAATGAATCAGTTAGGAATGCTTAATTTTATTCTTGGTAAGTAAAAAGATTACCTGTATGTATATGCACAACTTTTTATGACCAAAAGAACATAAGATTGATTTAGAACACATTACATTACTGTGTTTGTTTAAATGGTCGTGATAGAAACTGTATGAGTAACTTCTACTCTCTTGGGTTCTAGAATGTCTGGTGAGTTTAACTTTAAAGGGAAGTTATGGGAGAAGAATGTCTTGTTCGGACCTCATGTTTAATATTATTCCTTATCTCACCTTTACACTTTAAAAGTTGGTGCTGGTATTAGGAGACCTGCATATCCCACACCGATGTAACAGCTTGCCAGCTAAATTCAAAAAGCTTCTGGTGCCAGGAAAGATTCAGCACATTCTCTGCACTGGAAACCTTTGCACCAAAGAGAGTTATGACTATCTCAAGACCCTGGCTGGTGATGTTCATATTGTGAGAGGAGACTTCGATGAGGTGATGTATTTCCCTTTCCTTTCCCATTCATTTCCTTTTTGATTCTTTTTTTTTTTTTTGTCTTTTTGCTTTTTTATCGGTACCAGGGATCGAACTCATGACTGCCTGCTTGCAAGGCAGGAGCTTATGTCACTGAGCTAAATCCCCAGCCCCCTCCTTTTTGATTCTTACTTACATAATAAGCCTTATGGTTTAGACAGGGGTTCTCAACTGATAAGGTCTCACTCCTTTCTTAAATTTTCCAAATACAACATTACAAATTAAATATTTTTTATCTGAAATGCTTGGGGTCAGAGTGTTTTAGATTTCAGCTTTTGTATATTTTTTGATGAGGGCGACCTTTGCTCTGAGCTATACCCTGAAAGCTTTTTTATTTTGAGACAGGGTGTTGGTAAGTTGCTCAGGCTGGGCTTAAACTTCTCATTCTCCTGCCTCAGCCTCCCAACATGCTGAAATTACAGGTGTGCACCACCGTGCCCAGAATATTTACATACATATGAATGTCTTGAGGATAGAACCCACATCTAAATATACAATTCATTTATCTTTTTTCCATCTACACCTTATACTCTTAACCTGAAGGTAATTTGTAAAATTTGGGGGAAGGTGTACTAGGAATAGAATTTGGGACCTCATGCTTGCCAGGGAGGCAGGCATTGTACCACTGAGCTAAATCCCCAGCTCTTAACATGTTTTTTAAGTGTCTGTATTTTGGTCATGGCCAGATACCTGATGCCAGGTGCTATTCTTGGTATTGTGTAGGCACGCACAAAAAAGTTTAGATTTTGGAGTAATTCAGATTTTGGATTTTTGGTTTAGGGATATACTTTTGGATTAGGGACTATATTTCCCTGTCCCTTTTGGGCTTTGGTACTCTCTTATGTAGTGCATCATTTAATGTTGTTGTTGTTGTTGTGAACTTATTACTGCACCATCTTCAGTATCCTAGTCAAGCTAACGCATAACTTCTCCGTGTTCCAGTTTTCTGGTTCTGAATTTCCTCCTTCCAGTTTTGTCACTCCTCTGCTGACTGCTCTTCCAAAGCTGCCCTTCTCGAGGCTTGGCTCTCAAGAGCAGGATGAAGTGACAGAACCGTTGTGTATCTTGAATGTTGTGTATCTTACATGCCCCTTGGCATTTGCAATGTACATTAAAACGGGTGATTTCATTGTATGTAAATTACACCTTCACAAAGCTGGCTTGTTAAGGGAAAAAAAATTAGGAGCTGTAAGTCCCAACTTGGCCTATTATTAAGATTGAGAAATTATTTTCCTTTTTGACACTTAGTAATATTGGAATAAGTGACTTAACCCTTGCTTAGTGCCAACATTGTATGATTTAGAATGATAAACCTGATTCCACTATGAAAAATTTTATACTTCTTGGGAATATAAGCTGTATTTAACTCAGTGCTTTTGATAGAGTTCCTTTATACCAAACTGAATGGACATAGTATGTTCTTTTTATGAAAGTGGGTTTTAGAAAGAGTTTGGATAAACTGTAGGTAGAATGGAAGTTCTGAAAGACCAAGGAACTAAAAAGGGGCAAACTTCTTGTTAATAATTAGGATATAGATCTATTTTATTAAATATATATTGGGACTTCTGTCTCTGTCATGTTAAGGACAGTTTGGGCTAGGCATGATGGCACATGCCTGTAATCCTAGCTACTTGGGAGACTAAGGTAGGAGGATCAAAAGTTTGAGCCTTGCTAAGCCTGGGCAGCTTTGCAAGATGAGTTTCTTGTCTCAAAAAAAAAAAAAAAAAAAAAAACCTGGAGGTATTAGTCAGTACTAGAACCCTTGCCTAGCATGCACAAGGCCCTGGCTTTAGTCTTTTGTACTTTAGAAAGAAAAAAAGTTTGATTAGCAAGAATTTTTTTTTTTTTCAATTTGCTAAGTTCACAAACCCTATAGCCATGCTGTAAGAATCTAGATGTTTGGGCTGGGAAGATAGCTCAGTGGCACAGTACCTGCCAGACAAGCATAAGGTCTTAAGTTTGATTCCTGGTACCACAAAGAAGTTTCGCTGTTAGCTTCATCACTTACAGTCATGTAACCTTAGACAAGTTATTATTATTTTTTTTAAGTGCAAACAGTTTTGTTCAATGATCCAAAAAACACTCAGTAATATGGTTATCTATCTTATACATTTAAACATATGCAGTTATAACCTTTAGAGCACTTTCTTTTCTTTTGAACAATGACAATTACACATTTTGGGTTTTATTACTCCCACAGTTCTTACTACTTTTTTTGAAGAGAGTAAAACCAAATGCGACATATTGGAACAGAGTCAGTCAAATCAAAAGGATGGACATAATAGATAATGTAAAAACAAAATATAAGGTGATCAACAATGGTTACCATACTGCCTCTTGCTATTTTAAGGAGAATTGCCAGTTATAATAAAATTGAACTGAACAGTAAAGAATAAAACCAAAGCATTGGAGACATTACAGGATTTTAAGAGAAAATAATAGTCAACCAGAATGGGCATCATAATGATTCTTATTGTCTTCACAGTTATACCTATACTTTCGAACTTGGTACTATCAAGCAAAGCAGAATAGAGGAAAATCAGTCAAAACAAGATGGTGAGGGCAATACAGGATTTCAAATCAAGTTAATAGGAAATCAAAGTAGGTTACTATAATGTATCCTGCTATTTTTTATTTTTCCTTTAATTAAAAAAATAAAAAAGTAATTAATTTTTAAAAAAGAGGGATTGAGATGAAAGAGGCATAACAACAGAACAGTGCAGGTCAAATCATAACCATTTAAGCAAAATAGTGTTTCACCACAAAATTATTTTAATCTCTTCGTACCTCAGTTTCCTCATCCATAAAGCAGGGATGGTAATTCTTAGAGCCTGGGATATAACTTGAATCTACAGGTCATGTGCTTTAGGTAGAGAAAAATCGCAAGTTTAGGGGAATAATTATTCTTTACAGCAGGCCTCAAAGAGCCCATATTTTATACCTGATAGATTCCAGTTTGTATTTGAATAATTCTGGGTTTTTTTCTTTTTTGGTGAGGAGTACTGTGAATTGAACTCTGGACCTCAAGCTTACCAGGCTGGCTGTGCAACTGAGCTAAGGGCCTGAATAATTGTGCTTTAAGCACAAGTGAAGTATTTTATACTAAGAAGAAAATAAATACATATAAATGTATTTGTTGTGGGGTACTGTATCAAGATGTTCATAAGAGTAAAGACCAATACTTTGGAATATCACCATCTCTAAAATACATTTTTTTTTTCTGTTTCTTGTGTTAGAATCTGAATTACCCAGAGCAGAAAGTAGTGACTGTGGGACAGTTCAAAATTGGTCTAATCCATGGACATCAAGTTATTCCGTGGGGAGATATGGCGAGCTTAGCCCTGCTGCAGAGGCAGTTTGACGTGGACATTCTTATCTCAGGACACACACACAAATTTGAAGCATTTGAACATGAAAATAAATTCTACATTAACCCAGGTTCTGCCACTGGAGCATATAATGCCTTGGAAACGTAAGTAATGTACCATTTAGGAATTGAGGGTCTTTGATAAGTTTAGTAACTGCATGGATGACATCTCATAAAAAGAGTAATGTAACCTTTTAAATAATTCTATCCTTTTTGGCAATCTTTTGATAATTTTTTTAATGTAACAATCAAATTTTTTTCTTGAGTCCAAATTGTTATATTCAGTTATCTTATTAGAAATTTATAATGCTTATGGTTTTTAGTATAAACTTTCTTGTTTTTACAGAAATATTATTCCGTCATTTGTGTTGATGGATATCCAGGCTTCTACAGTGGTCACTTACGTCTATCAGCTAATTGGAGATGACGTGAAAGTAGAACGAATTGAATACAAAAAGTCTTAAAGCCAGGCCTGTTTGATGATTGTTTGTTCTTCATTCCCTTGGTTCAAGTAATCATTTAAAAGCCACACAACTGCATCGCTTTTATAAATATTTTGCAGTAAAATATAATACATCTTCTCTGCTACTATATAACTGCTCTATGCTTCTTGTAAACTATAAGAATGTAATTAGTTTTTACAGTATATGGCTTATGAAAAAAATGTACCGCACAGTAAATGGTCCCATGTTAAGAAAAATTTATCCTTATAAGTAACTTCAAAGTTGGTATTTGGACTTTATTACAAAATTGTGCATGAAGAGAAAGAATCTAGACTTTCTGTATACATTCTCTTCTCTAGTACTGTTTACTGTTCATTTATAATTTCTTGATAACCTGTGTTTAATTTTAAAAAACAAAAATTTAGAGACCAAATGAAACTGTGTGGATATAAGTATTAAAGTGAAGTCAATGAGATGACCTTTCAGAGCTCTCTTTTCTGTGTCACAATGTTAATCGCATGTTTTAGTTTCCAAATAATATACCATATTTACATGTTAAATTAGCACTGGTTCTTCATACTGCTGTTACTACCATTTTTAAAGGTTTAACAAAAAATTTAAAAAAACAAACCAAACATGATCATTTGGCTGGAAAGCACACTAGATTGAATACATAATGTGAAGAATCCTCTCGTTGCCAGTGTGGTGACTCGCACTTGCAGTCTGGACTGCTTGATAGTTGAGATAGGAGGATCACAAGTTTGAGGTCTGCTTGGGGAAACCCTGTTTCTAAATAGAATTACAAAAAAAAAAAAAAAAAGAGAGCGAGTTATAGATATAGCTAAGTCATAGAGTGAGCCTGGGTTCGAGCTTCAGTATCACAAAAACATCTCAGTGAAACTATTTTCAACTGAATCTAGTTTGAGTGGTAAGTTTTGATAAGGCAGATTTGATGTCTGTTGTTTGTCTGTTTGCAGTACTGTGGAATGAACCCAGGACTTTTAAATTATTTTAATTTTTAAATTGTTTTTAGTTTTGAGACACACTCTTGCTGAGTTGCCCAGTTGCCATCCTCCTGCCTCAGCCTCTCAGAGTTCTGAGATTAAAGTCATGTGCCACCACTTTTGACTTGTTTTATGTTTTTAAATTCAAGTAGCAAACATTTATCGAGCACTTTCTTTGCAAGTTATGGTGTTGTCTACCAAATACAATTCTGTATATTTCAGCCCAGTCAAGAAAATACTTTTAGAATATTCCAGTGTTGCCTTACTTGGATTTATTGTAAACAGAAACAATTACACAATGCATTTGTCAGATTTAAAGAAAAATAATTCAATTTTAAATGAGAAGAAAAATTCCAATTTACCTAAATTAAATACAAGCATATTACGCATAAATTGTATTACACAAATGGCACTGGTACCTAGAACTATATCAGACCAATTACAATGTTATGAAAGTTTCTGAACAAACCAAAACAGATTGACTTAATGATGAATAACACTATCCTACACACAGAGGGCATAATTTATAACCCCTTTGGCATAATATCTGGGTATCAGCTGCTGTTTGAATTAAGTAACAAGACTATCAGGTTAACATGAGATGTTCTCCCTGTTCTTCAATGGACATTGATTGCATACATTTATTCAGTAGGTCGTCTTCCTTTTTTTCTTCACTCATGTATGATCCAGAATCATTTGAAGAAACTGAAGGAAAGATAGATTGTCAGTTTTGAAAATGAAGTTCAAAATACAGCTTACAACATGACCCGACTTACACTTTCAGCAAAGACAAACTGCCTGTAGTTTTCAGGTTTTAGTCACCTCCCTTTGGCCCAAATCTCTTATTCTTTAAGATTCACAGAACTATATTCTAATCAAGGATCTGTATAGGAAATTCTCTGAGTATCACAATCCTATAGATTTTCAAAATCTTTTGATCAGGGAGATGTTAAAATGGTCAGTCATGCCTTTCAGTGTCTCTCCATTGTCCTTTAGTTTCTTCCCATGGGAGCCATAGTGACCTTTTCCCCTATTCTGGGTTTCTGTACCTATTCTTTGGGACCCACTTACTTTTTCCTGTGCATTTCTGCTTCTGTCTTGGGTAGGCATCGCAATGATATTGGCATCAGAGCTATGACTGACAGAATGTCAATTCAGAGGCCTAACTTCCTCTCTGCCACTGTAGTAATAACTAGGAAATTATTTAACTTCATTTTGTACTATTTTATAATTATGACATGAAGATCCTTAATGCAGATCCTTCCAAAGTCTGAATTAGTCTGAATTCCATCTTTAAAATGTTGATAATCACCTGCTTAGCTGCTTCTGTTGGTTTGTTGAATATCAAACAAAATAGTATCAGTGATATCTGCCTTTTGTAAAGTACTAGATATGCTGTACAAAAATGTGTTGTCAACCCAAAAATGGTACTATCTCAAAAAGAGCTCACTGAGTTGAAAAGGTGATGTTTGTGGATCTGGGTTCTGATGGATTTATTCTCAGTGAAGTCTCTGGCCTTGATACTGTAAGTTTGTTTCTTTAGAATACATTTGATACCTTCAAGGGTTAGGGATGTAACTCAGTAAGACAGCATCTACTTAGCACATAAAGCCCTGGGTTCAATCTCTAACTGCACCAAAATGAGAAAAAGAAATGCTTTGAATTTCACTGCCTTGAGAAGTATGTTCTTTCTTTCTTCTTTTTTTTTTTTGAGGCAATCTCACTAAGTGGTTCAGGAACTGGCCTTGAACTCTCAGTGATCCTGCCTCAGCCTCCTGGATGCTGGAATTACAGGCATGTGTCACCAAGCTCGGCTTCTAAGCACCATGTTCATGTAAATGAAAGCATAAAATACTAAAATGTTTAGTATATTTTTAGTAGTATCTGTATCTGAAACAGTCAAAGCAATTCACATTCCAAAACTTTTAATGTCTTTAACATGAAACTATTTGGCTCAATAATTCTTCAACATAGTGTTTTCAAAATGCATATGTATATTTTAAAATTTCATATTTACCTGATTGCATGAATAGTTTGCTTGGTCTTCTGAAAATCTTCAGTGACTTACATCTTATTTTAGATGCATATCCAATTTTTAACCTATAACAAAGAGATACTTTGGTTGTAGCCAGCAAAGTAAACTGCTGCCTAATGCATGTAGAAGACCACACAAATTCTTTTCATTAGCTTCTAGAATTACCTGAAACCATTTCAGCTGACAGTTACTAACTGAACAATGCAAAACTATTATGGCACAATTTGAATACTCAGGTTTTCTCTTTTTATCACCTTTTTTGCTTTACAGTAATTCCTTGTGCAAAGCAACTATATATTTCTCCTTTTAGAAATACTTGCATTATTTTGAACTTGAATGAAAAAGGCCAGTCTATATTTTTGGTTAATCAAGAAGTTTTTACAATTCTACAAAATATGCTGTAAAAGAAGTAGCATCTCCCATTCAGCTCAGTGGAGAAAGTTAAGATTCTTTCGTATGCAGGGGGTAGCTCAGCAGCACAGCACCTGCCTAGCAAGCACAAGGTCCTGAGTTTGATTCCCAGTACAAAAAAAAAAGACCCTTTTTTTGTCCATTTTATTCTGAGTTTAGTAACATGAACATATTAGGGAATATGAATTTTAATGTCACTTAGCTAACGTGAAGATGAAATTGGGTAGATTTCCTCCCTCTTAAAATCAGGCTGTATGATGGCCCACACCTTTAATCCCAGCACTCAAGTGGTGGAGGCAGGATTATGACTTCAAGGCAAGTCTGGGCTGCACAGTGAGACTCTAGTTCAAAAACCAAATAGGCCTGGCGGTACATGCCTGTGATCCCAACACTCCAGAACACTGAGGCCGGAGGATCTCAAGTTTGACTTCAGCCTGGGCAACTGAGTGATATAGTAAGACCCTGTCTCAAAATGACTTGGGATTTAGGATAGTGAGAAGGCCCTGAGTTCAATCCTCAGTGATTTAAAAAAAAAAAAAAAAAAAAAAAAAGCTGCAACAACAAATAAAAACTCATAAGGAACAAACCCTTCTTTGTTTCTCACTGGCCGCCAAAGAGAGTGTTGGATGATCATCTCAGGTGTAGCTGCAGCTGTGTTGCTGGAAGAGTCCTCTCTTTCCCGCTGGTGTCGCCATGTAGTGCAGGGATAATGCTGTTTCTGTGAGTACCGAGAGCTGAGGCGACTCCTGTGATGGATGAGGACACCTGCCATACAAATCACTTCTGTTAGAAGACTCAACTGCACCTGAAAGCTAGGGAGGAAGTAACGGAGGTCACCTGCCTGGCTTTAGTGAGCTGCGCTGAATCACGTTCATGTACTGCCCCTTCATTAATGTCCTCAGATAGTTTGCATTATAGATCTTAGCAATGCTACACAGGTAACGCTTCTGGCCCATGGTGAGATCTGGATGCTAAAAGATAGAATAAGAGGAATTACAGTCGGTGTTGGAGAATAGAGATAGCAATCTTTCTTATCCAAAAGGATGTGTGTTTAAGTACCATCTGTACCTTTTACTTAAATTCTATGGTAACTGTCAAGAGAGAGAAATAGCCATTTAAAGACAGCAAGTGAGCTGGGCATGGCAGCACACATCTGTAATTCCAGCTAGTCAGGTGGTTAAGACAGGAGAATTCCAAGTATGAGCCCAGCTGGAACAACTTAACAAAACTGTCTCAAGTAGATGAAAAGAGCTGGGATGTAGCTCAGTGGAAGAGCGCTTGCTTAGCATGTGGAGGACTGGGTTCAATCTCTGAACTTGGCGACAAAGAAAAAAATAAGCCAGGTGTGGTGGCACACATCTAATTTTAGAACTTGGGAGGCTGAGGCAGGAGCAGCATTGCAAATTAGAGACCAGCCTGGGCTAAAAGTGAGCTTAAGGCTAGCTTGAACTGCATAGTGAGACCCTATCTCCAAAAGACAAAAGAAAAAGCAGTACAAAAGTTTCTTCTTTTGCCATTGTACTCAAGTGACTCATATGTCCTATGAGCTTTGAGAACCCACAACCCTAGAGGAACAAGGAAGGAATAATCTATTGTAACAGCAAGTTTTAGTTCTCAAGTACCTCCAGAGGGGAATCTCACATTCTCTTTTTTATGTTTTTACTGTTTTTTTAGTGCCAGAAATCGAACTTGGGGACTTACACTTGCCACTGCTGAGCTATGTCCCTGGCCCAAATCTTGCATTCTCAATGTGATTTCTGAGATATGTGATACATAAAAAGAATCCACTACTCAATCTCAACTAAAGAAGTAGCCTTTTCTAGTAACCATCTGTGTAGGACATACTGAGGCAAAGTAAGTTGGTTTCTGAGTAATTCTAAGCAGTGTACTTTTTGACTTTGAAGTTAATGTGCAAAATGTGAGACCATGATACACACACACACACACACAGGGTTTACCAAATAGGTAATAAATCCAGATAAAAATCAAAATGTTGGCTAGAAAATTTTACCAGTATACATAAGTCATTAACTAATTCACATATTCACATTGCTCTAGAGATGATACTTCTTTCTAGCAGCTATGCTTTTTTTGTTGTTTGGCTTTTTAGTTTTTTTCTTTGTTTTTTGGTTTTTTTGGAGACAGGGTCTTGCTATGTAGTTCAAGCTAGCCTCGAACTCATGGCTATCCTCTTGCCTAAGCCTTAAGTAGGATTACAGATGTGTACCATCATGGCCAACTGCAAGTATTCTTCTTGTTTTTTCTTTATTACCAAGGCTGGTCCTGAACACACGGGCTCAATGAATTCTCCTTCCTCACCCTTCCAAATAATTGGACTGCAGGCACACACCGTTGTTCTTGTTTCCTACAGCTATGACCTCTAATATAAATCAACAACTGTAAAATTCTGTTGTCATTTCCTTTACTTGCCTTCATCTAATTTTTTAGTCCTTTAAAATCTTATAGAGTTTTCAACTCTAGAAGAAAACTTCCTTAATACCTTTTTCATTGGGAGCCTTGAACTTCCTACATAAAAATACATTAAATCTAAAGTATTATAAAACTCTAAAAGGATTCATGATGGGGAAACTACAATCTTTGCATTTATTCATGTGTTTACCCAACAGATATTATTGATTTCTAAATAGTGTGCTGGGTATATACTTTGTAATCAACAGTGACTTAACCTCTAGTTAAGTACTTTATTAAAAAGTTCAGCTCTAAACTGGGCATGGTAGCTCACGCCTGTAATCCCAGCACTCGGGAGGCTGAGGCAGGAGGATTGTTGTGAGTTCGAGACCAGCCTAGGCTACAAAGTGAGCTCAAGGCCAGCCTGAACTGCATAGAGAAGTCCTGTCTCAAAAAGACAAAAAAAAAAAAAAGTTCAGCTCTAAATTTCAGAATATTGACTTTTTTTCCCAGTTTAAAATTTTTTTTTTTTCTTTGAGACAAGGTTTCTGTGTAGCCCAGGCTGACCTCAAATTCACAGCAGTTCTTGTGAAGTGCTGGGATTACAGGAATGTTCCACCACACCTGGCAAATATTGATATTTAAATTTTTCCTTGAGAATTAAGGTATAGCTCAGAGATATAGTCCTTTCCTAACAAGCACAAGACCCTAGGTTTCTCTCTTTCTCTCTCACACACACATACATTCCCCATTGGTATACCTTTAGAAAGGATGCACCCATCATTGACTTAGAGATGTGAATTGTTTGAATGTGAGGAGTCTTCCATACTTCTTGCAGCTTGGTTATGTGTAAATTCACTTTGTGTCCATCTTTGATTCTATCTGTAAGCAAGCATATTATTGTGAATTTAAGAGGTGATGATAAATTTAAGAAGTTTAATTAATAATACCTAAATACTTACATTGTATCAACCATTATCCTGGAATAGTAATGAGTATTTTAGTCTTTTTCTTTTTCTTTTTCTTTTTTTTTTTTTTTTTTTTTTTACTATTTTCTTTTTTGGTACTGAGAATCAAACTCGGGGTCTTGCGTTTGCCAGGCAGGCACTGCCCTGCTGAGCTATATCCCTGGCCGGGTAATGAGTATTTTAAATCTGATGGTAAATTGCAAGATGCCTTGACATGCCCTTTGGTTGTAGAGCACACAAACATCTTGACATGTCTTCAAAGAAGATATACAAACAGACAATAAGTACATAAGAAGACAGTGCCACTTATTACTAAGAAAACGCAAATTTAAAAAAAATGAAATATGCATTAAGATAACTATAACCGGGGGCTGGGGGTTTAGCTCAGCAGCATAAGCACCTGCCTTATAAGCAGGCAGTCGTGAGTTCGATCCCCGGTACCGATAAAAATGAAAAAGACAAAAAAAAAAAAAAAGATAACTATAACCAAAAAAAGAAAGAGAGGAAAGGGAAAAAAAAAAATGTGTTGGTTAGAATTTGGAGAAATTAGAGAAAACTAATGGATGAATGTTTGAATAATTAAAATACATATGCCTTGTTTCAAAATCATTATGTTATTGAGAAGTGAAATGAGATGAATATGAGGAGAATTTATTTATTGGCACACTGTACTGGAAATCTGAAGACCTGCAGCAGATTTAAATTCCAGCTTTTACTATAATTTTTTGAAACATTGTAAAATCACAAAATGCACATGAATCAAGTTTTTATATCCTGCATGATGGGTTGATAAAGCAGTCATTTTACTAGTTCTTTTTCTGGATTCTCAGGCCTGGTTTGGCAGTAACATTAATACATTCAATACAAAGTCAATAATAATAAAAAAAAAACCTTCAAAATACCACCCCCCCCAAAAAAAAAAAGAAAAGAAAAAGTGGGTTTTACTCATTACCATGAAGCCTGCCTAATATAAAGTAGTATATGTGTATGGGAGCTGAAAGGATCATGTCTCCCATTTATAAAACCCTAGCTCCTCTTTTGTTTTTTGTCCTTTTTTTGTCTTGGTACCAGAAATTGAACTCAGGACCTCATGCTTGCCAGGCTCCTCTTTTGCATAGGCAGAAATTTTCAGTTATATTCTATGTGGTCATTATTGGAACATGATCTGTTCCAGTTGATCTGTGAAAAAGAATATAAAATGGCTTTCTGTTCCAAAACACTAAAATGACACAAGAAAAACTATTCTCTGTATTTTTTGTTAAATAATAGGATAAGACCTAAAGTCGCAATACAGAGGAAAACATGCACTTGTTGAATACTAGCCCTTTTTTCCTGCAATTATACATAGATATACACCATCCACTGTAGAACTGCAAACTAAGGAAAATAAAACCTCTAACAATGCTAATTATTTCAAAGTATTTTGATATTTACTTTTCAAAGTCTTTACTTGTATAGAATAATACTATATATAAATATTTTTTGTTTTCATATTTAGAAATTTTGTTTGACTTTCATATACTGAAAGATAAAATTTATCTTGTTCCATATCTAGATTGCAATAATGGTATCTTGTTATATAAGACAGGGTCTCACTATGTTTTGTTTTGTGAGAGATAAGGTCTTGCTGTGTAGTTCAGACTGGCCTTGAAGTCACTTTGTAGCCCAGGCTGGTCTTGAACTTACGATTCTTTTGCCTCAGTCTCCCAAGTGCTGGAATTACAGGCATGCACCATTCATATTCCCTCAATATGTATTTCAAACTGGCCATGACCTCACTATGTAGTCCAGGCTGTGCTCGAATTCAGGACAATCCTGCCTCAGCCTTCTAAGTACTGGGACTTGCTTATTTTGTTTTCTGTTTTCTACATTTAACTACAATTCCTAAAACAAAAACCAAACACAACACTAGAGTTGGGTGTGGTTTCACACAGCTGTTAGCCCAGCATTCAGAGGCTAAGGTAGGAGGAGAACTGCTGTAAGTTTGAGGCCATCCTGTGCCACAGAGTGAGTTCAAGGCCAGCCTGAACTGCATAGTGAGATCCTGTGGCACAGCACCTGCCTGGTAAATGCAAAGTCATGAGTTCAATCCCCAGTACCAGAAAAAAAGAAGCTAAAAATATAAAAAAACAAAGATACATTTAATGTAATTCAGGAATCTAAATAAACTTCCAATGAAATACATTATATGTAAACCAAGAGTGAACTCTAATGTAAACTATAAATTCTGGATGAGGAAGTATGCTAGTAAAAGCTCATCAATGATAACAAAGCTACTACTGGTGTGGAACGTTAGTAACAGAAGGCTATGCATAGCAAGGGATCTATGGGAATCTCTATGTCTTTTCTTAAGAAATTTTTTTTTAAAAGCACATTAAGGGGCTGGGGATTTAGCTCAGTGGCATAAGGCATAATAAGCGCCTGCCTTGCAAGGAGGCAGTCGTGAGTTTGATCCCCGGTACCTATAAAAAGGAAAAAGACAAAAAAAAAAAAAAAAAAAAAAAAGCACATTTAAAAAGTGACTAGATTATTTGTGAAATTATGTATGTATGCATATCTACATACATACATAAGTGTTTATATTTTTTCCCTAGGTAGCTTTTCCAAAGGACAGAAAAGTGAATTCAGGTTTATGAATGAATTTAAACAAAATATTTAAAAATAACAATACTTAAATACTACTATACATACAGACACACACACTAAAGTTAATAAATTACCTCCCCTTCTTTCAGAAAAAGAAGTGACCAAAAAACCTTTAAGGGCTTGTCTTTGTCTCCTGACTCCACTAGAGAAGAGGAATTTAGCTTTATCCTTTATTTTTATTTTAACTGAGAGGAAAATATTAGCACTTAGATATATTTTATCATCGCTGAAGCTATCTATCTCAGAATTTCTTCTTTCAACCCATAAGCCCCAGGCTGTGTTCTTTGTGGTTTTTAACCAACAGTTGTGAACAGTTTTAGAATGGCAACAGTTTTAAAATGACTGCTAATTTTTAAAAAGGGACTGTTCTTTGAAAATCTTAAAAAGTAAGCTGGCATGGTGGCACATACCTGTAATCCCAGTACTGAGGAGGTGAAGGCTGGAAGACTGCAAATTCAAGCCTACCCTGGGTAATCTATTGAGATTGTCTCAAACTGCTAAAACAAATTCTTTTTTTTTTTTAGAAAGGCTGAGTAAGGGGCTGGGGATTTAGCTCAGTGGCATAAGTGCCTGCCTTGGAAGTAGGCAGTCGTGAGTTTGATCCCTGGTACCGATAAAAAGACAAACAAAACAAAAAAAAAAAACTGCGTTGTGTAAGTAGTACAGGCAAACTGTTATTCATAGCTATTACCTACTTCATATGTGCTACTCACCAGTACCCTTGGAACTGTAATAAGAACGTCCAGCTGATCTGTTTTAAAAAGATAGAAGTAACAGGTAATAATTGACAGCTTTGTAAGTACTAAACAATATATTCAAACAAAAAGAATGGTATTGATAAGCTTTTTACTTCATATGTTTGTATCAGACAAAATATCTTGGAAATTTTCTGCTACAGATCTGTTTAAATCCTAATGGCTCTATTTTTTGAAGTAAGATGAGACTTTTAACAGACACGGTCTTGCTATGCAGCTCAGGCCTTGAGCTCACTTTGTAGCCCAGGCTGGTCTCAAACTCACGATTCTGGCTCAGCCTCCCTGAGTGCTGGGATTACAGGCGTGCGCCACCACACCTGGCCAGAAAATATTTTCTTTTCCTATAGACTTGCTCTTTTTTTTTTTTGAAAATATTTATTTTTTAAACCAGATTTGGTTTTACTTTTACAGCTTCCTAGTTTGAGCTCAGTAGGTAGCTTGGGCTGTGCTATCAGTATCGCAAAGACTATCCTTTGAGGAGTAATTAAGATGTGCTGAAAATATAAATTGCTCTGTATGTGTCTAATTTTGTTCAAGTCCTTTTTCTCTTAAAACCCACTTCCCGCAATTTATTCAGTGACCATAAATTCCTCGATCTACTGACAGGATCCAGGACTCCATCAAGCACTGTGAAGAACAGAAACTTGTAAACAAATGTAACAAAAACCAACAAACCAGGGCCCCAGACCATTTTCAGTCTTCGGTGGGACGGGATATAACGGCCCCCGCCTGGAATCTCGCCGCCCCAGGAGACGCGGGAAGGGGGGGGGGTGGCACGTTGGGACTGGTCTGGGCCGTGGGGAGGCTGCCTGAAAATCGTAAAGGGTTGGGATGTGGCCGAGCGTGAAGACCCTGGGTTCAAGCCCCAGTGCTACAGATAAACAGGTCTTCAATGGCACCGGGTATGACAGACAGCAACATGGCACGTTTGCGGCAGCAGCCCCGGCGGCGCCGGCTGTCAGGGCCACGCGAAGGAAGGACAGGGAAACCGTCCAGAAAAGGGGTCGCAAGCGGCTGAAGGACTCGGGAGCCTGCTCCCGACTGGGCTCCCGAATTCGCGGCGATGCGGCGGGAGGCGCTGTGTCCCGCTGTTCCCGCAGCGCCCCCTGGGCGTAGGCGGACACACGCCAGCGACTGTCGCAGTCCCGCGCCTCTGCACCAAAGCCTCCTCTACTCCCCCGAGCGCTCCCTCGGCAGCGATGGGCCCCAGCCCGGCCCCGCTCGGCTAGGCGCGGCGTGGCGGGACCTGTCGGCGAGGGCAGCCGCCGCGCCCGCCTCCGCGGGGTCTCGACCCGGGCAGGGTGCCGCCCCCCGCCATGGGCCCCGACCTCACCCGCCGCCGCGGCCGCCCTCGTCCCCAACCGGTGCGGGTGGCTCCGCAAAAGAGCGGCTCTCTGTCCAGTCGGACCCAGGACCCCGGCCCGGCATCTCCCCTGCGCCCCGACCACGAGCTGTGTGCGCGAGAAGCGCTCCCTGCTCTCCCCCGTCAGCACGCGTGCGTCAGGCGGGGGCTTCGGGCGAAGAGCGGGCGACGCCGGACACTGCCCGAGCCGCTTCGGGCGCGCGAGACGGGCAGAAACGCGACCCCGGAGCGCGGGAGGGGGAGGGGCGGGGGCCGAGTACTGGTCGCCGTCTGCACTTGGGAAGGGATCTTGTGGGAAAGACGTGTTGAGGGAAGTAAATACACAAAAGTTGTCCTCCACCTGTGTTCCAGACCCTCAGCAAATTGCATGTCTTGAGTGTCAACATACAACTCAAACATCAGTACACAAATCATGGACCAAAACGCCAGGCAGAGAACCGTTGGGGATGACGGTTATCACCTAGGCAACCAGCGTTAGTCCTTTCTGTCAACTGTCTGTTGCCTGCAGCTACGTTTGCGCACGCGTAAATCCATCCCACCGGCCAGTCGTTTCTTCAGGACCAGTTTTTTCACTTGATTTGGCCCGAGGAACGCTCCGTACTTAGGGGTGTGACAGAACAGGAGACGGAACAGGAATTTGGTTTGCAATTGGTTTACCTTTCGTATTCCCGAAACTCGGTGGGCGTCGCGCGCAGGCCAAAGTGGTGTGGCTGAAGGTATAGAGAACTTGGACTCCTGACATGCCTCGGTATGCGCAGCTGGTCATGGGCCCCGCAGGCAGCGGGAAGGTAAGGAGAGTAAAGTGGCAGTGTTAAGCAGGAAATTCAGGTCGTAAAAGAGACGGGCCTGGAGGGGCTGGGGATTTAGCTCAGCGGCATAAGCGCCTGCCTTGCAAGCAGGCAGTCGTGAGTTCGATCCCTGGTACCGATAAAAACGAAAAAGACAAAAAAAAAAAAAAAAAAAGAGAGAGAGACAGGCCTGGTGTGGTGGTACAGGCCTCGAATCACAGCACTTCGGAGGCTGAGGCAGGAGGATCCTTGCGAGTTCGAGACCAGCCTGGATTATAAAATGAGCTCAACGCTGGCCTGAACTGTATAGGGACACCCTGGCTCAAAAAGAAAAAAAATGAGAGAGAGAGGGCCGTAGATGTGTGTACTGGGCTGAGACTTTGGACAACTCACTTATGCACTCCATGCCCCTTTTTTGCTTGAAAGAAGTGTGATGATAACTGGTAACATACATTGGTACTGCGCAAAACGTCTCATTTACTGTGAGATAGGCCTCATTGTTCACATTTTACAGGTAGAAAAAAGCGAGATGCAAAAAGGAAGGTTTTAAGTTTTGGCCTAAGATCGCACGGTAGTATGTTGTGGCAGAAATTTGAGTAAAGTTTTACGTAAGTCTAGATTCTGGCCTTATTTAGCATCCAGAAAATTAACGTGATGTCGTTTTCCTTTACTATTCTCGGAGGTCGGGCCATGGACTGTTGGTATTTGAGGTGACATTAAATGGTACATATAGCCAGCATTAAAGATCATTAGATGACATATGGAGAAAGTTGTTCCCTTTTCAACTCTCTAAGTTCTTGACTTTGTGAGGTGAGATTTGTTTGGTTCTAGTATATCTTCAACATTTCTTTAATTTCCAGGTCTTTTCAGAGAGCAGATTTTAGACTCAAGCCTCTCAATTGGAAACTGTATTTAGTTAAGACTAAAAATTTAATCCTAGAGCCGGTTGTAGTGGCACGCCTGTAATCCCAGCAGTCAGGAGGCTAAGGCAGGAGGATCGTTGCAAGTTCGAGACCAGCCTGGGCTACAAAGTGAGCTCAAGGCCAGCCTGAACTGCATAGTGAGACCCTGTCTCAAAAAAAAAAAAAAAAAAAAAAACATTAATCCTAGCCAGAAGTTTAAAAATTTTTAGGTTGCACACGCCTGTAATCCCAGGTACTCTAGAAGCAATTGTAGAGTTGTAAATTCAAAGCTAGCCTGAGCAGGGGGGCATGGAGGGGCCACCTGAAATGCATAGTGAGACCTTGTCTCAAAAAAACAAAATACAAACAGCCTGAGCAATTTAAATAGACCTTATCACAAGACAAAATACAACAAAGGGCCTAGGGATTTAGCTCAGCACTCCTAGGTTTTTTGTTTTTTTGAGGCAGGGTCTCACTGTAGTTCAGGCTGGGTGTGAACTCTATGTGGCCTCGACTGGCCTCAAACTCAAACAGAGCTTCCTGCCTCAGCCTCCTGAACAGTGAGACTACAGGCAGTGTTACCACACCCAGCTCAGTACTCCCAGATTTCAGTCCCTTATACCACACACATAGTCAGTAGAAAGTTATGTATAATTTCCTGTTTTTTTTCCAGTACTTGGAATCAAATTCACGACCTTGCACCTGCCATGCAGGCGCTTATACTGCTGAGCTAAATCTCCAGCCCCGAAAGTTATGTATAACTTCATGGTTACCTTCAGATTATGATAAACATAATCATAATTGGGTTCTGTTTACAATAATAATAGATTCTTTTAAACAAATAATAAATAATATTAGAAGCACTCAAATATAATAGAAACAGTGAGGGGCCAGGGATTTAGCTCAGTGGCGTAAGCGCCTGCCTGGCAAGCGCAAGGTCATGAGTTTGAGCCCCCATACCAAAAAAAAAAAAAAAAAAGAAGAAACAGTGAAGTTAATCAAATTACAGAAGTGTGGGAAATACTAGAGTCTATGGATGTGTTCTGTGGCATCAGTTCTCTTTTCTTTTCTTTTTTTTTTTTTTTTTTTTTGGCCTTTTTTGTTTTTATCAGTACCAGGGATGGAACTCACGACCGCACACTTGCAAAGAAGGCTCTTATGCTGCTGAGCTAAGTCCCCAGTTTTTTTTTTTTTTTTGTCTTTTTCCTTTTTATCGGTACCAGGGATCGAACTCATGACTGCCTGCTTGCAAGGCAGGCATTTATGCTGCTGAGCTAAATCCCCAGCTCCAAGTCCCCAGTTTTCAATGAACAGGGTCTGAGCCATTGACCTATTCTGGACTCAGGAGATTTGCATGTGACTAAGCAGCTTTTTCCTGTGCAGAGCTTATATCAGAGAAGATGGGTGACTTATTGGTTAAGATATGGGATGATGCCTAGAGATAGCATCCAAAGTAGAGAGGGTGATTATGTGTAAAGAAGAGAAACATGGTTGAAGTTATTCTGTAGTCTAGGTCAATTTTTTGGACCAGTTGTGTTCAAAAAGTATCTTTCTATAAATTTTTGATGCTTACTGTCAAAAACACTCATTGAGCATGTTGTTTATGTCAAGCCCTGATTTGAATTCCAGTGAGTGTATAGTGAACAAACAAAACAAAAATCTCTGTCCTTGTGGAGCTTACATTTAAACATAAAAAGTCACTCATGGAAATAATTACTAAGCATTTATTATGTAACAGGTGCTGTGCTGATCCTTGGGCTTATAAAACTGAATGAGAAGCCAGTGCAGGCCTGTAATCCCAGCACTCCAGGAGGCTTAGACTAGAGCATCCCAAATTCAAGGGCAGCCTAGACAAAAAGTCCTTGTTTAAAAAAAAAAAAAAAAAAAAAGATTATAAAGGACTGAGAATGTAGTTCAATGCAAAGTGGAGTTCCATGTTTCTACTGGAAGGAAAAAAAAAAAAAAGAATGAGATAGGGCCAGGGATTTAGCTCACCGGGATAAGCATCTCCCTGATAAATGTCAGCTTGCAAGTTCAATCCTCAGTACCAAAAAAATTTTTAAATTTAAAATTTTTTAAAAAAGAATGAGATAACACCTGTGTCTTTAAACAGGGCAGGTAGAAGAGACAAAGAAGTAGCTTAGAGATTTTACTTACTTACTGGTCTTTTTGAGACATGGTCTCACTGTGCAGTTCAGGCTGGTCTCCAGTTTACAATGAGCCTCCTGCCTCAGCCTCCTCAGTGCTGGGATTACAGATATATGCACCACACCCAGCCAATTTAGAGATTTTTTAACATGGTGTTAAAATCAAGGAATACTTGAAGAGGAAAAAGTTCTCTAAAGCAGAAGTGACTAGCTGATACCCTACCTACAAGCTGTTTATTGATGCTTCCTCTTGGAGTGCTGTTTTCCTAGGCTAACAAGCATATACCCATGTGCTGAGATCCCCCCTACTCAGAGACACCACTAGACCCTCCTACCTAAGACTTTGGACCTGCAAGTCCTAGTAGAAATACTGCATGTTCCATGCTGCACTATGTAACCAATACCATTCCTTTTCTTTTTAGTTTTTCTTTTGATTCTAGGGATCAAATCCCGGCCTCACCCTTTTAAAGCATGAGCACTACTTCTGTGCTACATTTCCAACCATAGAAAACTTTCCTTTAAATTCCCATTGTTGCATGTTAGAGCAGTAAAAAGCCTTAATGATCATAGAAGACATCCCAGTTAAAGATGGAAAATTGAAGAGTAGACAGGAGAAGCAGCTTCCTCAGCTTTTCCTGTGGGTTCAGGGCAAGTCTGGAGCAGCAGGCTAGGCAGTGTCTTTGCCTCATTTTTAGGCAGCCCCTGGTTATGAAAGCAGGGGTCTGACTTTGGATACTGCACAGAGAATATCACTACAGTGCTTATTCTAACCGCTCATGCCTTGGGACGTTACAGAGCACCTACTGTGCCACCATGGTCCAGCACTGTGAAGCCCTCAACCGCTCTGTCCAGGTAGTAAACCTCGATCCGGCCGCAGAACACTTCAGCTACCCCGTGATGGCTGGTAAGTCCTAGCAGAGCCTTCCCCTTCCTTCAGGAGTGGCGAGGCCAGAGAGGGCAGGGCATGCTGGCTTCTTGGCACAGAAACTGAAAAATTTGAGAAACTTACTGTGCTGTCCTCTGGTTTGTGGTGAACATCATGAAGCTAAATGTTCCTTGGTGACATTTATTTGTGGTGATGAATGACAGTGTCTTTTCTTGGGTTTGGAGGGGGGACTTGTAATGGGTAGATTCCTCCTCCATCTCCCTTCCCATCTGCCTTTTTCTTGCTTAATCCTACTGCAGTAAATCTATACTTCCATTTACTTATGGTACCAGGAATTGAATTTAGGACCTGGTGCTTGCTAGGCAGGTGATGTGCCGCTGAGCTACATCCCTGACTGTAGTAAATCTATACTAAAGCTAATTTGGTTGAGGCACACAGTGGGTGCTCAAGCTAACCCTAGTAAAAAAAAAAAAAAAAAAAAAAAGAATAAGGTTGAGTAGAAACTACTCACATACCAAAGATAGAATATTTGGGTCAGTTGTACACAGACACATAAAGCCGCAGGTCAGGTGAGTTTATGCAGGAGAGGAGGGTAGTTAGAGAAGAGGACCCGAGCCTGAGCCTCAAAGTTGTCTTCTCTTCCGAGGTCTGGTAGAGGAGTGACGCCAGAAGGGAAGGAGGAAAATGTACCTTGTAAATGCCAAGAGAGGCCAGGTGGGGGTGGGCGTACATGCCTGTAGTCCTGGGTCCTCAGGAGGCTGAGGCTTGGGGGGTGCTTGGGCCCGGGAGTTTGAGACCACTAGGCAACGTAGTGAGATCCTGCTTCAAAGAAAAGCCAGAATGAAACTAAAGATGTCATTGAGAATGGAAATAATCTCAAGAGCAAGAAGGGAAGGGAGATCCAAATGGGGAGAGTTTTGCCTTTGCTAGGAGCAGTGTTGACAGTGAAAGAATGGAAAGTTCTGTTTGGTTGACTTATAGTTTCTAATAATGATGGGTGTGGTTCTTATCAGACAGTGTGTGAATTTGGGAGAGGCAGGTTTTGTAGCGGAAGGAGGAGGAAATACAAGACAGAAGGCTTACTAGAGCGATTTACTCACTAAACGAACTCAGAGCCTCTCCCAAAACCCAAGAACAGGAGATTATGAGATTCTAGACTCCAAAACACAAAAGCTAGTTGGAGCCAGGGCCCGCTTTGTGCCTCTCTGCTCTTCTCCCTGTCCATGAGCTTTCCTGCTTCAGGACAGCGTGGTACCAAGTTTACAGTATTTTTCGGTGACTGACTGGTGTCCTTGGTTCATCCTTCTAGAAGGCCAATTTTATTGTCCCTATGTATTGGCTCTTCATCCTTGGGGAAGGGGGAGGGATAGAATACCAGTGTAAATATGCCTGTGAATGAAGCCCAGTGCACAAAAATAAATAAAAGTCGAAGATAGAGCCAGGCATAGGCTGTCCTCTCAGCTAATCAGGAGGCTGAAGCAAGATCACAAGTTTGAGTCTAGGCTGGACAACTTAGTGAGACCTGTCTCAAAATAAAATTTAAAAAAGGCTGGAGATGTCATTCAGCACTTTCCTAGTAGCCATGAACCTCTGGGGCTGATTCTCAGTACTGGAACAAAACAAAAACCTAAAGTCTAACTACTGATTTCCAAAAACTTATAACAGAACCATACTTATACCAGAATTTTTAATCCCTTTAACCCCTTCAATTGTTAATTAAGTAATGTTCATTTTCATCCTTCTGCCCCAGGATTCAAGACTCCCACCTTACCTCCCGTCCTATAAAAGGCCAAGTGAGGCTCAGGAGGTTAAGTAGCTCCCCTAAAGTCGTCATGTTAAAAGATAATAGCATTGTTTTTACCTGATATTTTTAGTAGTACATATTAACATGTTCAAAGTGTGAAAGACTAAAACTAAGCAGGAGAATGTCTTCTTCCCTGGTCTGATCCCTGATACTCACATATCTTCCCTGGAGGCCGCTGCTCATACCAGTTTCTGGTGTGTACTTCCATAGATGATCTGTGCATATAAAATCCAAGATGTGTACATATTGTGGATGTTCACTAAACTTTTCCTGTTTGTTTGTTGGTTTGTTTTTTGTGGTATCAGGGATCGATCTTACAACCGCGTGCTCGCCAGGCAGGTGCTTATGCCACTGAGCTAAATCCCCAGGCCCTCCTGTTTTCTTTTTAAAACATGTAATTGCACTGTTTTTTCTAGTACTGGGAATCAGACATGGGGGGACTCTGTCACTCAGCCCTATCCCTAGTATCTTTAACCCTTTTTCTTTTTTTTTTTTTTTTCCTTCGAGACAGGGTCTCACTGTGCAGTTCAGGCTGGCCTTGAGCTCACTTTGTAGCCCAGGCTGGTCTCGAACTTGCAACAATCCGCCTGCCTCAGCCTCCTGAATGCTGGGATTACAGGCGTGAGCCACCATGTCTGGCTACCCTTTTTCATTTTTAAGACATCATCTCACTAAGTTGCCAAGGCTGGGCTTGAATTTGCAATCCTCCTGCCTCACCTCCTGAGTAGCTGGGATTATGGACATGCACAGTATGACATCATTCTTACAGAGTTCTGCATTGTATATTTTTCTCACTTAATAATATACCAAGGGGATTGTGTTAGTACTTAAAGAGCTTCTCCCTCTTTTTTATCTCTGTACAGTATTTCATTGTACAGTGTCTGGCTGTCCAATAATTTATTGATCAGTTCTTGTTGATGGACGCTACGACAGTGAAAAAAGTGTATAAATTCCTATGTGCGTGTTTTTATATAATTGTCATTACTGGAGAGGTTAAGTTTTGAATGGCCACTTCTATTCTGGGTCCTGTCTGTCCCTTTCAGACATCCGGGAACTGATTGAAGTGGATGATGTGATGGAGGATGACTCTCTGCGGTTTGGTCCCAATGGAGGATTGGTGTTTTGCATGGAGTATTTCGCCAATAATTTCGACTGGCTGGAGAACTGTCTTGGCCATGTGGAAGATGACTACATCCTTTTCGACTGTCCAGGCAAGTCAGCTGTGTGAATGTGTCACTTACCTTCAAGCTGTAATTGTGTTCTCAATGGGAGGAGGTGTGGTGAGCATTTGTAACCCTTGGTTGTAGTGCAACGTCTCTACCTCACCCCCTGAGCTCATCAAGGGCTACTACACTGGCAACACCGCGGGGAGCAAGGGAGCCATAGGCTCTGCCTTCGCGGAACTCACAATCTAGAGTGCACAGGTTTAAACAAAACCCCCCCATGGTGACTTAATGCTTCCTTGTGACCAGCATCCCACAGAAGTAACAGACTGTCATGAAGTAGGGCAATCAGAGCAGCTTCAGATTAGGTGGTCATTAAACTGAGCTGCTTAATGGGGTGAAAGTGAAAACGCAGTGGTCCAGGCAGAGGGCACAGCAGGCCAGAGTCCTGGAGCAGAAGGGAGCAGGCAGGTTTGAGGTGCTGCAGAGGCCAGTGTGGCTGAGCACCGTGAGTGAGGAGGAGGTAAGGAGTGAGGAGGAGCCGTGTGGTAAGTCTGGGAGTTACAGATGGTTTTTAAGACCTGAGCCTAACCTGGCTGGTCACTTGTGGCCCTCATTCGTTACCTCTTGCTTCTCACTGAACACAACCTGCAGTAAGTGTACACATCATAAATGTAGTTTTGGTGAGTACCAAGCTGCACAGCCCTTTGCAGCACTAATCCTCACCTTTTCCACCCTAATTCCTGGGATTGAGCTTGGGCATTCCAGGAAAGCTCTTACCAGGGAGCCGTATCCCAGCCTTAGCACTCACTTTTCCATTAGCTACATGAAGCCCTCCCGGACCTCATCGTGGTCCAGAGGAGTCCACATTGTAATCCCAGGGAAAAGTTACCGGAACTCCAATAATTAATTCCAATCTACCACTTCCAGTGCAAGCCACAGTGACAGTAAAGACACTAAGGCATGTTTATAGTTGTGAGGAGCCAACGGGGTCCGAAGTCCAGCTAAAATGATGGCTAATTGGAACAAAGGCTCCACCCAGTGCTGAACCCGGGTTTCATTAAAAAGGGGGATGGCTCAGGGATGAGTGACTGTGAGAAAGGTGGGAGGTGTGTGAGTGCTATGAGCTGGGTCGGTGGGAGGCCTGGAAGCACCTCTGCAGTTTGCAGAGAGAGAGAGAGGCAGAAAGAGTAATCTGCATGTCACAGATCGGGGCAGTATCTGATGTTTTGGTGGTGGTGCTTCAGCTTTGATGTGCACTCATCATGCCCTGAAATGGCACAGCCTCTTTCTCAAAGCTCAATCTCAGCTTACAGTTGGCATCACTCAGCATAGCTCATTGCATACCTTGGGAGTGTCAGCAGGTATCACTGTCCGGTCACATTGCTTTAAAGACTACACATTAGCACCTTGGTTAGACCAATTTGTAGCACTTCTAGCCAATTGAGGGGATAAGGAAATACCCTACCCAGCTCTGTGCATAACAATCCACGGTAGCAGGGCCAAATGCTCTGCTTTCAAGGAGTGCTGTCCAGGTGGTTTTCCACAGTTGGCAAAGTGTGTAGTGTGAGAGCTTCATTTTCCACATTAGACTAGATAGTTTGCTTGAGTTTCCCTTAGGTTTTGTGATTGCTTTGTGAGGTTAGAAGGCCCTATAAAAATTGAGTACATTATTACTTTTTTGTTGTTGTTCCAGAATTGAACTCAGTACCTTGAGCTTGCCAGGCAGGTGCTGTGCCACTTACATTCCTGACCTGAGGATGTTATTACTAACATTCTTTTTCCACCATTATCTTACTGGTAAAACTTCTGTTCTTTATTTGACACTTAACCTATTTCCTGTGTATGTCATTCTCGTTACCCTTTTCCTGTAGGTCAGATCGAGTTGTACACTCACCTGCCTGTGATGAAGCAGCTGGTCCAGCAGCTGGAACAGTGGGAGTTCCGAGTCTGTGGCGTGTTCCTTGTTGATTCTCAGTTCATGGTAGAGTCCTTTAAGGTATGAGGGTAGTTCTGTTGTTGACTTGGTAACAGGTACAAGCAGTTGGCAGTCACCTTTAATTACTGTGTGATTCTGGACATTTCACCAGACTATTTCAGTGACTTAGTATCCTTTCTTATTAAATTACTAGGCTAACATTGTAACTTGAAACTGATGAGTGATGATTATTATACAGATTTTGAGGAACTGCTTACCAAGAACTACTGTCATCCCAGCACTCAGCAGGCTGAAGCAGGAGGATCACCATAAGTTCAAGGCCAATTTGGACTATATAGGAAGGCCCTGTCTCCAAAAAACAAAACAATTATTTTAAAAGAACTGTGGGTGGCCTTCCAGGAAGATAGTAGTGTCCTGAACACCAAAGAAACTGCGTCTATTTGGTTGTCCAGATGCAGAAATATAATAACATGAGGAAGAAAACAGTGAGGGAAATGGGTCCCCAGGATCTGGTGCGAGAATTGAAGTCCACAGGGACAGTAAAGAAACCTTAAAGCAGAGGCTCTTTCCCCCTGAGCCCTGACTCACTGTGTGGCAGGGCAGCTCCAGCCCGCAGACCCACTGTGACTACTCGTGACCCCAGGGGCCTCCACGCAGAAATACACTAGTGGAACACAACCATAGATGTAGCAGATTGCAGGGGCTGGTGAGTTATTTGGGTTCAGACACTCCCCAGGAGAGGGTGATTGGTCAGTAGCCATCTTTGAGAGGGGCCTACTGAACTGGGAACTCAGAGCACCTGTAGGCTATCTCCATCTGGTGGGCTCGCAGGTCAGGGCGAGGTGGAGCCAAGCTTGCATTGGTAGGAGGTCAAGGAGCCAAGCTCAAGCCAGCAGGAGGCACACAGTGTTCCAGGCTGAACAAATCAGGTTCCCTCCTCAAAACCAGAATCCAGGCTGAGCTTCAGTGGGACTAAAGACGCAGTCTTGCTGGAATTCTCCACTACCCTGCCGCAAATCTGTGGTTGCCTTGCTGGGATTGATGAACACAGATTGGACTCTGCCAGTGACAGCAGAGACATACCCTAAAGTGCACTTTTTTGTTTTGTTTTCTTTTGTATTTGTTGCTCGTTCTTGTTTTTATGAGTGAACATTGTTTCTAGTTTTTTTTATAATTCTGTTCATGTTTATTTTTCTTCTCTTTCCCTCTTGTCTTCTTCACCAGTTTCCCAAAGATCACATAATCTTCATTTATTTTTGAGCCTTTCTTCTAATCTTTTCCTCTTCTATTCTTTATTTTTTTCCCCCTTAATTCCTTTTAAATTTTCTCCGATAAGAGTAAAATGGCCATATTGGGGGCATATTTACTGTATAGAATTTTCTGATTCATTTTAGATTTTCTTATATGACCCCAACTATAGTTCATAAGGTTAAAGGTAGCGAATTAATAGTTACCACAGCTTGTCATTTGCTAGGCTGTGTTTGATGCTACTGTTTTTGCTGATTGTGCCACTTCAACCAAGGTGACAGAATTGTTCTAATCAGTTGTTCTGGTATGGCAAGACAGATTGCATAAGGGCCATATATAGTACTATAGGCCAATGCCAAAGAACTAGAGCTGGGTTAAATGGGCAGCAACTTCTCATCCCCAGTAAACTGAAGAGGTGAGATCTTACGACAGACTCAAAGCCCAAAAGCCAGCTACACAAATAATCTCTCAGATAACTACAGAGATGTTGAAAGACATGGATAGTGACTCCAGAGCAGGTGCAGATTAAAAAATAGAGGAGCTTCGGAGAATGATGGAAACCTTGAAGGCCCAACATAGGAAGTAAATAGAATCTGTGTAATAGATTCAAACATATGCAAGAGATTAAAAATTTCATTCAAAGTATATGCAGCAGAATGAGCCACCTTGAGGACAGAATATCTAATTCTGTCCACAGGATTGCGATTAGTGATTGTGCAAAGAAAGATTTCTTAAAAATAGCAAGGGACCTGAAAGATTAATCCAACAGCAGCTAGGTGATACAAAGAATAGCATAAGATTTATCAGAGTCAATGAAAAGAACCATGACTGTACAATTTTTTTTTTTTTTTTTTTTGTCTTTTTTCCTTTTTACCGGTACTGGGGATCGAACTCATGACTGCCTGCTTGCAAGGCAGGCACTTATGCCGCTGAGCTAAATCCCCAGCCCCCGACAGTACAAAAGTGTTCACATAAGCAATAGCAGAAAACTTCCCAAACATGGAAAAAGAATTTGACATAATGGATAAGTGAAGCAAAGTCTCACTATGTAGCTCAGGCTGGCCTTGAACTCACAGCAGTCCTCCTGCCTCTGACTCCCAAGTGATGGAATTAGGGGTGTGTGCCACCACACCTGGCACAAGAACAGGATCTTGGAGGCTTTTACAGAAAAGATCAAATCACCTATAAAGAAAAGCCCATCAGAATCATAGCAGACTTCTCAAACCTTCAGATGTGGAGAGCTGGGAGTGAAGTGTTTCAAGCAATAAAAGAAAACCTCCAGCCCATATTGATGTAGTCCAAGAAACCATCTTTCAAAATTAATGGAGAAATAAGATATTTTCATGACAAAGAACACCTGAAGAGATTCATGATCACCAAACCAGCACTCCAAAATATTCTGAAGGACATTCTAGAAAGAGATGGTGAGACACCAGGGATATAGCTCATTGGCATAAGCACTTACCTGGCAAGCACAAGGTCCTAAGTTCAATTTCTGAGGACTACAACTACATGAACTCCAACAAAATGAATTCACGAGGCAAGGCAAGACAGAGGAAAGTGGAGACCCGCAACAAAAAATAATGTGACAGTAAGTCAGTGCATATCAGTTATTACTGTCAGTGCAAGTGGTCTCAATTCACTGATCAAAAGTACATAGAACATGCTTAAGTAAATGCAATGAAATTGGAAGCCAGTGCGAAAAAAAACCACAAGAACTTTAGCACATGGAAATTAATACCCTTCTGAACAACAGTGGGTCATAGATGAAATTAAAGAAGAAATTAGATGGTTTGTATAATTAAATGACAGTGGCAGTACAACATAACCAGAAGCCATGGGAGCTGTCCACAAAGGAAGTTTATAGCAGTGAATTCCCTAACAGAAAAAAGCCAAAAAAGGGACTGTAATGTGTGATTGTTTTTCTTTTTAAGCTGTACCCCCAAATTTTCCAGATGTGTTTCAGTAAAGGTTAGGGTGAGTAAGGGATAGAGCCAAGTGAGCCAGGTGTCTGAGCCATGACACATAAGTGCTACAGGATGTCATTTTTATTCAGGGTTATATACCAAAACTCCTCAAAAATAAATACAATACGACGTTAAGTAAATACAATATAGAGAGCATTTTTAGTGATTAAAAATAAGTCTATTTTTAATCTGCTGAGGACCTTTTGTCCAGTTTTTAAACTGTCTGAATCAAAATCCATTTCTCATGACTAGCTCTTGAGGATATTAGATGGGAAAGGTGGTTAGTGATGTGGTATCAATCAAGATGAGTAGTCACTGGAGATTAAATCTATATCTTTGTCTTTTTCTATAATATCAGAATTTCTGTTTTTTCTTTTTTCCTTTCTTCCTTTTTTTTTTTTTTTTTTTGAGACAGTCTGACTGTGTAGTTCATGCTGTCCTTGAACTCACTGTGTACACCACACTGGCCTCAAGCTCACAGCGATCCTCCTGCCTCAGCCTCAGGAGTGCTGGGATTACCGGAGTGCGCCACTGCACCCAGCTGGCATTTCTTTCACTTAGCCCAGCTCCTTTCCAAGGAGGAGTTGAAGGCTCTATTTGGAGACTGTTGGTGTCAGGTAACTTGTCTTCTCTTTTGTGTCCTCCTTCAGTTTATTTCCGGCATCCTGGCTGCTCTGAGTGCCATGATCTCTTTAGAAATCCCACAAGTTAACATCATGACGAAAATGGATCTGCTGAGTAAAAAAGCGAAAAAGGAAATTGAGAGGTGAGTTCACTATTCTTCCATTACCTTCAGTACTCAGCTACCAAGGTGAGCGTTTTCTGCTTTATTGAGATGTGTGGCTCATCAGCTTATAAATCTAGTTTCCTGATTCCTTTTATTCATTAGTCTTTTTTTCTCACTTTCAAAGGTTTCTAGATCCAGATATGTATTCTTTGTTAGAAGATTCAACCAGTGATCTAAAAAGCAAAAAATTCAAAAAATTGACTAAAGCTGTATGTGGCCTGGTAAGCTTGTGAAGTGCAATTAGTTTGTTCGTTTCTTTGTTTTTCCCCAAATGATATGAAGAGTTTGCCACATTCAGTCAGCTGCCAACTTTTTGGAAGCACAGTCCAACTCTCTGTTCTGCAAAGAGGAGGGGGATGGGAAGGGATCGAGTTGGCCCCACAGTTTAATTTAGAAGTAGTTACTGTCGCCGGTATGATGTGTGATGGCATAGGCCCTCCTGCCTGTACTCCCCGTGACCGGCGCAGCTCCCCAATGAGACAGGTGACGCTCTTGTGGACGACAGTTAACTGCTGGTTTATTTACGCGGGCTCTGGTTTATATATTTGGCCGTGACCAATCACAGGCTGCCACGAGGAAGCAGGGCGGGAATGGGACGCAGGCTCTGGCTACTATATCCAGCTGTGGCCAATCAGGAGTTGCCACAGAGTACAGAGTGAGCACGAAGTGTGCACGGGTTGGCTAATTTAAAGAGGGACGTAGCGCATTGCGGAAGCTGGCGTGGTCCTTAGTCCCGGGTGGGGTATGGTATGTTGAGTGCCTGTGCCCAACACCCCGCACTCCGCAGGCTGAGGCAGGAGGATTGCTAAGAGTTTGTGGGTGGCCTGGGCTACACAGTGAGTTTAAGGGCAGCCTGAACTACAAAGTGAGACCCTGTCTCAAAAAAAGAAGTTATTGGCAGGTCAGTAAATTAACATGTTTATTATTTCAAGCAATTTGGACAGTTCAGACTGTTTGTACCATTATGACAGTTCCAATTCAATGGTATGGAATTCAGATAAATACCCATGAACCAGTGAAGGTTTGGAAGGTCAGAGGTTAGAAAAGCAGTAATGATTTGCTGCTTTCTGTCTGTTTACCTCCTCTGCCTGTACCCCTAAGACACAACTGGTTTTAATCAGAAGTATAAATGGTTATAAAACTCGAATCTAAGCTGAAAATTATGTATTTTGCACAACTTCAGAACACACTTTTCTTGAACTCTCCAACTCACAGATTGATGACTACAGCATGGTCCGGTTTTTACCCTATGATCAGTCAGATGAAGAAAGCATGAACATTGTGTTACAGCACATCGATTTTGCCATTCAGTATGGAGAGGACTTGGAATTTAAAGAACCACGGGTAACTTTGGATTTGAGGTTTTTATGGGCTTTGGGGGAAAATATTTGCCAGCACTCAGCCTTCTCCTTCGTAATCCAGGCAACTCCTTAAATTAGTTTTTGTCATTGTGGTGGTTTGGGCTTTTCTGGATAACGTCTAAAACTTATCCCTGCATCCACTAGGAGGTACCAGCTTCCCTCTACCTTTTATTGAGGTGATAGCAGCTAAGTTGCTGGACTTACAGCTTGGGGTTCTGTACAAAGAGCAGGTAAAATCCATTTGAAATTGGCTGCTCTCACACATGTCACTTGGTGACCAGTGACAGTTACCAGGAGAGCATTAGCAAACTGGCTGAGAGTCCTTTCAATGTAAATTTAAATGAAAAAATGCTTCTGATGAGCTATCAGCACATCCGTTTACCATACCTGAAAAAATTCTGTCAACCATACCTCTGTCTTTAATCACTAATGGTTACAAGTAAGCATTTCCTGACACTTATCTTGGATTTATTGGTTACATGTAAAGCATTACCTGAGCTGGGGATTAGTTCAGTGTCATAAATGCCTGGCAAGCGTGAGGTCATGAGTTTGATCCCTGGTGCCAAAAAAAAAGCATTCCCTGGATAATCTATAACACTACTAGTCTACCTGAGAGAAGTGAATATATCTTATTTTCTGTTTCCTTCATGTCAGGAGCATGAAGATGAGTCTTCCTCCTCTATGTTTGATGAATATTTTCAAGAAAGCCAGAATGAATGAAACATTTACTAAATGGCATCATATATCTGTATGTATATGAAGATCTTGTGGCCAAATCGACAGATATTCTCTTTAAAGGAGACAGTAGGAGAAAGCTACTTATTTTAATGAAAAAAAGGAGTGCTTTACTCTTCACCTGGAACATCCCTGGACTCAGTTCTAAGTTACTCCGAAGCCACTGCTGTCTAAGAGGGGAATCTTTAGACTGGAAGAGGAGCTCAGTGATGGAACACCGTAAACATACGCAGAGCCCTGGCTTTGATTCTACAAAAGGGGCTGAGGGTGGGGTAGAATCTATACTAGAATTCTAATAGCATCAATTTAATTCTACTTTTAATTTTAGGTTTTATGTAGGCCAGTCTGGCCTTAAGGTCATTATGTAATCCATCAGGCTAGAATTCATGGCAGTCTTCCTGTCTCAGCCTCCTGAGTGCTAGGATTACAGGTATGTGCCAGCATACTTGATTTATCAGTGTAGATTTTAACAATCAAAGGCCAGGTGAGGAAAACAGCTGTGGCTCAGTGATAGAATGCTTGGCTTGCAGATTTTAAAATCCTGGGTCTAATCTTGTGAAAGGAAAAAAACCTAAAAGCAAATTCACATAGATTTGTATAATACAGGTTAGTGCCTGTTCTATATAATAAAATGCCAGTCTAATTTTATTTTTACACTTGGATTTTTATCTTTTGGTTTTTTTTTTTTTTTAAGATGCACAAATTATTGTAACAAAATATACCTCAAAAGGGTAAAATATCTGAAAGGGTATTGTAAGACCACTACCTATCTGTATCTTATTTTTGTATGTTGAAAAAGTATTACTTGTCTAATTAAAAAATTAAAATAACTGTTTTGAGATATATGTGTATATAGGAAAGAAAGAGAAAGGCAGCACTAACCTTTCCTTACACTCTTGTTTTCCTGGCAGTGTACTATTGAGGCAGGAAGCTCAATAAGTAAATTTCCCAAAGTGTCAAGATGTAGTCCATGTTGCTTTTAAAATGCAGTTTGTAGTCTCTGAGCATCCTTATTTTTTTTGTTGTTTTAATTTTAAAGAGAATAAAGCCAAACAAAACAGAACAGAATAAAGCCAATCAGAATAAAACAATGAAAGTGACACAGGACTTCAAAACAAGATAATGGGAAGTCAGCAATGGCTGCCATAATGTCCTGTTGTCTTCAAAATGGTTGCCCATGTTATCAGACATAATAAAAGTAAACAAAACAATGAAAATGATACAGAACTTCACAACAAGATAACAAGAAATTAACGATGGCCACCATAATGCCTCTTGTTATCTTCAAAATAGCTGTCCAGACCATCAGACATATTAAATTAACCCATCAATACAGCATCACACTGCTTGTTTACTTCAGGTGTGTGATGTATAATTTCTACTATGTCTGTGTCTCCTGACGTTCTGTGGGCTGGAGGCCTGAGATTGTATTTTACTGGTTTGTCTTGAGCTTTTCCTGTGTTCCTCTAAATGAGCCCACTGCTGCATCCCATGTGCTTCCTGTGTTGGCTGCCAGTCCCTCAGTGTAGTGGATCACACCAGGCACCTGGGTTCCTCTAATCTGGGGTTCCTGGGGAGGTGGAGAGGCACAGAGTGGTGGTTCACCAGTGCTCCCCCAGTGGCAGCACTGGTGGCTGCCATGGGACATGGCTTCTTCCTGTTAACACCATTCATTCACAGGTTTGGTTTAGCTCTGACACTTTTGGTTTGGTTTGGTTTTTTTGTCTTTTTTGAGACAGTTTTGCTAAGCAGTTCAAGCTGACCTTAAACTCACTTTGTAGCCGAGGCTGCCCTCGAACTCAGCAATTCTCCTGCCTCAGCCTCCTAAGTGATGGGATTATACGTGTGTGCCACTGTACCTGGCTAGCTCATATTTCTTTGCTGATTTTCTGTCTGGTTGACCTTCCTGTCTGTGACAATGAGGTATTGAGATCTCCCATTATAATTATGTTATTGTTTATTTGACTTCATGTCTAGCACTAACTGTCTGATACAGTTTGGTGCTCCTGTATTAGGTGCACATATATATTCATGATTGTTATGGCATTTGTTCTGCCTGCCGCTTTCTCATTAACCCCAGTTAATCTTGTGTTGTGATTCTTTGCTTCGTCTTACAGCTGTTGAATTGATTTTTCATGGTCTCTTGCTCTTCTTGAGAGGTAGCTTTTTTTTCATGATCAGTAGCTGCAGTTCTGTCTTCAGCATCTGAAATTCTACCCTTTTCTTCGTTCAGTCTGTGGCATATACTTTCAGTGGAGGTTTTGATGTCCTGGATCTCTGTTTGGATCTATTTTATGGATTCAGTTTCTCTCCTATGTTGGGCATTTTTGTTTCCATTTTTTCTAAGCCATCTATTCTTTTATTTGTGTCTTCTCTGATATCTTTGATTTTAAGCATCATTTCTTTTTGTACCTGAGAGATCATTTTCTCTATACTCTTTTCCACTTCTGTTGTTATCATTTCAAAAAATTCCAGTGTTTGACTTCCAACTTAAATCTTGCTGGGTTCCAGGCCTATTCTGGGTGGGCTGGGGGTCTGGGGCCATACCCCGCCCCTGCGTCTTGCTATTCACCTTCTCTTTTTTCTTTTATTTTGTCTTCTACATTGATGTCCACCAATCTTCCATGATTTATAGCTCTACCACTAGCACTGAGGCCTCAAGGAGAAAGGAAGATGTCTGTTCCTCAGGGACGTCCTCCAGATGTGGCTGGTTCTTTATAGCTGTCCCAGGAACCTACCTTCTAGTGTTTATGGTTCTGTGACAGTGTCCATGTTACAGCCCAGAGACATGCTGGGTATGAAGCTGGTCTTGGCCTCTGGATATGGCGGCTGGGACTGGTCTTCTGTCAGTGGAATTCTCCTGAGTCCAACTGCTGTCTCCTTGCTGCTGCTCCAGATGCTTCCACATTACTGGCTTTGCTGATTACTTTGCCCTCGAGGTCTGCGTGCTGGGTTGTTATCCTGGGTTTTAGAGTTCCAGTCAGTCTTACACTCTTCCAGCCAGCCCCACTATCTCTGAGCATTTAAAGCTGATTTATGTATTGCTTGATGGGTGTGGTTTGCACTTGTAATCACAGCACTCAGGAGGCTGAGGCAGGAGGATCACTGAGTTCAAGACTAGCCTGAACCACATAATGAAAGCCTGCGTCAAAAAAGACCAAAAACAAAACAAAAAAACCCCTTAACCATTCCTTGAGTAATATGCACCAAAATGCAAAAGAAATCCTCAAGCACTTCCAGGCTTCGTGTTAAACATACATCAGTTTTTCCCTTTCATCCTCCCGTAGGCCTCATCCTCCCCTGCTCACTGATCTGCCGCCCACACAGATTAAGCCCTCAGAAACCCTGCAACTCAGGTTCAGCTTTCATCCTTCTTTGGGGTTTTGTTACTTTACTTTCATTGCTGAGACAAAATACTTAACATCCAAAATGAAAGGAAAGATTTAGGCTTTGTGGAGGTTATTTTGGTTTGTGGAAGTTTCAGTGCACACTCAGCTGGCTCCAAGGCAGGGTGGCGTGGCTGAAGGTGTGGGCGCTGCAGATGATGAGTGAGACGGGCAAAGGGGCAAGCACACCTCCTTCCCTCCCTCACTCCACCAAGCCCAGTGCCAGACAATGGGCCAGTCACAAATGCTAGACTCAGCTGCCTTGGGAAACCCCTCCGCCGTGACCACATGAGGCTTTGGGGTATATTTCAACCATAACATTTGCCTAGACAGCAAAAGTGCACCTGCAGGGTCAGATTTGATCCATTCTCATTAAAGAAGCAAAATGAGGCACCAAAGGCACCATGGCTGGCTTGTGCTGGTGACCCTGGAAGGGGAGAAGAGCCAGGTGTCAGTGCTGCATGGCAGTAGGAGTGGGTGACACCGGGCTGTGGGTGGCTCTATGGGGACTTCTGGTGACTCTCAGAATGAAAGAGCAGGGACCCCACTACTGCCCAGTGTTGCTGATTCTCAGAAACCATCACTTGGGAGAACAAAGCCAAAGAACTTTCCTGCCTTCATTGCTCCTTAATCCACACCTCCTCAGTTTAGCTTCTGAGGAATCTAGTATGTGCCCCCGAGGGCAAGTGAGGAGCCAGATTCTGCTGCTTCTCCAATCTGGACATGGGTTTCAAAGAATCTGACCTTCCAGGCCTCAAGGACTTTCCTAGCTGATACGGGAGCCTAACACAGTTCTTCCTGTGAGCTTAAGCAGGTTCCGTAGGTTCCAGGCACCTGGACCAAGAGGAATGTGCATGGGAGACAAGGCCTTACCAGACGGGGCTGACTTCTCAGCACTTCACTCACCTGCTGAGGAACTGGAAGTGAAGAAGGTAATTACAGAGTGACTGAGGGGTATTCTGGGCTCCTCTAGCTGGGTATGATGGTGCGGGCCTGCAATTCGGGCTCTGGAGGCTGAGGGTTGCAAGCTGAAGGCTGGCCTGGGCAATTCAGTGACTTACACTGTCTCAAAATTTAGAAAGAGGAAAAAGAAAATTAGGACTCAAGATACAGCTCTGTGAAGCCCTTGGGCTCAATCCCCAATACCACAAAAAAGAAACCCTCTTTTAGGGGATGTTTGGCTAGAGACCTAAAGGAGAACTCAGATGTGGAAATAGTTTTTTCTTTTTGTTACCGGGGATTGAACTCATGACCTTGCACTTGCCAGGCAGGTGCTTATGCCACTGGGCTAAACCCCTGACATGTTTGTTTGTTTAAGATTTATTTTGTTCTTAGAAACAGGGTCTCACTCTGTGTGCTAGACTGACCTCAAACTCCGTGATCCTCCAGCCTCAGCTTCCTCAGTCTGGGGTTATAGGCATGCATGCACCACCATACCTAGCTCAGATGTGGGAAGATGAGCCACAGTATTCTAGTCTGAAGGAATAGCAGAAAAAATGGCACCGAGACAACAATAAACTTAGCTTTTCACATGAGCTGTTTTCTAGTGATGAGTTTTCAGTATTCACTAGGGATGTGAATTCTAAGTACTTTCCAAGTAGTGTGTTTCATCCTCACAAAATGAGGTAAATATTGTCTTCATGAAGAACTGAGGCACAGAAAAGCGAATTACTTGCTCAGCATTGCACTGCTAGTACATGCTGGGAGTAGGATTCAGACCCAATGTCCACTTCCTCAACCATTATGGGAAGAATGCCTGCTGGTATGGGGATGCACAAATTTCTGCTCTCTTGCGTATTGTAGGTGTGGTGGCTCACACCTGTAATCCCAGCGCTTGGGAGGCTGAGGCAGAAGGATTGCTGCGAGTTCGAGGTCAGCCTGAACTGCACAATAAGACCCTGTCTCAAAAAGGGGAAAAAAAAAGCAATGGGATGTATTCATTCATTCACCCAGCTATTTGCTAATGCTGACTGTACCATCACTAACAAACACTGAAAAGGGGCACATTTTGCCTTTTTGACATTCACGTGGATGGTGAAACGAGGGAGAAACCGAGAAAGAAGGGTAAGACAGGGGCCCACAGTGGAGTAAAATGTGAGACAGTCCAGGAATGGTTCACTTGAAAAGGTGGCCTTTAAGGGAAAAGGAAGTGATTCATCACCAGGACTCCAAATCCCATCCTCTTCTGCACGCGTTTTACGCATGCGCGAACTTCACGCCCTCTGCTCGGTGTTCGCGCGCCCTCTGGTGTTCATCTACATCCACGCAGCAGGCGCTGTGACAGCAAGACCGGAAGGGCTGCATCCTCCGGTCTCCTCCCCTTCCGATTCACTTCCGCCCACTACGCCCGCGCCCCCCACACCCGGATCGGAAGGGTCGCGTTCTGAGCTGGTCCAGCCCCTCTGCGTTGGAACCCCGGACCCGCCAAAATGCCGGTAAGCGTCTGATCCTGGGGTGTGAGGAGACGGCAGGGATTGGGGAGAGCGGCGGGAAGGCGTGCGTGGGCTGAGAGAAGCGACCCGAGGAAGGCGGAAAGGAAGCGGGGAGCCTGCGAGCGGGGTGGCGAGGGGATGAGCCGGTGTCCGGAGGAGCGGAGCTGGCCGAGGTGTCGGCTTTGGGAGCCCCCGCGCCCTCCGCGCCACCCCAGCTCCTTGGCTGGCCGCTCTGCTGCCAGGAGCCCTCGCCAGAGCTCGCAGCCCAGGGCTGCGCTTTTTGTTTCTCGTTTCTCAACTCTGGGTTCTGCTTCTTCTTTTTTCTGTCAGCCCCACTTCCCCCTCCGCTCTCGGGGGCAGGGCCCGCCTCCTGCTCGTCACCTGTGGGGCCCACTTCCTGGTCGCCTCCCTTGGCCCCTGTGGGCGGCGGCCACCCCAGAGGCATCTGGGTTTAGCTACCCAGGGTTGGCTTTGGTGACAAGGAGTCTCTTTGTGAGTGCATCGGGGTCGGAGTAAAAGTCGGTGATGGTCCCACTGTTCTTTATTTCTGACAGCCAGGCCGTGAGCTTTCTTGCCATCATTAGCTCCCTTTTGCAAGTTAGGAAGAGTCCCTTAGGAACGTATATTAAACTCAGCAAACATTACCTAGTGCCTACTTGCACCGATCACCTGGGCAGCAGCGAGTAAGGCCAGCAAACCTCCGCTCTTAAGCCGCTTGCATTCTAATGGAGAGATAGACAGTAACACGGAAGCATGTATAAAGGAAGCAGCCTCCGATAGTGCTGAACGCTCTGGAGGAAATCAGCGGATAGCAAGGCAGTGCTGGGTGAAGGGGAGGGCGGAAGCTGCTTTCCTTGAGGCGTACCCGTTAAAACAGCAACAAGCCGTAGTTCCAACTATACATTTTATGAATCCCAGCTGTCGTTTGACTCCTGAGTAGTGCCAGGCAGGCCTAGAGCCACACACTTCCTAAATGATTCCGTTTAGTTCTCACAGTGACCATATGAAGCAGATACAGTTATTATGCCTATTTTGCAGAAAAGACTGAGATGCAGAGAAATGAAGTGACTTACTTGCACAAGGTTGCATTTTGTACCAGCAGGAAAGCCAGATTTTGAGCAGGACTCTCATCCTCTGTTCATTCCAATTCCAGGAGCACACCCTGGACTTATTCTGTAGCTATTTATTTATTTATTTATTTATCTGGTTTTGAGACAGTGTCTCATGCAGTTCAGGCTGGCATTGAGCTCACTGTGTAGCCCAGGCTGGTCTTGAACTCGAAACAATCCTCCTGCCTCAGCCTCCGAATGCTGGGATTACAGGCATGAACCACCACGCCCAGCTGGATGTCTGTCTGCCTTTTGAAGACAACATGCCCATTCAAATACTCATTCATTCATTCATTCACCAAATAATTATTAAGCACTTTCTATGGGGCTAGGGATTTAGCTCAACAGCATAAGCCCCTGCCTGGCAAGCTCAAGGTTGTGAGTTCGATCCCGGGTACCACCAAAAAAAAAAGCACTTTCTGTGTGCTTGGTACAGTGACATAACTGATATATAAGAGCAGTGTTATTCTTGCCTTTGAAGAACTTTTAGACCACTCAAGAAAACAAGGATAAAATAAGTAGGCCCAGAGTGGTGGCATGCACCTGTAATCCCAGCACTTGGAAAGCTGAGGCAGCAGCATCGCTGTGAGTTCAAAGTCAATCTGGGCTACAAGGTGAGTTCAAGCCCAGCCTGAACCACATAGTGAGATGCTGTCTCAGAAAAAAAAATTAAGGGAAGAAAGTGATGTCTTGGTTAAAGACAAAGCCAGTTTGAGGTAGGAGGCTGCCCTGCTATAATCCCAGCATTCAGCACCAGGACCACATGTAATCCTAGCCTGAGGCAAGAGAGTCACAAATTTGAGCCCAGCCTGGGTAATTGAGTGACTTTAGGAAGGCCTGTCTTTGGAAAACAGTGAGTGGTAGAGAGGTAGCCCAGAGTGAAGGCCCCTGGGTCAGTGATGGCAATCCTTCTAGAGCTTTCCGTGACAACGAACAGCCCCCTGCAGCAGGCATGCCATAGGTTTGCGACCGCTGGCCAAGGTTCTGTTTCCAGTATTGGGGAAAAAGAAATAGCCAGGAAATGACTGAACTGAAAAGCGTGGGTCCTGATTTAGCTGGAGAGTGAGTAACTTGATTTATAAGCTGTTTCTAGTAGAAGTGCATCCACCAGCTACCAGTGTGATGTCACTGGATATGGAATTAGAAGAGGTGTGTGGTGGCACCCAGTCATAGAGTATTTCCACCATAAAGATACACCCAGAGTAGTAAAATCTAATTTTTAAAAATTGGGAAATAATGAGTACTTATCTTTATTGTAAATTCATATAATTAATTTTCAAAAATGGCTGTGTTTAATAACCAGCTTGCAGAATTCCTCAAAATCCACAAATGCTTTTCTCACCGGGCTTTATGGCACACACCCATCATCTCAGCACCTCGGAGGCTGAGGCAGAAGGAACAGAGTTCAAGGCTAGCCTGGGCTACATAGTGAGACTGGGTCACTGGTGCCCACCTTGGTCTCTCCCCTCTTGATCTTGAGTGCTTGCTCTTTTTTCCATAGGGGAATGTCCTTTTTTGCCCCCATGACATTTGTCCTTTCTGTTTCTGTATCCTTAATTGGTGTTGCTGCAGGCCTACCACTCTTCTCTCATGGACCCTGACACCAAACTCATTGGAAACATGGCGCTGCTGCCCATCAGGAGTCAGTTCAAGGGACCCGCGCCCAGAGAGAGTAAGTGTGACCCATGGCTTTCAAGCACGTATAAAGTCCCTAGCAAACCTGGTAACGTCAGGTCAGGAAATTTCTGAGCTCAGTCCTTTGTCTCGATTGCTCTTCTACTTTCTTTCTTTCCTCATTAGGACACAATTTCACTATGTAGCTCAGGCTGCCCTTGAACTCACTTGGTAGCTCAGGTTGGCCTCGAACTTGCAGTGATCTTCCAGCCTTCCGAATGCTAGAATTACAGGTGTGCACCACCATGCCCGGCTTCCCCTTTGGTTTTCTGAATTGTGTTTCTTTGCTTTTTTGGTACTTTTTTTTTTCTGAGACAGGGTCTCACTATGCAGTTCAGGCTGACCTTGGGCTCACCTGTAGCCCTGGCTGGTCTTGAACTTGAACCTATCCTCCTGCCTCAGCCTCCCGAGTGCTGGGATTACAGGAGTGTGCCACCACACGCGGCTTCCTTTTTGTTTTTAGGGATGGGTGAGTAGTGCTGGGGCTGAGTGTAGAACCTTGTGCACACTGACCATGCTTTTAGCCACCGAGTTAACCCCAACTCCTCGCCTTCTTCTTTTTGCAAAACTTTTTGCTGTTCATATAAAGCCCCATTCTGTTTCAGTCACTGTTAGAGACTTTTCTGACACATTCTGAGATGTTCTGCCAACAGTGTAACTTGTTTTTTATTAGACGTGGTTTCTTTGCACCCAGCAGAGGTCTGGACTGAGTTCCATTCATGGTTCCAAGACAATGCTTATAATTACTAATTTCGTCCAGATCCCTTAGTCTGGCTGAGTCCTGCCAGACTGTTTGACTTGACCTCTTCTTAATTTAATTTTGTTTTCATTACCAGTCGAAAGCTCAGTAAACCTAATAAATTAGGTGAGTCACCACGTTTTATATGATTCTGAGAAAAAGAAACAGATGGAGAAACAGCAATAATGTAAAAGAATTACAGCGCAAAGAAAGAAATAAGAATAGTCACTGGCTGAGGTTCCTTAAGCAGGCTTTTCTGTTCCCTGCCTCTGTGTGCACACACACACCCTTTCACGTGGTTATGGATCCCATATACTGTATCAGAAATGGCAGCTAGCCAGGTACGATGGTGCACTCACTTAATGCCAGCACTCAGAAGGCTGAGCAAGGAGGGTTGCGGTGAGTGTGAAGCCCGCCTGGGCTGCATAGGCGCTAAGCCCTGTCCCAAAAAACCACACAGGTAAAGAAAATGCAGCTGACCAGAGTTGGGATAAATCTAGTTACTGCTTTGGAAATTCTTGGATCCTTAAGGGAAAATGAGACCCTAAGAAACCAAATAGCAGAGAGATGACCTTTTTGCTGTTCCCCAAGAGACTGGATTAGACCCAAATAACAGCCTGTGTTGTGAGTTAGATAACTTCACATTAATCAGTTCTGGGACTGATCGCGTAGGTCAGTCGTATTTCGTATGCTTAGAATGCACGCGACCCTACGCATCCATAAATTTAATTCTTTTATATTCAGCAAGTAGTTTCCGAATGCTTTTTTATAGACCAAGCACTCTCCTAGATTCTAAATCCTTGCATCTTCACTGTCTGCTATTATGTTAAGAATGAGTCACTTTTTGTAAGCACTGATGAATCCTAGGAAATTTCCTTCTCTGAAGAAAATAGATAGCAGGGAATACAAGACAAGAATTAGAATTCTGTTGAAATTTTTCAGCAGAGGAATAAGATAGAAAAAAGATATGAAAAAAATATTAAGTTGCAATGGATTAAAGCCCAGCCTTTCCATTTCTGCTGAGGGTTAGCAGTCGTGGACAAGAAATATAAATAACTTGCTGAAAACAGATGTTGAATCTCAAGACCCCGGGATTTTGACCTTTTAAAATGAAAACATGAGGCCAAGAAATTGCATAATGAAATCTGTCACTGTCACAGCAGTATCTCCAGCTTTTCTATCTGTAGCCACATAGAACAGCTTGTACTAACTGTGTGTGTGTTTTGTTATGTTCATTGAGACAGGGTCTCACTATATAGTTTAGACTGGTCTTGAACTCACTATGCTGGCCTTGAACTCGCAGAAATCCTCCTGCCTCAGCCTCCCAAGTGCTGGGATTACAGGTGTGAGCCATCATGCCTGGCTGTGTGTATTTGTTTCCATATTGAATGTCAAACCCAGGGCCTTGCATGCTGGCTAACTGCTCTACCATTGAACTACACCCCCAACTCCCAAGTACTATGTGTTTTAAGGTTGGTTTCACCTTCAGAATGTATGTCTGAACTCTAGTGTGTTCCTAGATAATTGAGTTTTTCCCTGAAGTTCCCTGTATGTAAATTCAAAAAAAGTTATCCCTTTGTTTATTTGTTTTGATGAGACGGGGTCTCACTATGTCGTCTAGACTGGCCTTAAACTCACTGATTATGGCAATCCTCCTGGCACAGCTTCCTTTTTTTTGGCTCAGCCTCCTGAGTGCTGCGATTACAGACAAGTACCATCACATCCAGCTAAATTTATACCTTTTAATTTAAAAAAGTACTTTGTTAAAGTTAGACTATATCTCAGCCTATAAATATATTGAGAGAGATCTCAAATGATGTTAACCAAGTGTTATTACGAGTTATTTCTGGGTGGTGAGAATTAGAGTGACAATTAATTTTTTTTTACTTATTGAATTTCTTTTTCTAATTAATATGTATATTTTTAAGAAAACAACGAAACTGCCAGGTATGGTGCCACATGCCTGTAATCCCAGCGTTTGGGAGGCTGAGGCAAGAGGATTGCTGTGAGTTCCAGGCCAGCCTGGGCTACACAATGAGTTTAAAGCCAGTCTGAGCTACATAACTAGACCCTGTCTCAAAAAAAAAAAAAAAAAAAAAAAAAAAAAGAAAGAAAGAAAGAAAGAAAGAAAAAAGAAAAGAATGAAACTGCCTCCCGAGTGCTGACATTCTAAGACTCTTGACAACGAAACTTGGAGGTTTTTTCTTTTATGCTTTGTATATGTTATTCCTTGCATTTGGCTAATGTTCTTTGTTCTGTTTCCTTCCCCTTTATGTCCTATTTAGCAAAAGATACAGATATTGTGGACGAAGCCATCTATTACTTCAAGGCCAATGTATTCTTCAAAAATTATGAAATTAAGGTAAATTACAGAGCTTGTCATATTTTAGTTTTCTGATCAAGATGCTCACTTTGCAGTCACAGTTGCTATAAGAAATAAATAAAATGGACTGAGATTGTGGTTTTTAAGTTCCAGAAGGTGCCTAGTGTAAGGCTTTGTATGAATACTAGTTTCCTTTTTCCTTCCAAAATATGTACCAGAGGTTGGCAAGCTATCCCAGGTTTGAGAGACAACTGTGACCCAGTGCCTCTTCTTATATATATAAATAAAGTTTCATTGGACAAAGCTGTGCACATTTGTTTGTATGTTTATGGCTGTTTTCATGCCAAAATAACAGCAGTAGAATAATCATGACAAACACTCTGACTCACAAAGCCTAAAATATTTACTTCCTAATCCTTCCACAGAAAGTTTGCCAACCTCTTGTCTAGATACGTTTTTATTCAGCATTAAGCATCTACTGTGTGCCAATCTCTTCCATGCTCTTTTGGTTTTTCATATACCGCTTGAGTTTTGAAAAAAATATGAAATGCTCCCAAATCCTAAACTTTTAAAGTTTCAGATTTTGGAGCCAGGGATTTTCAATTGGTGAAGTCTATGCAGCTGTTCTGAAATCTGAATATAACTTTGCTTCCCATCATTTCAGATAAGGATGCTCACAACCTGTACTTTGATGTCCCAGGACTGAGTTGGAGAATTAGAGACTCAGGGGCTGGGGCTTTGGCTCAGCAGCATAAGCACCTGCCTTACAAGCATGTGGTCGTCAGTTCGATCCCTGGTACTGATTGAAAAAAAAAGAGAGAGAGAGAGAAAGAGAATTAGAGAGTCAGACTCCTAATGGACAGCAGGAAAGCGCCCTTCCCCACCCCTGCTCTTGTTTCAGGAAGATGTAGAAGGGAGTGGGGAAAAAAGGCAAGGAGAGAATGAAAAGCCCTTTCCCAGCCTCCTGCTATGAGCAGGTTATGAGGAATGGCAAGCATTTTTGAGGGTTTTTTGGCTTTATTTTGTTTTTGTTTTTTGTCATTTTTTAAGATCGTTTCACTATGCCGGTCAAGCTCTCCTTGAACTCACTTTGTAGCCAAGGCTGGACTCAAACTCATAGCAGTCCTCCTGCCTCAGCCTCCCAAATGCTGGGATTACAAGCACACAGCACCACACTCACTTTATTATTTTTTGAGGTAGAGCCTTACTATGCTGCGCAAATTGGCCTTGAACTTGTGATCCTCCTGTCTCAGTCTTCCAGTTACTGGGATAACAGGTTTCTACCACCATGCCTGACTGTAACTTTCTTTATAATATCCCAAAATAAAACTGGGTGTGATGGCATTTGCTTGTAATCCTAGCACTTGGGAGGCTGAGACAGGAGAATTGCCAAGAGTGCAAACCCATCCTGGCTACTAGTGAGTTCAAGGCCAGCCTGAATTGAACTATATAATGAGACCCTGCCTGAGAAAAAAATTATATATATACATATATATGTATATATAAAATTATGTATACATAAATTTTTTAAAATATCTATATAGCTCCTAAAATATGTACTTTAATCTCTCCTTGGCACACTTAGACTTTTTTGGAATCAAACAGGATATGAATTTTTTGTTTTGTTTTGTTCTTTCTGAGGCAGGGTCTCACTATGCAGTTCAGATTGGTCTTGAACTCATTTTATAGCTCAGACTGGTCTGGACCTTGCTATGATCCTTCAGCTTCCAGAGTGCTGGGATGACAGGCGTGTGCCACCATGCCTGGCTTCAGGCTATGAGATCAGTATTTGTAGATTCAGGTTTTTTGTGAGGTGAGGTATTCAGACAGGGTCAGATTCAGGCTATGTGATTCAGGCTGGCCTTGAACTCACTGTGTAGCCCAAGTTGGCTTCGGTCTTGCAGGGATCTTCTTGCCTCAGCCAAATCCATGTCCCCCAAGCCCAGTCATTAGAGATTGTAATCCAAACGTCCTGTGACTTTAACAGCCTGTTTTCTGTGTCTGATCCCTGGCCTCAGTATTGTGCTTATGATAGGTGTGAGTAAACAGAATTCTGCAACATTTCATTCATTTCCTTGTATCGTATATTTAAAATAGGGGAACGTGTCTCTCTCTGGTGGCCTTTTCTTTTCCCGACTATGGTTTTGTGTGCGATTGGGCCTGCAGTGCGTGCCAGCTTTGACTAGTAATATCCGTTGTCTTCAGATGTTCCTCTCGGTTAGGTCAAGATGCTGGGCTCCTGCAGTTCTTCAAGAACCTGTCACGCATGAAGTAATTGCTTCCTCCTCTTGAGTAATGAGCGTTCCTGTTCTCAACAGAGATCCTCTTTGAAAGAGTTTCAACACATTAACCTGCCATGTGGTGTGCCTCAGGCTTTCGCAGGCTGCTGTGTCGCTTCTGCATCTTACGCAGTCAGGGGCCCCTGACCCCAATGAGGGCTCCCTCTTGGAGGAGCTTTAGGACACTGTACACCCGGACATTGGACATCGGGGCTTCCACGCTAGCGTGGCGGGGCTGTCAGCGTTTCCATAGGCCAGAGGTCGAATTCATTCACTGCACGGGATTGTTACGTTTGGATAAGCACTGTTCTTTTGTTTAAAGTTTTCTTTTTTCCCTGTAGAATGAAGCGGACAGGACTCTAATATATATAACCCTCTACATTTCTGAGTGTCTAAAGAAACTCCAAAAGGTAATCATAAACTTGGTGATCATTTATAAGAAAAGCAAATCACTGGTATGGATTTATGTTGCCAGCCACTTGGGCTTTTTGACTTTTAAGGACAAGTAGAAAATATTTCCCCTGCCTTAGAGCATGGTGTTAAAAGAAAATGTGAATGTGGTTCTCAATTCATAATGGAGTTTACTGACCCAAAAACTAGGGTAGGGTTCACAGGCACTAGGTACTAGGCACTAGGCAGCTTCACAGGCAACCTTTCACCAAGTCCCCAGCCCTTGTTCTGTTCTCTTTTGAAATCTGATCTCACCAAGTTGCCCAGCCTGACCTCAGCTTGCAGTCCTCCTGCCTCAGTCTCTCCTCATAGCAAGTATTACAGGCATATGCCACCATGCCTGGCCAGGAAAAGATGGTGACATTTTAAGAGTTTGCTTGTATTTTCTTTTTCTTTTTCTTTTTTTTTTTTAACTAGGAATCAAATTCAAGACTGCGCACTTGCAAGGCAGGCGCTTATGCGGCTGAGCTAAATCTCCAGCTTCTTTTTTTCTTTTTTAAGACAGGGTCTTGCTATGCAGTTCAGCATGTCCTCGAGCTCACATTGTAGCCCAGGCTGGTCTCAATGCTCCTGCCTCAGCCTCCTGAGTGCTGGGATTACAGGCATGTGCCGCTACGGCCGGCTTACATATATTTTTCAGGACAGAAATCGTAACAGAATTTACCTTGGTTTAGTCCAAAGGTAAAATTCAAGGGTCCATGAAGTTAAGTGCGAAAAAATTACATTTTTCTTTCCAATAACGTCTAACTAAAATATAGCATTTTCTTTTGTTTTTCTTCTTTGAGACAGGATCTCACTCTGTAGTCCCAGTTGGCCTCAAACTCACTACATAGCTCCCTGGCCTCAGGCTTGCAATCCTTTTGCCTCAGCCTCCAGCGTGTTGAGATTACAGGCATGAACCACCATGCCTGCCAGCAGTGACTTCCAACTATGAACAGGCGACAGTCCACAGTAGATTAGAAATGTCTGTGACTTCTCATAAGGAATCTTTGGCATGGTCTTGTTACATGAGAGCTGAAAATATTTTGAAAATTTTCACATTCATCAGCTCTTTAAGCTTTAGTTACTATATCTTGTTGTGAGCATTTATAAAAACCATTTGTGACTATGTCATAAATAAGTTTTTAATATTTTTAATTATTGTGTTTCACTATAATTGGTTTCTCTTATAATTTCATTATTTTGTTTTATTATTTGAAGCATTGTCCCAAGAAACTACTCATAGAATATACTTGATTTCAAAAGAGGACAAAAAAACTTACATCCCAGCCATTTAAACTGAAAAGCTATAATCTGAATGTTACTAATATTATGCATGCAAACATATGTGCATTTATTTCTTTTTGTTGTTTGAAGACATAGTCTAGGTTGGCTATGTGGCCCAGTCTGAACCCTGAACTCAATCCTCCTGCCTCGGCCTCCCACGTATATGTGTAACTTGTTTTTTCTTTTTAGTGCAATTCCAAAAGCCAAGGAGAGAAAGAAATGTATACACTGGGAATCACAAATTTTCCCATTCCTGGAGAGCCTGGTTTTCCACTAAATGCCATTTATGCTAAACCTGCAAACAAACAGGAAGATGGTAAGAGCAGGACGCTGTCCCCGCCCTCTGAGGCACTGGAAGGATTCCTTCATTGCCGCTCTCACTGCTCCTGTCATGTCTCAGTTGGCGTGCAGACTGAGCGTGGGGTCATTAGGATGTACACGAGCGTGTCTTACTCACTTTCACAAGAGGTAGTAGCAAGTGTGGCATGCAAGGAGCCTTTTGCACCAGGCTGCGTCAGCTGCCGTGTGAGCTATGGCTGCTGTGTCGTGACCGTGTGAATGGATAAAGACGCTCCGCGGAGGCCAGCAGCCAGGCCGTTTGGTGGGCGCTCAAGTAGTCTTCCTTTCTTTCAGAGGTGATGAGAGCCTACCTGCAGCAGCTGAGGCAAGAGACTGGACTGAGACTCTGTGAAAAAGTTTTTGACCCTCAGAATGATAAACCCAGCAAGGTAAGGCCCTCTCCCTTCATTCACCTTTTAGCTTGTTGGCCACCATGAAACACACAGATTTTCCACTGCAGGAATCCTAGCCTGGCACACCCCTCTGCAACACGCGTGTCCCAGCTACTCAGAAAACTGAGGCAGGAGCATTGCCATTTTGGGAAGAGTTTAGCAGGGCATGGTGGCACATGTACTCAGAGGGCTGCGGCAGGAGGACTGTTGTGAGTTCGAGGCCAGTCTGAACTGCATAGCAAAACCCTGTTTCAAAAAGACAAAAAGTGGGGCTGGGGATTTAGCTCAGGGCATAAGTGCCTGCCTTGCAAGCAGGCAGTCGTGAGTTCGATCCCTGGTACCGGTAAAAAGGAAAAAGACAAAAAGTAAAAGGGCTGGGGTAGCAGCTCAGCAATAGAACACTCCCTAACGTGTCTGAGGCCTGGGTCGAGTCCCCAGTACTGCAAAGAGAAGGAAAGAAAAGAGACTTCTCTGCATCCCACTAGTGTTTAACTTGAGTGTGTGCTTGGTGGGGCTAAGTCACTGGATCTCACCGAATAAAGACGGTGTCTCACAGGGAACTTTTAGTTCTCTTCTTCATTACGTCCGTATGATGGAGCACTGTAAACCCACAAAAGCGGCGTTACTGTAGATACTGTGGATGTACCGCAGCATCACCCTCAGTATCCACTGGGAACTTAAGCCTGCGGAAGCCTAGTCCCTTACATGAGGTGGCAGAGTGTTTGTACCCTACACATGGCTCCCGGGTGCTGTAACTCCTCTGGGGTACTCGCTGCCTGATACGGTTTAAGTGCCACGTAAAGACAGTGCTGCACTGGGGAACAGTGACAAGCGGAGAAGGCTCTGCATGCTGAGTGTAGATGCAGTTTTTCTCTCCACCATGGGTTTTCTCTGTCCACTATGGGTTGACTCTGGAGATGCAGAACCCACAGACACAAAGTGCTGGCTGTATAATGTGTATGGATTTTATCATTTTGTTGTTGTTTGTTTATTTTTGAGACAAGATCTCACCATGTAGCCCAGGCTGGCCTTGAATTTCTGGCAGTCCTCCTGCCTCAGCCTCCCAAGTGCTAGGATTATACAGGCATACACTGCCACACCTAGTCATAATTTTGAGTGACCTGTGCATCCAGAAAATTCTGTGTGTTTCTGAGGAGTTTATGTTCTCTTGTAAGAGAGGTAGAGGTTGAGCTAGTATTAAGTTTTATTATTAAATAAATTTGAATTCTGCTGGCAGCAGTGGTATGTGCCTTTAATCCCAGCACCCTCAGAGGCTGAAGCAGGAGGATTGTTTGAGCCCTGCCTGGGTACTGTAGTGACTCAACACGACCCTGTCTCAAAAAATAAAAAGGGCTGGGGATGTAGCTCAGTGTGAAGGCCCTGGGTCCCACCCCCACTACTTAAGTCCACATTTGAATTCTGGCCTTCCCTTGAAGCCGCACTGTGCTCTGACTCCACTGTGCATTCTGCTTTGTCCCCTTCTGGCAGTGGTGGACCTGTTTCGTGAAGAGACAGTTCATGAACAAGAGTCTGTCAGGACCCGGGCAGTGAGGAGCGCCGGGCAGCGCTTTATGGCACCTTGTTTCGTAACGTTTTATAAAGAAGCAGAAAGAAGCTTGTCTCCCTGAGCAGCTGTTGGCCAAGTTTGGGTACGGGAGAGGGAGGGGGGTTATCCACGGGTGATTCAAAAATTTCTGCAGTATTAAGCTGGTGCTTAATAATAATGATTAATAAATTTATAATACTATTGCTTATCTTCGACAATCAATTAAAAATGTTTAGCTACAATTCACAGGCCATAGTATGTGTACAGTTTAGTAGCTTTAATTCCCAAATACTTTCATCAGCCCCAGAAGATGTTCCTATACTTGGCTGGTAATCACGCACTCAGGAGGCTGAGGCAGGAGGATCACTATGAGTTTAGGGCCGGCCTGGACTATATAGTGAGACCTTGTCTCAAAAAACAAAACAGATATTCCTGTACTCCGTCACGCCCCTCATGCCTCCCCTACCTCCTTTCCTACTCCTGCTCCTAGGGTGCAGTAGGTGACTGACCTTACGTATCTGACTTGAGTCTGTGTGTATGTTTGAGACAGGGATGCGCTGTGTAGTGCAGGCTGATCTTGAGCTCACTCTGTAGCCCAGGCTGGCTGCCGACTTACGGCAGTCCTGCTGCCTCGGCTTCCTGAGTGCTGGGAACACAGGCCCGTGCCACCAGGCCCAGCTTCTGACTTCCTTTTTTTTTGGTCTTTTTCCTTTTTATCGGTACCGGGGATTGAAGTCACAACTGCCTTCTTGCAAGGCAGGTGCTTAGGCCACTGAGCTAAATCCCCAGCCCCTGCTTCTGACTTCTTTCACTTAACACATTTTTAAAGTTTACTCATGCTGATGAACATACACTTCTTAGATGAAATGTGAACAGTAAATAAGTACATGAAAATGTTCAATGTTACTGGTCATTCAAGAGATGCAGATTAAAACAACACCGAGACTCCACCTCACCCCAGAGAGAACAGCTATCCTCAGGACTTGCCAAGTTGGTTTTTGTTTTGTTTTGTTTTGTTTTGTTTTTTTTGGTACTAGGGATTGAACTCAGGACCTCATGTTTGCCAAGCAGGCATTTGTGCCACTGAGCTAAACACCCGGCACAGAGCATGATTATTATCAAGAAATCAAGTAGTAACAAAGGCTGGAAGGGATGTGGAGAAAAAGGATCCCTGCTCCACTGTTGGTAGGAGTGTAGACTGGTGCAACCACTGTGGAAGTGTGTAGAGATTCCTCAAAAAACTAAGATTGGACGTCCCGTTCAACCCAGCTATTCCTTTTCTGGGGAATACGTCCCAGAAGAATTAAAAACATCATACCTCAGTGATATATGTGCACCCATGTTTGTAGCAGCACAATTTGTAATAGCCAGATCTTGGAAACAACCTAACTGTCCATCAACGTGGAATGGATAAAAAGGATGTGGTTTGGGGGTTTTTTTCGGGGGTACTAGGGAATCAAACTCATGACCTTGCGCTTGCCAGGCAGACACTTGTGCTGCTCAGCTACATCCCTGACTCCAAGATGCGGTATTTTTATACAATGGAGTACTATTCAGACATAAAGAATGATAAACTGGGCACTTATAGGTAAATGGATGCGCCTTGAGAACACAGTGAAATAAGTAAGACACACATGTAAACACTGTTTCAGTGTGAGAAGCTGAAAGAACATACGAGTGTATGTATGTGTATGTATATAAAAAGAGTAGTTAAGATACTTCTCTGTGTTCATTAAAGGGAAAGATGTGGGCTGGTACTGTTCAGACAATGAAGGCAGATGTCCTGTGCCCTGGTGACTGATTTGGGGATGGCAGTGTGCAGTGTGTGTACCACTGTTGCCCCTGATTGATGTGTTTTGAAATTTTTAGGTTTTTTTTTCTGTTTTCATTTTTCTCTTTGAAATAAAATGGATTTGGAAAAAAATAAAATTCACTCATGCCACAGGATGATTTAACACTTCTTTTTTCCTCCTTTTTCCTTTTCTTGTTTTTTGGCTGTTGTGTACATGAGATAAAGTATACATATTACAGTGTGTCCGTTGAGAGTTAGTGTTGTTTTACTTTCTGCCAAATTTTATTCTTCGCAAAGGAGAAGGGCTCCGGTCGTGGGCAGCTGCCCTGCTGGGTGACTGCACCTTGGGCCCCTCTGGAGCCAGTGCATCTCCGCAGCCTTGGCGTGATACCTGCGGGCCTGATTGGCTTGGAGACCTTGAGCAGCTGTGAGCCCCTCATGGCAGTAGAGCTGCACATCTCCAGGCCATGGCCCACACAAACTCGGGATGCCTCAGTTTGCTCACATTCCAAGTCACCTCGAGGGCTTGCTGAAGCCATGTCAGCCATGGCTGCTACAGCGACAACAGTGTGTCTGATTTAGAGGCATGAGCTACAGTCACAGGGCCCTGCAACTATTAGCACTTTTTCCAAAACATTTATTTCACAAATTTGAAATTGGGAGGCTGAGACAGGAGGATTGCCATGAGTAAGCCTGGGCTATATAAGCGAGTTCAAGGCCAGTCTACATACATAGCAAGACCCTGTCTCAGAAACAAAAGTTAGGAACAGTGAACATTAAACTTCCCGTAAGCTTCGCTCTTGGTCTCCGAATTCACCTGTTCTGGGTAACACAGAGTGGAACCAAACAATAATTATCCTTTTGCACCAGGTTTCTTTCATGTACCATACTGTCTTTAAGCATGTGTATTGGCCAGGCTTGGTGGTATCTGTAATCCCAGCAATAGGAAGCTGATGCAGGAGGATCACTGTGAGTTTGAAGCCAACCTGGGGCACAAAATGGGTTGAAGGCCAGTCTGAATTACAGAGTGAGATCATGTCTCAAAAAGACAAAAAGGGGCCAGGAAGATAGCTCAGTGGCACAGTGCCTGGCTGGCAAGCACAAGGTCCTGAGAACAATTCCTGGTACCAAAGACAAATAAATAGACCCCCAAAAAAGTATGCATGTTGTAGCATATAGCAGCGTTCCATTCCATTTTATGACTAATACTTAATTATATGGGGGAAGACAACAATGTGTTTTTCCATCTTATTTCCATTCTCTGGCTGTTATGAATAGCATTGCCAAGAACATTCGTGCACAAATTTTTATGTGGATATGTTTTCGTTTCTCTTGGCATATCGCTAGGCACGGAATTGCTGAGTCATATGCTAATTCTGTGCTTGACTTTCTTAAGAACTGCCACATTTCCCCCCATTTTACATTCCCACCAGCAACAACGAGACAGGGCTGATTTCCCGCCACCCTCACCACTGTGTTTTTTTTGCTGTCCCAATGTGAGGAAGAATCTCATTGTGGTTTTGATTTGTATTTCTCTAATAAGTTTTGAGCATCTTTTCTTATATAGATATTGGCTACTTACTCATCTTTTCTGGAGAAATGTTAATTCAAATGCTTTTTGTTCTTTTTGAGACAGTGGCAAAGGATGGGTTCAGATTTGTGGTCCTCCTGCCTCCATCTCCCAGAGGGCTGGGATTACCCGTGTGCCATCAGACTGGCTCTTTGTTTTTGTTTTGTCTGGTTTGTTGAGACAAAGTTTTGCTCTGTAGTTCAGGCTGGCCTTGAACTCATATGTAGTCCAGACTGGTTTCAAACACAGGGATCTGCCAGCTCAGCCTCCCAAATGGTGAAATTACAGGCGTGCAGCACCACGCCTGGCCTTAGGCCTGGCTTCTTTGCCCATTTTTCACTCGGTTTGCCTTTGGCTGTTGCATGGTAGGAGTTCTTTACATATTCTGAACACTAGATCCTTATCATATACACAACTGACAAAATTTTTACTTTCTATGTTTTTTTCTTAAGTTTTCTTGATATCTTCCATTCCAGAAGTTTAATTTCATTGAGGTCCTATTTAGCTCCTTTAGTTGCTTATGTTGCATTACAGCTGGTTTTTGGCTTTCGCTATTTTCAGCTCTTACAGTTAGGCCTTTGATATAGTTTTAAGCTAAATTTTTGTAAGCAAAGTGGGGTAGGAGGCTCTTTCTTTTAATCTATAACATCACAGGGTTTTGGAGCCTATGCATAACCTGCTTTGAACACCCCCCCCACACACACCCTGCACTCCTACTCGGTTCATTCTTTGCGCGTGGCTATACAGTTTTCCCAGGACCCTTTTAAAGAGACTGTTCCCATTGAATCGCGTTGCTTCCTTACCGGAAATCAGCTGACCATCACACAGGGCTTTTATTCAGCTGTGGAGCCCTTGCCTTGGACGTACAAACCCCACGCTTTGATCCTCGGTACTGGAAAAAAGGAAGAGAAAAACCCAGTTGCTCAGAAATGCATGGGTTTACTTCTGGCACCTCTAGATCGTCTATCCTTATGTGACACTCATTTTTCTACCTGGCCGGTTTTTATTATTGGGAAGGTTTTCATTATTTGGCTAATAGAAGCAGCTATTATTTTGAGTTCTCCCAAAACTGTATGTTACCCCGAACTTCCTGGTATGTTACTGTTGTAAATGAGATGCTCAAGGAAGTGCTTGGGACCCGAGGACATCTAGGCTGCACCTTAGAATGTGCAAGTGGCCGTAGTTTGGTATCTGTTCGGGTTATATTTGCCCCCAAGAACAAAATTCTCAGTTCACGGTGCCTTGGGCTTTGTCTTTCTTTGGAAGTTGCAGGATGGAGCCATTTAAGGACATCCTGGACCCAGCGCCTCCTGGGCTTCCTGTTCCACCTCAGCATGCACATGTGACTGTCATCCCGTCTCCAGGTGGCTCCCGTCTCTAGCTTGGCAGGAATCAGGGAAGCAGAACGAATGAGCTGAAGGGGCCCCAGCTGGGGACATGTTTCCCCTGGCTGGAAACCTGCTGGGAGAGTGGACTTGAATCTCTTTGGGTGTGGGAAAGGGAGAAGTCCCTGGGTGGTGATGACCTCCCGGAAAGGACAAGGAGGGGAACTCAGTTTAAAATGTATCAAGAATAGAGCTTTAGAGTTCTGAGGAGCCATAGGCCATTTCCTGTTTGGTTTTAGGGTTGTACACAGGATTTTATGCATGAGTTCACTGCCATCGATTTCATGGAAGGCTTGAGGTAGATTGGTTGGTTGAGTAACCACACTCCACATACCGGAAATACTGGCAGGGAAACTCCTGTGGGCCGCGGGTGCAGCTCAGTGGTACAGCTCTTGCCTAGCATATTTGAGGCGTAGAGTTCAATTCACAACATCATAAAGAAAAAGAAGAAAAA